ACAATTTTAAACAGGCCAGCAAATCCGAAGTCACGATAATACGTCAAAGTAAGTTGAAAAGTTGTTTATTTTATAAATATGTGTGAGTAACAACATTTGACAGAAATGCCAATGCATTTCCGCTGATGTGAATCTTTACGAAAGGGCATGTGCAACTCTCTTTTCTTTATGAAAGTCTAAATTTAAAAACTGTTATTCGATGCAACTCCCACGCATCACGAATATTGATTGAGAACTGTTTGACTACACTATTTCCCCTAATTTATAAGAGCGCATTAAGTGTTCTACATGCCAGCAGCAATGATCACCATGCTTCGGAAAAGCCCATATTTATTGGAAATGATCATTTCAACTCTGTAACTCTTTTCATCTGACTTGCGATTGTACTGAGTCGTATTTGGAGCAGGTGCGAGGTACCCAGTGAGACATAACAATCTTAACGTGATGAAAATCACGAATTGTATAATGACACAACGGAAATATTAAGTTAACATCCGATGCCATTTTATCCCAGATATCTATTACATAAATATATTCATATTGCGCCATCGTTTTTTCTAACAATATACAGAAATTACTTCTTAACTGAACTTCTTAAAATATTAAATTTAACCACAGAGATCTCTGGTTACCCAGTGGGCGAGATACTCTTTGAGGTTTTCAAACAATATTCATGAAATTTATGAGTGGAGAATTGTCTTGTGGGTGGAGAATACTATTGAATCACTTTTTAAGAGAAAATTAGATTCATTTAATATATTCATAGCATGACCACCTAGGCTAAAAAAGCATTGTATTACATGATGAGTAAAATTTTATTTCATTTTGTATTTTAGTTTAAATTTGAAAAACATGTTCATTCAAATAACCCCCGTTTCAAAACTCAACCAACAGAAAGTTTAAATAAAATGTTTCCATAAAATAATTATTTTGTGAAAAGTCTTTAAAAAAAATTTCATATATTTATTAGAAACTACCAGTAGAATGCAATCACAGTGACAAAGAGAATTGGGCGGAAGCCAATCTCAAAAGAAATTTATTATCAAAAAAATGTATATATATGATTTGCTGGATGTAGTCATAAATTTTCCCGTATTTGATTATTTCTTTTTATACTAAAATTTTTCTTCCAAAAACTTGCGTTTTGCTCTCTACACATACTCTTCAAAAAGAAGATGAATTGTTGATGGAGCTTGTTGCTAGGTGATATATTTTGTGTTTGTGACTAAACTTATTGAAATTAATTTTCGATTTAATTCTATGAAATCTATAAAAACGATCGATGCTATGACGTATGGAATTCGTCATGCATTCAGATTGACATATCTCTTCAACCAAAATTAAACAAATAATAAATATATAAAATAAAACCGCAAAATTTCGGAAGAAAACTTTATTTTGACAGCGTTATCCTTATTATTGACTCGGATGGATATGCATCATTAATTGTTTATTGTTTATTATGATTGTATTGTTTATTTGTTGTATTTTTAAAATGTATATTATTATGATACTGTGATATGTCGTATCAAATTTCCTACAACTCGATTAATTCTGTCCAAACTCAATATTTCAGTAATTTATTGTGTGCGTTTAGTATCTAAACCAGGGGTGGACACGGTTTTTAAACAAGGGGTCATAAATCTTGCCCACTCAGACTGGCGGGCCATGAAAGTGTGACGTAAAAAGTTACATTTTATGAACAATATTTACAGTATTACTAAGCAAAGGTGAAAAACAATACACTTCTGGCCAAAACTAAATTTAACAGCAATCTCAAGAAATTCATTGAGCTATTTTTAGCTAAAACAATAAAATCTGAATTTGATTTGGTTGTGGCAGCATCAGAGGGGCCAGATTGAATTACCCAATAGGCCGGCCATGGCCCGCGGGCAGTACTTTGCCCATGTTCGATCTAAACGTTTCTTCGGATATATTAACTCTATTCGTACGCAAAGAAAACTGGTGGTGCTGCTGGTCATGGTTGTATGCATGAAAATAGGGCATGATGATGCATTGGAGAGTGCTTTACGTCGATTAATCTACTTGTGTGCTATTCAAGAGATCTCAACTCGCAACCTGAAGAATTTACATGAATATTATTGTAAGTTGACCATATGGCAATATGAAGCAATAGTCTCGTAGTAACAGGTACAATACCTTGGACTGTCGTTACGCAGTTGGAGATAGCAAAATTGAGTTACATCTCCAGAATTATAAGTTACGTCATCTTATCTAAAATTAGTATCTTTCTCAACAATATACAAATAAAAATGGAGTGTAATAAAGTAACAAGTTTACCGTATAAATTTAAAAAGGACGTAACGACATAATATTGTTTTTAACCACTGTGAACGATTACTACGAAAAAAGATTATGCTGGTAATCTATCATAGTCAACACAACACAGTAGAGAATAGAGCTACTGTAGATAGCAATCTTGGTCATTGCGGTATACTAATCAATTTTCCACAAGTCTTTTCTGTGAAGTATCAGCATTCTGTTGTCTCCAATGTTCGAAGTCAACCAAAGGTAACAGATTTTCTTATGACATCAGCGTCCTATAGGAAAATTTCCAAAAATTTTTATTGAAAAAAGTTTCAAATGCTTATTTAGATAACATTTACATTCACCAAAACGGCACATGCGAATTCGCCCACGAAAATCATTTTTGCGGAAGTCTACGGTAAGTTCGACTCTATGTGTTTACTTGGTGTTTTTACTGGGAAAGCGCGTATCAAAACAGCTGTACTGGGTGGTTTTAAAGTCAGGCATCATACCTTAAAAATTGCATTACAAAACGCTTCGATTGACAGACTTCCCCGGATTAGAAATTCGCAATATTTATGTGATTTAAACACTCTTGAAAACACTGAAGATTACGTTTATTTTAGATTGTCTAAAAAAGCATTCTGTTGTTTGTTTATGCCAGGGGTGTGCAACCTTTGTGCACAAAAATAGTTTTTTTTCGTTATTGATCTTATGGCATTATCCGGGGTCCTTGCAAAACTGATGAGTCAACACGCATGAACTTCTGAAAAAAATGCTATTCAAATTTATTGTCACACCGACTTTAAACGAATTCAGTGAGATATTTGTAGCTGGCTTATTTTCTTGACTATTGTTTCCAAATTTGCTTCAATGGAAGTGCCAGCAATTCGAAGTCTATTTTCCTCACACTATTTAAAATTGGCACTTCTCCGCGTGCCGCACAATTTTTCTATGTAGGCCACATTTGGCCCGCGGGCCGCAGGTTGCACACCCCTGGTTTATGCCACTAACTATGCTTGGCATAAAATAGTGATGTGTCGAGATCAAATAATAAAAAACAATTGATTTTCTTGATTAGTGTGATCTGTTTCTAACAAAATTACAAATTTTTATTACCTCATAACAAGGAGGTATTTAAAACTTCAGTAGAATTGTTTTGAATAAGTTTAATCGAGCGTGAAAAACTCTGACGTTAAGGATTATGGATACAAAGCAAATATGTGGCATTCAATAAAACGGAGAACGAGTTCCATTTAACCTTGACCAATTTGTATCGTCTTTACTTTGAACACGGAACCACGCACACTTCACGAAATCAATTACAGAGACAGGAATATTCTGACTCTGATGGCTTTCACAGTGAATAAATTGAATGGGATGAATAATAGGTACATTGTGAGCATTCGTGTAAATGATTATTATTTCATAATAAATACGTTTCGATCACCGTAGACCAGGGCCATTTTTTGTCCAAAATATTTGTTCATCTTTAGCAAACAGTCCATATTCTTCCAGTTCCCGGCACACAATTTTACATTCAATTATGTTGACTTTTTTTCTCAAAAATAAAACAGACCTTTTTATCATTATATCGCTTATCTTGTATAAATCCTACGAGTATTCTATTTAACGTACGATTTCATGATCGCATAAAAAGAATTTTTGTTTTATTTTTAACAAGTTGTTGTGATTCGAGTTCCATGAATGACTTATACAAACTTCAACTTTACTTACAATACTCTGAAGAACATTCAAAACACCTTCGCGTTTACTTCGTATATTATCCATCGACATTCAAGGAACACAGCACTTTCGTTTGCCCAATGCCCTCCGAATTGGCTGCATCTTTCGAAATATCTAACAATTAGTTGAAGTTGGGTGAACGGGTAAATACTGTTCAAAACCACTGTGAAAAATTAAGTCAAGTGAATTTGACTTCATTACGATTTATTATTATGTGAAATCAAATTATGAGGTGACTTTCTACTTATAAATTTGCGACAGATTTAATAATTTTTTTCTTGGAGAAAAAGGTTCAATTTCTGTAAATTAGTTATTTATCTCTCACATCAAATTCAGGATTTTTATAAAATAATTAACATTTTAAATTCAAATTAAATGATCTTGATTATAAAACTCTCGTGGTGTGTATAAGTCATCTTAATATTTCAGTTAGATATAACATGTTTTACTTACTATGAAATTCCAGTAAATCCACTAGGTTTTATTACACTGTAATCAACACCTTTCCTTGTGCGGAATGATTTGCATTCGTCTTCTGTCATAGGTGAATATTATTTTTTCGTTCTCTCATTTTGACTTTCACTTCTCTCGTTTCGACCTTTCTTTCTCAATGATTGTTGAACTTCCGAAAGATTATTTATTTGCTTCTTTGGATCTTGACAGCATCATTCGACCCTCGATCGTCATTCGTAGAAAACTGATAAGACGTTTTATTAAGGTTTGGCTGACAGTTGTTTAGTTTTAAAGTGTTTTATTACTTAGTTTGTAAATGATGTCGCGTGGTTAAGAAGATCATTCATATAGTAAGCAGGTTTAATCTTTACAGCTAAGCTAGGTCAAGAAAAATATAAAGTCGACATATTTCTCAAAATCGAAAATATTGAGCGTCAAAAATATATCATTCGAGAGCATTTTTAATTCACCGATTTTTCGAGACAGAAGATTCAAATTTGATGATATTTGTTTTATATATATTTTATAGAAAAGCGAGAATCATCAAACTTTTAAGTCTATGTTGAAAAAAAAACAAATAAGTTATTTACTATACGTCAGTTGAAGTTGAAGAAAAACGATGTTTCGTCCACTTGTCGTGTTCGCGTTAATATTTGAGAGTATTGTTCTTGTAAAATCAACAAGAGTTATAAACATCACTGTTATGGCTCCTGGAATAACTGCAATATACAATATATTACAAGATCTAAAACTGTCCGAGGATGAAATGGTATACCAGCCGGACTACAGTGACTATTCCGAGGGAGATACAGGAGAAAACTACGTAATGGGTGACTATGACTATCTAAGCGCTTGTACAAGTTACGAAACTTTGTATGAACGAATTCAATGCTTTGAAATGGGCTACAATTTTTACCCGTGGTCGTATCCGTTTATAAAACCTGCCTTGGATCTTGCAATGGAGGAGATTAAAGCCAGTGGCATCGCAGGAGAATTCGATATCCAGTTACAATATAGAGATTGTAGTGGAGAACACGGGTATGCGTCTTCAAGGTAAGCATAAAAATATGTATTGTACTATAACTATTGTAGAATCTGCAGACAATAGTACTTTATGATTTACTAAAAATATGATCGTTCCTGGTATAAACAGTTATGCTGATATCCTAATACAAAGCCTTATTTTTTGTGTGACTAGCGCATGTGTACTTTTTTGTGTGGGACTAAGGCAACACAAAAGAGGATCATATTAAATTATGTTCTGTAAATGTACAATCACATAAAATTATACATCTAGTCACGGTAATGTATAAATATTACCAAGCATATAAAGTTTAATTTCAAAATATCAATATTCAACCATCAAAATGTAAAAACTGTTGTTGATAATTCTATCGATTGAGCTTGACAAACGATCCAAATATTTCAAATTTGAGTGAAGTTAGGTAATAGAATCATCTGTCGCAAACAGAAGAGAAAAGTTATTTATTCGACCATTGATTAATTTTCATTAGTTAATGCACTCAAATCGAAAATACATGAAAACAGAATACTTCCGGAGATTTTAGATTGCCCTAATGCAATAAGTAAAAATGAATATTGAAATTAAATATGCCCGGCATCGTCTAAAGGTCTAAATTACATTCAACACATACACGAGCCTAAAAATAAGACAAATCACGCGCTCATCAACAATATTTACATTGTGCTTGCTGCTTGACGTGAATTGTGTCGCCCTTTTTTTTTAAAACCAACGCCATTTCTGATGATTGAGCTAATTCATTTTTATCAGAAGGAAAATCGAAGGAATAAATATGAAAATTTGTCCAAGTTTCTTGTCATTTTAGAATTTGTTCGTAAACCTGTCATCAAATCTTTTATAAACATATTCTTTATTATTCATCATATTTATTGTTTTGTAGAGTTTCACAAATTGCTTCCGTTGATGCGAGGATGGAAGATAAAATGGGAGTCATGATTGGACCAATGAGCAGTTATGCTACTTCACGAGTCGCCGCCTTCACAACACATTGGAATATTTTACATGTCAGCCCCAGATCAATTTCATCCGGATTGAGGGTTAGTGTAATGTTTTAAAATAAGTCAATCCGTTTAGACATAGTTGCATTTTAAATAATCTATCAGTAAAAACGCCCGCGACATCGACGACAGACGAATTTCCATTGTGTGTGGTTACAGTTTTTGATGTAAATTAGTAAAGAAAAATATAAACTGTGTTTTTTAAAACATTGAGGTCTGAAAACCCGTGCAAAGGTAAGTTCATGATTGGCGAGGAAAAACTTAGAACTGACTTGACTTATAGTTTACTTGTCACACTATACACGACTGTAAAAATACACTCAATAAAACTGATTTATGGTATATAACTCGCACGTAACAATATTACTTGTACAAGTCTTACTTGGTACGTGGAAAACAAAGACATTTATGACATATGACAAGTTTATGTATCATTCACAACTATCTGTCTAAGTAGTTTACTAATCGATATGGCGTCTAAAGATGTGTTGATGGCGCAGTGTGATTGTAATTGAGGTCAATGAGGGTTCTTTTCTTTAAGTCTTGTCTCTATAGTTGAAACATAACCATTGTCCATTCTCTTGAGTTGTATTCGTGATTGGAAATACATCGCAGAAAATCCAACCATAGAATTACGTTAGCTTTCTTACAAAGAAACTTGAATTCGTTTACGTCAATCAATCTTTATGGATACCGGACGCTGCGGCGAGTATAATCCAGAATGTTTCAATATAAACTGACGACATTGACATAGCTTGGGACGCACGATTCATTACATCACTTATTCCCCGTAGCAAGTTTATTTGAACTGCATAAAGTCAATAGAGGGTACTATATTAAATTGTGTCGAGTACGGGTTAAGAGTTTTGACTATGCCAAAGCGTCCGATGGAATTTTTTTTAAATATTTCAAAGCTTTTTCTAATACATTTATTTGATAGAAATCAGTTGTTCAAACGAATAATCGAAGTGGCAATCCAGTGCAAATTGAAATAAGAGTAAATACCCATTTTGTTTCGTTGATCATTTGATAAAAAATTACGTATTTATGTATTACAAGAAGCCAAAGTGGATTCAACTAAATAAAAATCTTTTCACGACACCTAACAAAACTCTATATGGACAAAGTTAGTGGTTCAGCATGACCGACTATACTTCGTGTGCCTCGCAATTCAAAGCTTTATACAATGCCGTAAGCTGCAAAATACAAACAAAACTAAAATATTTCTGAACTCCCAAATTTAAATGTGATTTCCCCGGATTGAAAAACGCTACGGCGGTGGGTCTAATCAAAAAGCAAGTTTATCCCGGGGATTATACTTTAATAAAACACTGGCAACATTTCATAAGATCGAATTATCGACATTTCCCTGTTTTGTGTAAACAATTCGTTCAGTCGAGCCAGAGAAACCTCAAAATTCTTTGTTTATTCACTTTTCTGAGAAACCACATTTTTCAAATTTTTCAACGATTAATAATGATACAAAGCAAATTGCTCAGCCTTAAATGCCCTACGTAACTTATCAGACCGGCTATCATTATTATTACGTGCCGAACGACAACAACATATTTTCGATGTTCTATCGCTGTAACCTTATTATCCTTCTTATTTTCCAGTGCCGGCTGTAAAAGCAAAAACATATTTTTTAGTTCTTTAGTGCAAACTATCAAATGAAATTGAGATGGCAGATAAGATAAAAGAATATCTTTATTAAAATCAAAGATCGTATTCAACGTGGTGAGCATCACTTCGTCCGTACGCCTGGTCCTTTTTATTGAGTTTTCACGTCGTTCATCTGAACGCGGAATTATCCCAGCTGTAGTTTAAATTTATGAACTACCATTTTTCTGCATGGCCCACCATGTATTTTTTCACACTATCTCAGCTTCTAGGCTCAAGTTAACAATGACCAACCAATCTGACCCTTGCTCGATATATACGATGTAAAATAGGGTTATAACGCTGTATACGCCTATCGAATAATTCCTAGGTTTTTTATGCTGAACACAACCAAAACAGGAAATATGACAAAGTTAACATTTCTGATGCTAGTGTTGTTCTGTTATAAAATATTCCTATGCAGAATCTAATATTAGAAAAAATATTTATATTAAAAAAATTAATTCAAAAGAATAATATTTAATACAGGAATTCTTTCATATTCAATTTGCCCTCACGTAGATATTTCCTAACTATAGTATAGGAAGTTCGTCATAATAAATAGCGAATCACTAAAAATAGTCGCAATTTCGCATTCAACCATCTACCAGTTTGTTATTTTAGATACCAGTTCATGGGAAAGAGACTGCAATTATTTAAAGATTTTATTTGTTACTTCTTGGACACAAAGTAGATCTATAAATCGTTTTGTTATTATGCTGTTGTTATTGTTGGTATTCTTTTTCTTGTTTATTAGTTGCTTAATATCAACAATGAATGAATAAGTGTCAAAATGTCCCCGCGATATTAAAAAATATTTTGTCGCATATTTTTTGAGCTCGTGGTCGTTTGTTTTCAATTTTTATAATCAAGATATCATAGCGATTAAATCAATTTTGAATTTCGAAATATTTCGTAGTTTCACGATTTCATTGATATTTTTGTGACTCAGCTGCCTTGCGTGCAAGCGACTGGTTCGTCATTATTTTGTTTTTGTTTCTTTTCCATTGAGGGTGTGAATGATAGTACAAACAAAAGCATCAACCATACATGATTCTAAGATAAATCACCATAAACAGGATAATTGAAGAAGAAATTTTTGCCCATCCTGTGATGGAAATATAGCAAAATCTAACTCGAGTATGTATGGGTAATACTTACCTATAAAAAATTGACTTACCGTACACTTTCAAAGCGGGAATAATGAGAAGCGTACAGTTGTGTACAGGGTGTACAGTTGTACCTATCCTAACCAAAACATATAATTGATTTAGACAATTATCAGGCCTGTTCAAGTTTAAATCCAGATAGGCATAGTGCTTGTAAATGCTTAAAATGCTGTTTTCGGCGTACAACTGCGAAGATCGCATAGAAAAGCAGCACTAGTTTATGTTCAGTAAATTGTTTAAATGAATGCGTTTTCACTCATTCATATACTGATACAGTGAAAAAGCAGGCAGTACTGATTATAGCGAAAGTACGTACTAAAAATAATATAATAACAATAATTCCAACTTTTGACCAATTTACTAATCTTTTCGACCCGATTTGATTTTCCAATGCATTGTGCCTTTTCTCCCGGTGATTTTACAATAGATATAATTAGGGTCTATCCTGTCATCAAAGTTTTAACGCTCCAAACAAAAACAGGTTACAGCCACTGATAACTTTACCGCATCGAGTCAAAAGATCGCAGTCCCGAAGATTTGATTCGATGACGTCAGTCTTATCTGGACATCCATCGATTCACAGCAGGCCAACACATTCGGTGCCGTTCGGTGCCACAGTCCGACGAAAATGCTACGCTCGCATCAACAAATTCGCTGCGCATTGGTCCCCTGCGGAATGCGTGAGGAATACGAAAACTTCCGCTGATGAAAGAGAAGCGACATATTTTTCGGGATAAACCAGACGTAAACTTAATAATATTAACATTGTTTGAACCAGTGTTGTTTTGAAACCTACCAAAAAGACAAACCTGAATCACCCCGAAAAGCACAGATTTCGTAATACATTTCGAACTCGAATAGCTCAAAATGAACCACAAGTCTTCTATTGTAAGCAGATATATCAATTATACAAGAGCTGGAAGCAAAATCTATTGAGCAAAAATAGCCATAGATTTGTTGTTGTAACAGAGCAAAAACACAACGAAAATCCAAACTGTACCGAAAGTACTTCAAAATATGACATGTTATATAGTTGCACGCCTTTTAATAAATGGCACTGTGTGTTCCCCAGAACTTGTAAAGTAGGTGTGCTATATCTACAGCCATCGTTCCAGTAGTGTGTTAGTAATTCAAGCTGAACCTGAGCATTTTACGACCTTGCTAACAAACCAATTTTACGTCAATTATTTTGAGAAAATACCCAAATATCGTGTTCAGACCGGTACAAAAACTTCAGGATCTCACCGTGTAATTGAATCGCGTTAATGACATGAAATATCCATTTCTTTTTTATTTAAAAAATCGGCTATACAAATTTAGAGGGCTGGTCCCAAACTCTCAATTTTCTCGACACCGCCTACAAAAACGACGTAATCAGGCGGTCTAATGACAACAATGTTTGCGTCGTGGAGGGTGCGTCGTCTTGTACATCGGAAGTAACTTGAAAGTTCAAAGTCTCGTTCCAAGACAAACCAATCCACGCAAAAAAATAATTCTTGGGACTCGTATTATTTGGAAAGTTGTCTGAAATCCTATACCAGATTTCGTGTATGAGTGAAATTTACTCGCTGTACCGGTAATGGTTGTTATTGGTCTGGGTAAAATTGAACTTAAAATATATTCCTTTGCCGTGCTCCCATCACAATTATATGTGGTCGAAACCGATTCATTAGGTAGGAATGTATTTAGAATAGTATGCCTCCAGTTTGGTAATGTACTAAGAGGCATCGACAAAAACCTATGCCAAGGTCCATCAAACTGGTCCTGATATCATAGTGCATACACCAATTATCGTTTACTATTTACGTTGAGGTTTATCATGAATTTATTTTTAGTCTACGCATCAGTTTTTCTATCCTTCCTATCCCTATCCTACGAATATATATTGTAGAAGTCGGCACTCACATCTTTTGATCGCCGAATTTATAATGGAAAAATTTAAATGTCAAAGCAAGAGATGGTATGTTTAGATATTGATAGGAAACATGTTAGCGGTTATTAAAACATTTTCACTTACGCAGTTACTTAAGCTTTGCGGGAGGTAATAAAATAAAAGTAGTAAAAATTTTTATACCACGCATAAGCTTCCACGGATTTCGAAAAGCAGGTATTCTTATTGAATTTGAGGGTACTTTGAGGGTCTGTTTGGTCAAGGACTGACTGAAAAATAAGTAGCATTTATAACCCTAAGTCATGGAATCTATGACATTCAACTCCAACATTTAACGCATTTGAGATCACCCATCAAGATTTGTGACATTACAAAAACTTATTTCGATTTCATTACAATAAAACCAATGGCGTCCTGGTATTGACAAAATATGCAAACGTTGCTAAAATGTGATTGGAATGTTCACTAAGTGCAAAAAATATAAACTTTCATAGGATAGTGTGTGTTTTGTATCTCAAACACACGTTCGCTTGAACCTTTTACATCTGACGGACAATCAATTCTATATTGTATACTATTTCGATACTCAAGTGAATTTTATTGCACAAGCTCACGTCGTAATTGATCTAATTGGAAACAAGTAAAATAGCAAGTCATTAAAAGTATTCAGGACATATCGGACAGTGTATTTTAGTAGAATATATTGCTGTAAACATTATCGTAAAACATTTTTGTTCCGTTATCTACATAACTGCAGGCGCAAAACAGTACATTTTCGTGTTAATTTTTTCCGACGTTTCGGGAGAAAGTAGCACTATATACGGTGAAATAATAAACATGCTTTCAAACGGGACTCAAGATTTAACTCAATATGATAGTTATTTTTTGAATGGAATAACCGAAAAATATTCACAGTGAGTCATATCTAGAGCAATCTAATAAAATATAGTTTGATGACAACGATAAATTATACAAAAATAGATCCGCACTGTCTGTATGCGTTTTTTAACCTTATTTTATAGAAATATCGGAAGCATGTCTACTTGTAATTCAAGCCTTAAACTGGTGTTATCTTACTTTTTCAATGTTCCAATCACAAATGTGTTTGGTTTGTCAAGACATCAAATTGAGTCTTTTTTTCTTTGCGACATTCTTACAGTCCTATTTCAAAATATAAGTATCAGTGAAAAATAACGTGCTTGTGTTTTCAATTTTTATATAAAAAAGCCTTATTTATTATAAAAAGCACTAAAAATCACACAACAAGGTATAAACATTTGAGGCAATTTTTCTTTTCGAATAAAAAACCACGTATTGTTTTTAATGGCTCTAACAGAATATTGTTGAAAAGTGTCACGTTTTTGGACATAAAAAGCTACAAAAAAATACCCTATCATGAACAATCACTTTTAATTATAAATATTTTCATATTATAAACGGAATAACATTTTCAACGTATATATTTTAAAATATGTGGCTGGTATTTTGTAACAACTTTCACAAGTGCATACTGTAACTGGGATTTAATCCGGTAATAGCTAAAAATAGTCAAGTGTTACTTGACCTTAGTTAGTTAGTTTAACATTAACAATTTACGAATACAAAGTGCACCCAATCAACACCTAAACAGTAAATGAATATCGCATGAACAAAGATGTTTGGGTGAAAGAACGTTATTGTATGTCTAATTTATGTTTGGCCGCAAAAATATTTTTTTATATAAAAAAATTTATTTAGTAAATAAATTAGGGCGTTTTTTCTTAGTATTTGTTTAATTCATAAAAAATGTAATGGTTCGAAATTAAACCGTGACCACAACTACCGGAGATAAAAGAGAACGTGATACAGAGTACGATATTACATCAACTTGTATGTAAATGTATATAAACCACATTCAACCTATTCTTTGAATTATCGCCAAGTAAAAACATTTCAACATCAGTGTAATAGGCCCACTTAGCAATTCACACTATACAATATCGTTCAAGTAGTAACAAATAAATGTGTAAATGACCTTCCACATTATGTCGAGTACAGAATACTAATCCGTAATAGTAAGTAATTTCGTGTATTCATTTTATCAACGTTTGGCGTCATAACAACGAATATTTCACATAACAGCATTCTACAAGTACGACATTTAGAATTGCCTGTATTGGTATCATATCGTCCATTTTAGATATAGACAATATTTCAAACAACTAAAAGAAAGTAATCGTTGTTCTAGGCTTTATTTGTAACTCAAAAATATTCATGATATCTGATCTATATTAATATTTTTTCAAATATTGTTATTAGTGAAAATAAACGTTGTGTTCGAGTACCATATAATGAGCAGGATTCGATGACGTCATCGATGCGTGTTACGTCATATTTCTTTGAAAATACAATTTTCAAAAATATCGCCCGCATTTTGATAAGTAGGGTTAGTGACGTCATCAATGAGTGGAACGTCATATTTCTTCGAAAATATAGTAATCAAAAATTTTGTCCGCATTTCCGAATATTTTAATAATAATAATATCAGATTTACTGCCGTAGAACCAATGGCGCATCTATCACAAACTATGTTTGGTTGAACACTTGTAATAGCGAGTGAAATTTACTGTTTTTCCTACTTCGTAACGTAACATGTTACATTAGAAAAAAATATATGCTTAAACGCAGTCATATAGGTATTTCCGAATTCTACGAAAAAGTTCTTGCAAAAAATTTTTGTTCTGATTCTGATGAGTGATGACCTTCATCGATAGTATCAACAATAAGTAAAGAGAGAGAACGCGATTTATTTGAGGGATATGTTGCGTTAGTTGAGAAAATGAAAAATGTAACAACTTTACTTTAACTAACTTGCCATATTGAAGATTCGCAAAGCGTATAACTTGGTGATTTAATGCGAATATTTGGTTATATTATTAGGTAATCAACAGTGATAGGCAAATTTCAAACTAATTATGTATGTTTTATTGTGCACTTGCACATTTTATCTGTGTTGTCAAAAATTTTTGCATCCTTATTTACCCTAACATCGTCAAAAATGAGTTTTTTTTGTTTGGAAATTATCCGCAGCCTTATCAGTGGTACCATCACGGCCTCTTCGTGATTTTGGACGATTTCTCGTTACCGTATAAGATAAATAACTAAGCAAGAACTACAAGAACGGTCAGTTTCTTTCGGGATATGTTTATATATTTTTTTTATCGGACCTATTATGACGCACGAAAGGTCATGGCAGCTTGCAAACAACAACAAACAATCCGGGAAAGAATTTGTGAAATCCGGAATAAACGGGATAGAGATAATATTTGGTGAAATTTAACAATGCCTCAATGCTGCGAAATAAAACGAAACAGAATATATTTGAAAAATTAATTATTCTTTAATTAATTCTTATTTGTTCCAATGATTTTAATACAACAGGTGACATGTTTGCCTTAATTTTATCAATCTTATTTATGGTTTCCTATTTTAAAACCAGTATAATTGGACCATTTTTTTTGCTAAACCCAGTGGAGGAATACCTCAAACATTTCCAGATGTAATGATTACAAATTATATTACTCGCTTTGAGAGGTGAATATATTTACAGATTGCGCGAGTGCGTCAGAGGTAACGCAAATTTCCACATTTTATAGCACAATAATGAAAATTAATGTGTCTACGATTCTACCCACAAGACTTGCGAGGTGATATTTCCTTTGTGATATCGCTTGAACACAACATGATATAGTCAGTTCAATGAATGGTTAAAGAAATAACTTTTAAAATTTCTCCCAAATGCTGAAAAATGCCAAGGAGACTTGATGGAGTTTCATTAGTTTATTTATTTCCAAAAAGTTTGAAATTTTGTCATTATGTAACGTTCTAAATGTTTACCAACTGCTTTCTTGTCTTGTATAAAAGATTTAAACTTAAACATGATAAAATTAACCCTAAACTATATATTTTTGGATTTCATTGTATGTTGTATATAGATAAAATAAAACATCAGCCTAATTTTTTCATAAATTCATACTCAATGCAACTATTATGAGCGCAGCGTAAGGCCTGTCGATGGAATAAGTAACCAAGGAAGGTGTGCTTCATCTTTCGGGGCTGCTTGGCAAAACGCAGTCAAAGATAGGCGAATAAATTACTTGCAAATAGCGGGGAATGTTACTAAAGTTTTTATACCGCGTCTCTATCTATAAATCTCACACAAAGTATCAATTCTGAGATTTTCAGATAACCTTCGCAATAGGATTAACCGCCCTACTTTGTTATTATCGTGGAAACTCAATCTATACTCAGTTATTGATTTAAAGAGTTTTAAACTGGCGATTCTATAACGCGATGTCCTAAATTAGGTTTCCTCATCCGCATTGAAGCAAAAATAAAATCCAAGTTTAGATATAATATTCGGTTACAAGGGTGAAAATATTATTTTTAGTGACGTTATATTTTGATCATTTCCAAAAATAACCCCAAAATAATGTATCTTTTAGGAGAAACACAGCTCTGCTCAAAAGGGGCGTCTTTATACAAAGACGGGCCCCCATAAGTGCCTTATTTTCAAAAAGGAGATTTATTTTATTTCAAATTGAACACCAACCTTTGTCCCAACTGTTGAAAAAAATTCAGAAACTTCATATGAAACCATTATTGAATATCATTGTAACTCCACACTGCAGTTAAATCTGAATTGACATTCTGCACTTTCATAAAGAAATTTTATTATATTTGATCATTTTGCTCTATAGTTATACAGAAGCATTTACTCAGAATTTAATTATACAGAAAAATGACCATTTGATCAACACACTGGTTCGAACTGGACCTGTAGCAACAGAAGTAGGAAATTGCGTTTCCAGTGTTTTGCAATACTATGGATGGCACAGAACTTGTGTTGAAGTTTTCGAGGACGACTTGAAGGAACGGTGAGAATGTGACGTTTTATAATAACTTTGTGAATAAGAATACATAAAATCACAAAAGTTAATTTCAAGAAATTTTTATGCAAAAATGAATATCAGATAAAATTTATAACAATACATTAGCTAAATATACATTTTTTTTATAGTAATGCAAATTATGGCAGAGTTATATAATTTTCAGGCCCTACTATTTTCTTGCCGAAGGGATATATGAAGGAATTTTGCAGAATAGCAGTGATCACATTGTCGATCAAATCAGGCTTTCAGAATTTCCCAGTGTGAATCAGTCAACGTACAGCTACACTGAAGTACTGATGAGCGTCAGAGAATTTGGAAGAAGTGAGTGAACACTTAGTATTGGTGGTAGTGGTACAAGTATCTGGGCTTCGATAATATCTAGTTTCTCCACTTCTTCTACGTGTTAATGCGCCCATCAGATGCAAAAAAGTTTTTGAAACAAGAATCCAAATATATATATGGTATTTATGATATAGACACAAAATTGAAACATGTTCTTAATTACATTGTAAATAGGGCTTTCAAACACATGTGTATACACTTGTACTGTATATACTAAACAAGAGAAATGAAACGTGCGTAGCCGAAAGTGGATCGTGAGTGCAATAGTTTATGAATGCGATGATCATGCTCAGAATAGGAATGGATAATGATACGTGTTAATCTGCAAAATGGCTTCCATAGTAAAAGTCCATAATAAATTGCTAGCATATGCTACGGGCGAAATTTCTTTCAGGAACACGTAGGAAAAATTTCGCTGCCTCATTACTCAACCAGATGTAGACGGGCTCGTTTTCTCAATTACTTTCGCATCAAATATCGCTTTGATGCGTCTCGTAATTTTTTTACTATTTTTATATTTTGACCCGTCATGCGTAGTTTAGAAAAGCGTTATTACGGTCAGCATGTCAGTCTATTAAAACCAGGTCTGGAGATTTTATATGGGCTATCCCATTAAGATTAAAGATTGCTACTTCTCGGGTCTTTAACGTCAGACTTAAAGTACCAGCATGAGCTTTAGGACAGTGTTAAAATGACATTAAAACAAATTAACACCGCATATAGCCTACCTCTTTCTAAACATTGCATTTTAAATATATTCAATATTCACACTACAATATAATTTTGTCGGATTTTAATTAGACCATTCAGGCACCCTTTGTAATACAATATAATTAGTATAAAGCATTTTTTCTGAAATTCTATCAAATATTTAAAGTGATAAATATATTCTTATAACATAATCTAAAAATGCATTCCATTATACACGACAATGGGTTGAGTTTTTGAATTCTGAAAATATTAAACTGTGAATTTACATAGAAGTAGATGTTTTTAAGTTGGTTTTCAAATTAAGTTTGAAGACATATTCACCGAAGTATTTCAATTTCACCGAAGTTTAAAAATCAATAAAATGTTTCCTCATTTTTCCAAACCATTTTTTTTTCAAGTTTCATGCTTTTGGGTTGAAACCATTAGATGATATTGACAAGATGACATTCGATTTTATGGCGTTAAAATAATTCCCTTTTAAAACGACACGCCACAACGACCCACTCTTTGTAGGTCATCCGATCCATACGTCTTACTACTATCAAGTTCATGTCTCATCAGCGATGCGAATCTGAAGTCAATGTTCGAGAAATACTAATTGGCTGTTAAAGGCGATATTTCGAATTTGCGGTCTACTAAGTCACTGTGAACCGTCAGTTGAATATCTTTTGTTCGATCAAATTTGTAATAGTCGTTGAATCCTATTTGCATTCATCTCTGAATCTGCCCTATCTGCATCTTCGTTTCAGTCGAGTTTGCGTGCGTAGTTCGTTAAACGTTCTGTTGTTCGCGTGCCGGGAACCGTTAAAATCGTCTTCATGAGTTCCTATAGACCAGGGGTCGGGAACCCATGGCTCGCGAGCCATATATGGCTCTTTTGGTGACGGCATATGGCTCTCGGAAAAATCTAATATCCCAAGACTAAGCTTACTATTGTTACGAGATTTCAAACTCTTTTATAGCCAAATTTGGCAGGAAATTCCCAATACGTTTGAGAATGCGCGTCCAGCACATGTCTATGTTATGTAAGATAATTACCCGACAGGCATTGTGACAAACAAAGGGGATTCTGGAACATATATTGTGACATCACAGAGCGATAGAGTTTTAAAAACACTACGGAGATGCCTAAACGAAAAACGGGTGATGAGTATCGTAGATTTCAAATTGGGCTGCATGTGAGCAACCGTTCAAGGCCCGTAGCGACTACATGCAGCATAAGAAATCACATTAAATGTATATAGACATTGTATGTGTTGACTTTTGAGTGAACATTTCAGGCCTGATTAAGTGGAAAAATGTTATATGGCTCGCACGGAAATGCAATTGAAAATATGTATATTTTATGGCTCTCTTGACCAAAAAGGTTCCCGACCCCTGCTATAGACGTTTATTCAGCGGATTAGAGTTTTAATTTGAGTTGAATTCGATCGCCTACATCTTGCGATGTATTTGGTAATTACACTATATCACGCGACATAAAGACTTTAATAATACCTTGTTAGGACCAAAAGAAACGTAGCCTTCGTGGGTGATGCCAATTTGCATATGGTAATAACGGATTCGGACGAAGTTTTTCAAAAATTTTCTTTTTCAAAAATTACTTTTCATATCCGGAATTTTTATATATTTGGAATGAATCGCTTGAATATTATCCTGTTTTTGAAAAGTGCCGATCAATTGAAAAATAACCCAGAAGCGTAAATGTCACTTTGAACAGAAAAACTTTGCATAAATAACAGCTCTGTCGAAACGTTGTGAGAATATGATATGTAACAATCTGAACATTTTTTGTTCAATTAAATATACAACGTAAATTCAGATTATCCTTTTCATCTCGTCCCAAAAGACATTATCGTAAATTTTTATTATTGAAATTATTCACGCCGTTCTGTATATATCTTATACATATGGTACTGAAATAATCAACTTCCCCATAGTATATATAGTATATTAATGTACTGAGAAAACTGTCCCAATAATGTTGGCTGGAATAATTTGAACAAAAAAAAAGAAAAAAAAGAAAAGATAAACATTTAACTTTGTTCGTGGTACGCTTGAGTAGATTCAAAAATCTTCAACTCCAAAAACTCAACTCGGAGGATTGATTAAATTATTTCATCTTCTTAGATCGATTTTCAATGCTGAATTAGACTTGAAATAAATTTAACATATTTTTTTTAATACATTTGCCGATATCATAAACTCGATACTTCAGTTAGTGCATAATTTATACTGTAGTGATAAATATATTCTTAAAACGTGGTCTAAAAATACATTCCATTATAACGTGGGTTTCACGACAAAAAGGGGATTGTTTAAATTTTGAAAAATTATTTGAAAAATTGCATAAAATTAGATGTTTTTAATATGGTTTTATAATCAAAGTTTGAAAACATATTCACCGAAGTGTTTTAATAAAAAATCAGAGGAGTTTGAAAATCAATAAAATGTTTCCTCATTTTTCAAAGCCAGTTTATTTTTTCAAGTTTCTTCCTTTTGGGTTGAAACCATTAGATAATATTGACAAGAAAATTCGATTTAATGGTGTTAAAGTGATAACCTTTTTAAAAAGACACTCTACCACGAACCAGTCTTTGTATGCCATCCGACCTATACGTCTTACTACTATCAAGTTCATGTCTTATCAGCGATGCGAATCTGAAGTCTATGTTTGAGAAATACTAATTGGCTGTTAAAGGCGACATTTTGAATTTGCGGTCTACTAAGTCTCTGTGAACTTTCAGTCGAATATCTTTTGTTCGATCAAATTTGTAATAGTCTTTGAATCTTATTTGCATTCATCTCTGAATTTGCTCTATCTACATCTTCGTTTCAGTAAGTTTGCGTGCGTAGTTCGTTAAACGTTCTGTTGTTCGCGTGCCAGGAACCGTCAAAATCGTCTTCATAAGTTCCTAGACGTTTATTCAGCGGATTAGGGTTTTAATTTGAGTTGAATTCGATCGCCTAAATCTTGCGATTTCTTACGTAATTACACTACATCACGCGACATAAAGACTTCAATAATACCTTGTTAGGATGAAACGTAACGTAGCCTTCGTGGGTGATGCAAATTTGCATATTGTAATAACGGATTGGCACGAAAGCTCTTAACCGCGAGTAAAGTATCCACATCCTCTTTTTTTAAATAAATAACTTTCTATATCCGGAATTTTTATAAATATATTTGAAATGCATAGTTTGAATATTTATCCTAGTATTAAAAAGTGCCGATCACAAAAAAACTCTTAAGCGTAAATGCCACTTTGAACAGAAAAACTTCGCATAAAAAACAGCCCTGTCGAAATTTTGTGAGAATATGATACTACCGATGCCTGAAATGGAGATGTATCAATATGAATTTTTTTTGTTTAATTGAATATACACCCCGAATTAAGATTATCATTTTCACTTCGTCCCAAAAGATATTATCGTAAATTTTTATCTTTAATTATTAATTATTAATATTTATTATTTACGCCGTTATGTATATACGTATCTTATACATATGGTACTGAAATAGTCAACTTTTCCATAGTTTATATATATATAGCATATTAAATGTAATGAGAAAACTGTTGTATTAATGTTGCCTTGATATAATAATGAATAATTAGAACAAAAACTTAGTAAAATGAAACGACAAACAGGTAACTTTGTTCGTGGTACCCTTCATTAAAAATCTACAACTTTTCAAGAACTCAACTCAAAGAATTAGATAAATTATTTCACATTTTTAGATCGATTCTTCATGCTGAATTACACTTGAAATGAATGCAACCTAATTTATTTAATACATTTGCCGATATCATAAAATCGATACCTCAATTAGTGCATAATATGCTTTCTATCACCCGGCTTGATCGCTTTTTGTAGTAAAAGCATATAATAGCCCAATAATATGGCACGCGTAAACGTCTTGGATCGCGTGCGCAAATGTGAAGCAAATTTTGTTAATCCTCAAATTGATGCCGTGACTATCTTTCCTATCAGAGTCTTTTCATCTCAGCAACCGGGAAACTTTTACCCTTCAATTACACATTGTGATTTTTGCCTATTATTTCAACCAACAAAGTAAATGATGGGAAGAACGGGTTAAGTTCAATCAGAACCGGCAAGTGTCCAATGGTTAGAATATAGAAAGCATAGTTTGCATTGACAATTGGCCTATCACAAGATCAATATTACTTTGCAAAAAATTTTATCTGCCGGTTGCATTCCTGTTTGTGATTTTTAGACTAAGCCTCTCCGACATTTAAGAGATAGACTTGAAATGTAAACTAGAAGTCGCACGAAACAGAAACATTGCGTGCGTGGAATCCTCCAATTAAAAGCCGAGTCATGATAAAAATTTGAACGCCTGAGAATGCTGAATAATGATTAGAATTCCAATGGTCGAGTGATCAAAATCTCTTATCGACAATGTATCAGAACGTAGAGATTACATGCATACGAATGTGATATGTGCACCTCGGGCATGAATGGCGAGCCTTTTTTTGATCGGGTCACATATCATATTTTGTCGCAAAAAAGAAAAATGTGGGTCATTCAATTGATTGTTAGGAATCACAAAGTCTTAACAATTTCATAAACATCGGAAAACATTGTTGGCAATAGCTGCACATCGGTTGTATAGTATAGTGCACTTACTGCTATATTGTTGAAATTACTGCACTATATATATAAATTATTTTTCGAACATGCCTGGAGCGGCATAGCCATTACAAAACCGCATGCCCGGCATCCACCCCAAGCAGTAATTTTCATACAACAACTAAAATTCTAGGTCATTTTCTTTCATAAGTATTAACTTCATATGATTTTTAAAATACTATCTCGATTCATTCTTAATTGCGATAAAAAACCACATAATATAAGTCAACTTTATCGGCACAAAAAAATTAACTTATTCGCAGAAATATATCGTGCTCACGTGAACGGAACTTTAGACAGTCGACCCTGCTCATTAGAGACATTTCGTCAACGTGTGGATCAAGATAAGAAATGCTTATTTTCGTTTACTGCGAAACGGAAATTTTGTGATTTTGCATGGAGTTCAATACTTCATCGATACCGTCTTTATGTAAGCAAATTTGCATTAAGATAACAATCTGTTAAAATCTTTGTGGTAGTTTAAAGTCATTTCCCGCAAAACCCACATTGCTTGATGACAGTACCAGTCTATAACTTAAGTTCACGTGAATTTGATTAAACAGAAAGTAGTTTTAATCTACGGTCTAAATATTAATCTTTCGCAACTTTTGATTGACGTAAAACATGGAAAGTGGATGTTGGCAACTGACTCAAATATCTTCAAGTAATAGTCGGCATTGTTGATGTTTGCAACAAAGTCGGCTCACGACATAAACTGACAACAAACACAAGTGTGATCTAGTACCATAACCGTCACGCAAATCAATCGGCATCGCTTGTCTGAAAAGATTTATCCGAACTGGTATAGATGACGACAATTTACCTATTAAAATTCAACACTATTATAATAAGCACAAGTAGAACTTACATTCCGTGGCCAGTCAGTCAGTACAACTGCCAAAAGATAGTTGGAACAACTGAGTATGACGGCACAAAAACAATTGTTTCGTCACAATAAATTTGCATTGAAAACTGCTCAGTCCCGGCGACATATGTATTTTGAGTTTGAGACGAGATGTTTTATGTTTGTTAATATAAAACAGATATATCGAATGAAACTTTTAATCTACGTCGTCTTTGTTTGTTTACAACTGCCCGATATTCAGACAAATCATGATAGGCGGGATTTTTTCTGTTGAGTTGCTCTTCCGGAAACTTCAATGACGATTAGACCGACAGATTACCTCACATTGGCGAGCCTGAATAAATTATGATGATGACTAACGGATTATTTTTATTATCAGACATATTCTAGAAAACGTGACCATGTATGCCGACCATAGCACATCAGCTAGTCACACGCATACCTTCAGTCTTACACCATTTTTCAGTTGGTGATGCATGTTTAGAAACGTATGCATTACTGCAGAAAAATATGGCGGTATAAATACTGTATAGTATAATGAAATGATTCAACACGGCTCCAATACAAGTACTTAAATAATTTTGCTCAAAAACTAACAATGAATAAAAAAAAGTGTTTGAAATGAATATGAAACATGTTCACAAACAGTTGATTGAGGGTATCTTTAGCAACTAATAAAATAAACTATACTATAGGCTTAAACAGTTTTCGTTTGCTCCATCTTGATTAATATAATCCGATTGTCCACTGCCCTTTAACAGATTTTGAGATAACCTTATGATAAATGACAGTATAGTTAAATTAAATCACCATTTATCTGTATTCACAACCTAATATCTGAGTTAGAATTAATGAAGGAAATTCAACATGAGCAAGACTATAGTTTAATTTCAGTCGATATATTTCTTGAGTGAATCAGAAAGTATAAACTTATGTCAATATTTATTTGAAGTAACCTCATTCATTGCCCTTTTCTGTTGCATAACGTTACATAAACACTCATTACATTGCGTGCTATTGTTTTAATCATTTTAAAGTTAATCTTCGCATACTTACAAACAATTGAAAAAAAAAATCTACCAACGAGTTTATACAAAGAACAATAACTTGATAATAAATCATTTATAATGATTTATCGTAAGTACGATGAGTGTTAAAAATATCTTTGAACTAGTATCTGAACTTCACCATGTTGGACTGCTCCGTTTAATCTTAATTTTATCAAAAAAAGTCAGTGACAACTCAAGGCTTACAGAGACTCAATTCACAAAATACTTGGTATATGATATGATATTAAACACCTGTAACAAATTGTTATCATAAGGACGTTTGACGTATATGTACTTTAATTACGGTGCAAATGAGACATAATAATCCGGATCATCTCAAATAAAACTTACTGTGCGGTTGTGAATCTCGAAAATGCAGGCTTTCAGAAGTTTTCCGCCTGAGTGTTGGTTAGTGTTGTGACAGGTATGCGATGAGTTTTAACGGAACGCTTTGTTTTGCCATAAATAAATCAAAGCGATAAAATAGAACGTATACAAGAAAATAGCGTGCAAATCAAGCAGGTTTAATTTTGTATGCATGTACACAGTAAAATGGCGTAACACGGGATACTATAGAAAACAAGTGTTCAAATAATTAGTTAGATACGACTAAAAAACATAAAAACTGAAAAATTTCTTCACATCATTTAAAATTAAAATATATCAAGATTGGGTGGACTTTAATACTATGCAAAAATGATACGATATTTGAAATTGCTTTACCTCTTTGAGTTTTGGATAAAGTTTTTAATTTTTGAAGCAGTACCTACAGACTATGCTACAAAAATATCCGAGCACATTCATTCTTGGTAGAAATACCGTGGTTGACTAATCAAATTATAGACTTTTAAAACACTCCATTCATTTTTAGTCATCGTACTAAGCGCCGCTGATCACGTGGTTCGCGAATTTCTTCGTCAAGCTGACGAACACGAATATTCGAACAAAAATTTTGCCTACGTCATTATTGACCTGGAAGACAAACTAGGACCAACACCTTGGATGTGGACTGACCATACGGGAACATTTCATAACGTAAGATATGTTAAACTTCACTTTTGAAGCATATAAAATTGTAAGTATTTGATTAAAAAATGTTTTATTAGTGATGGGTGTATGACCATTGGCCATTCGAATAACCTCTGTAAATTTTTGTTGTGAAAATTCTGAAAACATATAAGTGAGACGTGGTGAAATTGTATAAAGTATTATTTCACGACTATCTGAAAGGTGACTGAATTCGGAAACTTTGTAACAGATGTCGACTTTAAGTAGTGGTTGTGTTATTGCAAGTCAGCAAACTCCAAAATAAAATAATCGTTATTAAAGACCTATTAATTTTTATACTCAAATTCTGCAGGATTCTGCTGTGCGAAGAGGCCTAGAATCCTCCCTTATTATTCGTCTACAAAAAGAGGAAAGTAAAGAGTACGAGCATTTCGTGAAAGAGATTGTATCCAGACTTGGAAAGTAAGTTATTGATCTTGTGTTTTTAAATTCCCACGTTTCAAAAGCTCTGTGAAAAAACAAATAAAATAACTATGTAAATCATATTAATATTATCTAAATAAAATTCACTCACCACTCATTTTTCTAGAAACATGATGATTGAAAACGAAGACGAAGATATTGTTGAACTCACAGTGAAGGCGATAGCAGATCAGGCGAGATATCAAACATCCACGATATCGGAGTATTTTCAGGTATGCTTGTGGAAGATGATAATTATTTTAAATTCCAAGTTATTTTGTAGAAATTCCTGATTTCCATTATTCAATCAGAAAAATGCTAAAAAATGTGTTACAATTTTTATTCTTCCAACTCTTTGAGTTATAACTCTTTAATTCATTTAAATATGACAGAACAAGTTTTGAACAAATATAAAATGCTCCTACATAACTTGCATAACAGCGGAATTCGTGGTCTTTGTGATGATCTTCAAATATGGACTGATATCAAATCGCAGCAAATAACAAGTCGTCGAACCAATTTTTTTGATCATGATAATTGCCAATATGGAGATATTTTGTGCTTTTTTCAATGCGTAATATACTATTTACGTGAGCATTGAGGTTTTTGTATATATTTTTTTCAAATGGTCGCTCGATCAATAAAGGTTTTTGAAATAGTAAAAGCCGTTTGAAATAAATGTACACATCATTTAAAAAAGCTTGTTGGGGGATGGACAAGCGACCATTTTCAACAACAGCGTGTTGTCTTTACAGGTTTTTGTAGACTTGTTTATGCTCTATGTCATACTCGTAGATGCCCAGCCTATATATTTCTCAGAAATTCTGGCACGTTTTGACAAGAAGCCTGTTTACAAATACTTAGTAAACCATTATCCTGATTTTTTCACCGTGCTGCGCCATTTTGTATTCAATTGATAATTCATGAAAAATGGTTATCGCCATTTTGAATTAAGTATCATGTTCCAATACTAAAATTATCTTGATACGAGAAATTTAATGATACCTAATTTACTTCTGAATAGAAAAACCTGTACCCGGCTATTTTTCACGATACTTTGCTAATGGTTGCCGACATTTTAAACAAGAGTATTGATGATGTCATTACTGCGAGATTTGGTGAGGTTGGTAGAGGAGGATACACTGAAGATATGATAGCGCAAGCTATGTCGTTTGCGCTCAATGGAACTAGACTCATGGAAAATTATATAGCGGGGAAATCGTTCAAAGGTATGTATATTATATTTCATTCATCTAGCGTAGCATTAAGCGGTATAAATGAAATCGAAACAAATCAAAGTAACGAATAAATTAGCTATAAATTATATTTTTAATTTGACACAATAAATACAACAAAGTATTCAATAACTATTTTTAGAATAAGTAGTGAATTGCTGTATCAGTCGATTACAAATTGTCCAAAGACGTACTGAAACAACAGGTATTTTGATAGAATGGAATTGTAGACAAAAAAAATTATTTTGAAATCTGAGTAAATGGGAAATATTTGTGTATACGTCCGTTACATAACGATTATGATTATCGCCTGTCAGTCAATTATACATGAAATATATTAATTTTCTCATAAGAATTTCGATAGTTCAGTATGACCACATGAAGTTGTGTGTTTGTATTTGTTTATTTATGCAATACACAATAGAAATTTCGTTGTTCCGTCACCAGGCATAGGTTTCATGGTTCTAGTCACGTTTCATTTTTCAACAAAAAACGGCCTATTTGTAGCAAATAAAAATATAAAAAAACATGATCTCAGTGGTTTTGCGCAGTTTTGCTTTTGTGCGAGTTTGTTTAGTATTTAATGAGAATCGGTATAATAAAAACTGAGTATAGGTCTACTCTGTCTTCTTTAATTTTACTCAGTGCTGTAAATTCAATAGTCTGAAATAAGTTATTATAACGTGCCTTTTATCGCAAAATCAAAGTTTTTTGAACGACATAGTATTAAAATACATGAAGAACGCCGACTGCGCGTCATCTATTTTGAAATTGCTGGTTGGCGTCGTAGTATCAATAAAACGTGCGTATTTGACCACTTTTTTCTTCTCTAATAGGGTAAACCCTAAATAACTTTCCAATAAATAGCAAGAACTCAAAACAATGCCACAAACAACAGTTCAAAGAACACTGCGTAACTGCAAACTTGACAAATATCTGGCCTTTACTCGTGGCACGGCGCGTTACTGCGCTGCATACAACTCCCATACAAATCGGAAGTTCGCGCAAGTTCGACCATATGACAGACGAAATAGAAATGTTAAGCATACATAAAATACCAACTAAGAATATGAAGCCCCTACTTGTAAAATAAAAGTTAATTAGAGAAATTCACGTCTGCTATCAAATATCATCTCCAATAATATATTAGCAGATATAAATAGCAGGCATAACCAGTGTTAAAAAAGTGTGGGACATTTATTTTTAGTAATTTAGTGATTACTTTTATGGTATTTTTTCGCAGTAACAGCAGTTCGGCAGTAACAGCAGTTCGCCAACTTGAAATTTGCATTTTGTCTGCTATATAGCACAGGATATGTTTATTGATGTGTTGATAAACATCTCTGGTAACCCTCGTGCAGGAATCTGATTTATGAATAGCACCATCTCATCCTGAGATACTCACTCCACACTCAACTAGTATAGATTGAATGAGTCGAATGTTATTTTTATTGAATATTGATAAATAAAAAAAACGTATCATTGCAATGGTTTTTTATGCTAAATTACTTTTAAATTATACAGTATGTATACAAACTTTTATTGTTATTTCCGCTATGAGTGATTAGTATATGTTATCATGTAATGTGCAACGTCACTAAAGCAATAAACACTAGTGGTGAATAGGTTATTTCTGACACCCCTAACATGCGTATGTAATACCGCAAATTATGTTTTGCTATGTCATCAATTTATCCTTAACGGGGTTATTGTTTATGCAATACGTCATAGAAGCAATATATATGCTATTTTTGAAACAGAATCACAATTGATCCAGAATTATATCATTGTAAAAAATATTATGTTAAGATATATATAAACATTTTGTCCTGCAGTTTATTTATGAGAACAGAATGAAGATATATATTTGAGCTTTGCTCTTTCGATTTTTCACAAAAAATCTAGATTAGAAATAAGCTTTCCGAACTTGTAATTTAATGAATGTGATCTTTAACAATTCTAGTGATTTTTGATACGAAACCCTCCTTTGTCCCGCCCCAAATATATTTTGCCATGAACTCTATTACGTCATACCCTCTAAAAACTACAATTGCATTGCTTACATCCATCTCCCGAATTTATCTGATTTTATAAGCTTTTAATTTATATTTGTTTATTTTTATTGAAAGTAGATACGTCAATCTCGAAGGAAAGTGGTATGTGGCATCACTAGGTATCGTTTTACTATTTAGTTGCGGTTTTTATTGTTGTAGTGAAGCATGTTTTAATGGAGATTTCATCGACGCATTCACACACAGGAATTGTTAAATTCCACGTCCTTAATTTCAAATTATTTAATAATGCTGTATTAAATTTTAGATATATATTGTAGATAAGAAAAGCTAAGATTGTTCACAAGACCACATGGTGTGCTTGAGGTGATTCATTATTGTGTGAAATATAACAGAATATGTCGATCGAATATAAATATTGGAAATTCTATCACACAAAATTGAAATCTTTTGATGTTAAAAAATTACTTCAACAAATTAGGTTGTTGAAGTTTTTTTTTTCTCAATTGAAGAACCCGACAATTTTCTGACTAGGATTAGACTTCTAATGTATAATATTCTGCATATGATTCCAAACAGTCCTGAAAATTGAAAAATTCAAACACCCTAAGTATTTTAGTTTCAGATCACAATTATCAATTTAATTTGAATTCATTTACTAAAGATTCTCCATATTGAAGATATTTCCTGCCTCATAAAGTTACAAAATAAGCACAAGTCGCATGAGTAGAATTTATATCTGTAATAAAGACAGAATGATATTCACCAGTATAATTTCTAGAAAATGAAAGCGGTTTAAAATAGTAACCAATTTTAGGATCATTCAGATTTAAAATTGTATTTCGTATTTATTAATAAAATTGGTTTGCATATCTTGACACTCATCTTTCAAGATTAAGGATTAACTTTGACCCTTAAGTTGTATTTTTGTCTATTTTGCATAAAATCTCTTAGATGAACTCATATTTAGGATAAATTGTTTGAGGTTAGGCACAAATTAGTTTTCGTATAGAGTTTCCTTTTTAGTGAAGAAAGAGATAAGCATGTGTATTTTTACCTACATTGTATATGTCAAAGTCGTTAATAATTCAAATAACATACGGGCTGGCATTTGGATTGGAAACATAGCCAGAATACAGCACGAACCGTATGTCTCAAATGTTTTTGAATATGACGATTTGTGTTAAAAATGGCAATCTATATTTAGTTTTGTAAAATGTTGTTCAAATTTTCTCTTTTTTCTCCCTGTGATTTTTGTTCAAATTTCTTTCTATAATTTTGATTTATTCTATAAATGAATTGATTCTGCTAGAATGACTTTTAAAACTAAATATATTTATAATGTAAAACATTTGTTTCGAATTCTGAAACTATAGTAATAAACAAAAAATGTGTAACGCTAAACCGCAGGCTACATTTACAAACTGGACTAGATAATAAGTAATATACAATCCAGTTTTGCTGATGACTTAATTGAACCTATATATTTTAATAGGAATTCCTGTTTTAGAGGTGATGCTGCGTTGGTGGAACGTGTAGACGTAATACTGTGACACTAAAAGTCAACTAGCACAGCAAACTTCCAATATTAGCAAAACGTAGATTGTAAAATATACATACTTGTGCAATTTAGAAACTTGTATTCTGGGTAAACATAACTAATGGGAGAAATCTTTAAGGGATCATCGTGACAAAAATAGATAAAGTATAACAAACTTGAAACACACTGCTCTAAGCAATTCAAAATCACTAAAATTACACTGTTAAGCATAATATGTAAAATATCCAACGACTTCACTAAATGGGGAATGTAATAATATTACGAAGCCATATGGTCGCAATCATCGTTTGTTTTTGGTAAACTTTTCGTCTTCATAAAATTGTGGTTTTAACGTCTTCACTATTTTTTTGTATCATATTACAAAGAGAAAAATATGTTATGGGTTAAGTAGGTCTGTTTTTGAAGATGGGTGGGTGAGCTGACTATAATTTAAAAATCGACATCGACAGTTGGGTATCTTTGCTGTATTTTGAGCCCATTAGGGCACTGACCCTTATATATACAAGACAAGATAGTGTTGTCCCAACAAGTTTTCGTAGTTATGAAAATGCCATAAAAATTGTTTACCATATCTTCCTCATAAGCGTGAAAAATGAGAAAATGCTGTTAGGCATAGAGGTACCATAGACATCTCATGAAATCGTTACTCAAAATGTTACACACTACATTTAGTTCTTAGATTCAAATATACTGTGAATAATTTCGATTTTGCTTTAAATTTGAATTCGATAAACTATTTCATATTTACCCAGATGATATACCGTTTAAAAAAAAATTCCAAAATAATTAATTACTTTCAATTTCTACAAATTTTTTGAAACTGATTAATTCTTATAATTTCCCCTATATCACTTTTTAAAATATTCTATTTCAGGTGTGACAGGGAAAATGTCGATGAACAATAACGGAGACAGAAAAATTGATTTTGATATTTTAGATTTGGATCCAGTTCAGGGTAAGATAAATAATAAAAAAGTCCATTTTTTTTCGATTAGCATAGTTTTTGATAAAAATAAAATTTCATGTCATTTGAATTAGTCTACTAGGTATTTAAAGTCAAGGTAATTTTATAATAATCAATCGTGTTGGAAACAAAATACTTAATATTTTAAAACACCGGTTGAAAAATTATTTAGACATTTTTGTAATTGCGTAGAAAAAAAGTTAATTACAAAGATTTTGTGACCGCCATTTATTTTCACGAATTAAAAATTACAGGACAATTTGTCGTCGTTGGTGAGTACAACTCAGACACCGAATTCTACAGAGAACTACCAAAAATGGCGGCACATTGGCCTTCCGGTACCCCACCTCCGGATGTACCAGTTTGTGGATTTTCGGGTGGAAAGTGCAAGAAGCAAAGTAGGCATTTTCCTGGAACTTGCGAAATTCAAAAATTTACTTACTTTTTCATTGAAACTATTCAAAAATAAAAACATAAAATTAGTCCGGTTCAGTCCGAGTGTAACATAAAGTACACATTTAGCCTTAAATTTTGAATACAATATTATCATTATGATAGTCGATAAATTCGTTCAAATGTGAATAAAAAATTTGTGTGGCCACGCCTTCATTGCAATAACTTTCACAATAGGATAGGCAACAACAGTTTACAAAAATCAACAAAAAATGACATAAATTTTTTGTCGTCAAAATTTGACATGATATTTATTTTAAATTCTGAAAAAATCAAATATACACATTTCCTTGCCGTTTTTTCGAACATATAGATAAATCGTTATCAGAATTCAAACCGGAATGTTCCATTATATAATTTCGGAATTTTGTGGCAAAAGGCATCAGACGCATATAATATTAAATACGTCGGTGTGATAGAAAAACATCAATCATACAAAACACATTTTGACAGTTTATTTTGAATACGTGAGTGTATAGGCTGAAAATGTCAGCTTTCACAGCATATAACCATACATGTACAACTATCTAAAACGTTGCAAATTTTAATGCTTCATTTAGGACTGACAGTGACGGAAGCGGTCGTGATTTCCGTTGTATCTTTAGCTGCAGTGGTCGCAATAGTTTCTATCAATGCCTACAGGTATGTATATTACATATATATTGGAAATATATTCATGTTTCTTTGCATCAGTTTATTTTGATATTTATATTGTAACACCGATGTGACGTTAAATTGGAAATTGTAAAACCTCTTAATAAACAAATATAAATATATAAACGAAGATATAAACCGCGTGACGAAATGATATTAAACAATATTTCATTGATCTTTTAATTATGTATAAACTTTTTATCTTGAAGTATTAGAAAACCTTTGATAGTAATGTTTATACATACTACATCGCGTTAATGAATACATTTAAAATAGCACATTCTTAAGTATTCTAATGTATGCCTCAACTTAGGATTTTATACAATGTTCTATTAAACTTTTACAGAAAATACAAACTGACCAAAGAATTACAAAGTCAGTTGTGGAGGGTACTCTGGTGCGACATCACATGGGTAAACGACGGAACATCAAATATGGCAAACGGACCTACACCAGGAGTGTTTGGGGGCGGTGCAGACTACAGAGTTACACCTCAAACTCCAAGAAGAAACAACACCATCGATTTTGCTGGAAGCGATTTGTCTTTAGCAGAGGTGATGTCTTTTGCTGTGCCTCCTTTGACTCCTACTGTTTCATCTAAGCGAAATCACAGGCGTCCTAAAAAGTTCCGTTCACGAAAATGGAGCAATAGAGTGGACGATGCTGAGGTATAGTAAGCTTAAAATAGGGGTGGCGCCGTGGTGGTGAATAAAGGTGAAAAATGCACATGGTGAAAGTAACAGGTGAAGCGATCATGTATGGTAGTATTCTATTGTTAACTCAAAATAATAAACGCATGGATCTAACTATGGTGAATAAAAGCATTTCGATGTATTTAGCACTTAAATGTATAAAACAAAAAGTTTTGCCGATATCTCAAAGATCTTTCGATTTATTAAAACGGTTTTGCAGTTACCGTAAAACTGTAACATTTTGTCGCTAACGTCCGTATTTATTTATTTGTTTGTTGCTCTGTTTACGTGTTTCAACAAAATCGCCATTCTCCCGTCAGATATTTGCCGGAAAAATATTAGACGGTTATCCAGTTAACGTTTTATTTTTGCAAGACTAATAAATATTTTATCTTTTGTAACAATGACCTTTTATTTGACTTGAAAAATTCAAAGACGATTTATCTTTTCGATATCATTTCAATACACCACTTCCGAACAGTACTAAAATCGGCACGATTATTTGGATCATGGTTTAAAATACAATTTTCGTCATTTTCGGATAAAAATATGCCGTTGGTCAATAAAAAACAAAATAAAAACAAAATATGAGCGATGTCTGTTTAACTCGGTACGAAACAACTGAATAAATATGGAGTCTGTGTTTGATGTATTGATGGTCTTTGCTTATCAAAATATGATGCTAAAAGATAGCGACATGAACTATGCATGAGTATAAATGACGTATAAATACAATAAATATTGTATACTTTTTGTCATATATACGGCAGTGGTTATGGTGAATATTTCACACTTATTGCGATATTTTTTCATATCAAAACTGTTTCATTTCGTTATTGCATGCGAACCTGAGAGGTAAAAGGGTTGAAAAATGTCAAAAATGAAGTCAATTGTTATGAAATGAGTATGCCACACAATAGTTTTTATCTGTGCACGTACATATCTTATGAGAAAGTAAGAAAGTGTGATTTTCTCGATAAAGTTATAACACAAAAGATATGAATACTAAGGCAGTTCCATAACTCAAATTTATTTTATTTAATAAATTTCTGTTAGTTTTTCTGTCGAGTCATTACTATTGAATTCGGTATCAGTAGTACTGCTGTAATATTTGACATTTTCCATTCGACTCTTTTCAGAATCTGTTCAATATTTCAGACGATAATTGAATATGTTTTGATATTTTTTAGTAAATTATAATTTTGGTATATAATTTCAAACTATCACTAAATAAACTTATTTACAACTTAAAATTTCAGCAAAGAAAAACCAGTTCCGGATCATTGATCAGTGACCGTACAGGTGGAACTTGCACCACTCTCGGAATGTACAAGGTAAGAAATAAATATGCTCGAAGTCTTTAAATTTTTTGCCTAATAAACCGCTTCATCACTATATTCTCCTTATACCGATTAGCGTATAAAAAGGGTTAAAAAAATTAATATTTCAGATCAACTAAACTCAGCCATCGTATGCGTTACATGATTCTATGTTTCATAGTTCAAAAATGCGAATTCTCGTCTTACAAGATATAATATTGCATTTTGATGACTTTTATCGAAGTTTGGGAATGAGACACATTTTGATGATAGTCGTATTTAGTATCGGATGTCGACAAAGGTCCATTGATACAATCCTACACTGAACTTGCAAAAATGCATATGTGCATGAAGTATTATAACGAGTAAATTATATTTGTCGATATTATTATAGATCGTGTTGATAAATATATATTTGTTTATTCAAACTAGAATTCAAATTGTTTTGACTAGCACTGTGAAATGGCAATGTGCAACATAATTTTTCCGTCGAATTTGCATATTGATTCTTTGAATGCCACCTACCTACAAAATTAGTGGTCTATAGTTGACCTCGTGACCCTAATATGATTAATCACATCAAAACAGTGGATACAATCCAAGCAGATCGGAATTTCTAACGACGTTATAATCGGTAGTTAAAGAAATCTTATATAACTAAACGAGCATGCGGTAAAATCAGGAATCGGTATTGTCGAAGTGAACCGCGGTCAAGTTCAATACAATCGAATATACATTACCGTTCGGCACGGCGGAATTTGTGGTATTTATATGTGGAAAAAAAAATATTTTATTCAACAACATTTCCATTTATTGAATTGCACTACTAAATAATCTACATTTTTTCAAATCATTACAGGGAAAACTAGTGATGATCAAACTCACTAATAGAAAGAAAGTGGAGCTTACAAGAAGTTTACAAATGGAACTTAAACACGTAAGAATTTTTTATTTTATTGGAAAGGGTCTTATCTTTTTTTCTATAATTCGAGTACACTCATATTAAGCGTTCGTGCTATTCCTTTCCCTTACAAATTTGATTACAGTATAGGCATCCATTTCTCAACCCCGTCTAATACGCAATATAGGATAGGATTTTTTATTTACACCAGTGGAGAAGAAAGCCTACAAGACCGCGAACCGCGGCCTATCGTATAGTGATGGGGATCTCTGATCTTTCAAACATTTATCCGTTATTTTATTTTCTTTCATAACTATTATTGCCTTATCCTCAAGCCAAACTCTTATTTCTCTATTCAGATGCGAGACATCACTCACGACCATTTGACTCGATTTGAGGGAGCATGTGTTGATCCACCTCGTATATGTGTTTTGACCGAATATTGTCCAAAAGGAAGTTTGCGAGATATTCTGTTGAACGATGAAATTCAACTCGATTGGATGTTCCGATATTCACTCATGAACGATGTTGTAAAAGGTATGTTGGTTTGTAAATAAAATTAAACTCATTTCAAAATTTTGAGAATACTATAACATCATATGAAGACATGGGTAACTTTGTACTGAAACACACAAAAAAAACTTTATCACGTTCAAATAATTTGTCAAACGATTGATTTAATCATAAATGTTTTTCCTGTCAAAAATCTAAACTAAAGGGTAATTAACAAATACTTTATGGTTTTTATACATCGAACAAAAATCAAAAGTAATAGCCTGTACGGTGTATACCGGTATTTCTTCAAATAATATTGCTTAAAAAGCATTTTTCAACACGCCCCTAAATCGGATGAACTAGGATAGATAGCAAAATGTGCTTTGTCAGATAATGTGATATAAAACAAATATTTATTTGTAATATACAAGGTGAAAGGGTCATACACGGTTAAGAGAAAGAATATGTAATAAAAAAGACATACAAAATCATCCCTACTCCATTTATAGTAGCAACAAGATATCATTTTAAAAAAACATTTCTATAATTTTAAGGATTCGCTTATAGCAGGATTAAAAGTTGTTTGGAATTTTAAATTAACTATAAATTTAAAATGAAGATTGTCATATTTTTAAAAAAAAGTATCTCGATGAGTAAACCATTCCAATCAATAATTAGATCGCCTTTTTTACCTGATATACCAATAAATATATTGTGAATAATGATTCGCAAATTTTTTATTAAAATTTTTTAGAATCGTCAACATAACAATTGCGTTATCTCACTTTTTAAGAATTAATACAACGTCGCTTTGTTTATTATACATTCTTCCCATATTTCCGCAGGGCAGGACATAGATAGAATACAGTTATGTATAACTCAGTGAGCTCCTAGAATCTGATACAGAAAACACGAAGACCACCTTTAAGCAATTTGTTATGGTAGTAAATAAGGCATTTCTGAAAAACAGTTCGATTCTTGAAAACGCCAGTTTTTGAAAAGAAAAATCAAATCCCACCAATATTTTACAGTGTCTTTATAGCATATTGATTTCATGGATTCCTCTATAGACATTTCAGTAAATATGTACATTAATAAACACTGGACCTTCAATGCCCGCTCCGTTGACCAGCTTAGAGGCAAATTCTCCCATGTTTCAAAATTTATAACATTTTAATCAAAATAAGCTATATCAAATTAAAAAATTAATAATAAATAAAATGTGTAAAGTATTTAAACACAAATAGGTAATCCCAACTCTCGAGCCATTTCATAAAATGTATGGAAATGACAAAAAACAATGCGAGACTCTTTCATATAATATTCTTCGACTAAAATTACCCTAAATTAGAGAGCTGGGTCTCTAAGTATCGGCGTTTTGAAATTCGAAATATTTAAGTTTTTAGATGCAATCAAAAGTCAAATAAACGCTCGGGGCGCTCATTTCGTGCTTTTATCGTTCGTTTCAGCGAGCGTTTTTTGTTATCTTTAACAAATGGTTAATTTAATTACATAAAACAATTTTTTGTGTTGTTTATAGGAATGAGCTTTTTGCACGGAAGCGCTATTCATTCACACGGAAATCTAAAGTCTACAAATTGTGTTGTTGATTCAAGATTCGTTCTCAAAATTACTGATTACGGGCTGGCATCTTTCCGTTCCGTACCATGTTACGAAGACTTTGACCAATTTTATGCAAGTAAGAAATTTACAGTTGTTTCTACTTATAACATATTTCTGAGGAAGCTACTCATTTTCAGATATGATTTCAAACCTTACCCAAATACACACAAATGCAGTGAACCATTTATGAAACGCTTGTTCTTTTAATTAAACTTCAATTGACTTTTTTCATCAAATATGACCTATTGTGTCTAACAACGAGTACGTATTCCAGGTTTATGTTATTATTATCAATTAATCTAAACAGTATCATTATATCTGCAGATCTTATATCAACAGTTTATTGATATTTAACTAAGAATTATTGGACGTGTTCCAATTTAAGGCCATTTGGACTTTTTGTCGGCGTATATTTCCTAGCGTAAAATTTGTATTGTAATATGATAAAATTGACGCCCAGAGCCATGGAAGCATTAACTTAAAGGTCAATAGCAATATTTGGTCCTATCTTTTTACGTCGTTATAGCTAGAAATACACTAATCACTCGTAATTTTCATATACCTTTTGACCTAAAATTCCAATGTTAGTGAGGGCAAGTTTCGTCTCATCGAAGTAAAAGCAATATAGCATTTATTGTTCGTCCAAAGCCTTATTAATGTTACTAAAAGCTGTATTTTATTTCACAGAACAATTATGGACCGCGCCCGAGCTTCTAAGAATGGCTTCAGCACCACCTAGTGGAACTCAGAAAGGCGACGTTTACAGCTTCGGGGTTATTTTGCACGAGATTGCACTTCGAAAGGGTACTTTTTATGTTGAAGGAATGCAACTTTCGGCTAAAGGTTAGGAAGCTTCATCGTGATTTATTCGGCTACATATTTGTAAAAAATTGAAATAACATAAATATGAAAAAAACTCGCAGAAAATTAATTATATATTTTCTTATCAGAGATATTCACTAAAGTGCGTAATGGATACTATCCTTACTTTCGACCGTCTGTGGACTTCGATGCACTCAGTGAAGGATTTTGTCATTTACTACAACGCTGTTGGAGTGAAGACCCGGCTGAAAGACCTGACTTTACAGAATCAAAAGAAATAATAAAGCGATTCAACAAGTATGAAATTTTTTTACAATTTGTTATTTAGTTCGCAGCATTAAACACCGAAATCATTATAGTGTGTCAGCGTATTTTGTACTGTGGACCACGATTGGTTTCAAATTTGATAACAGTTGGTATTTTAGCTAGAGGGGAACAAACTCCCCGGTTTGAATTGTCAGAAATTGAATGATTAATGGTCGCTAATCAGCCATGACTCTGTTTTAGCGAATGCCATCACTTTCAATTTCGCTGCCTATCCTCTTGTATGAACAATGTGAAATTGACATTCACTTTTGTCCAGGGGAAATCCAGGAAATTTGCTGGACAGTTTGTTATCGAGAATGGAACAGTATGCCACCAACTTGGAAGGATTGGTCGAAGAAAGAACAGCTGCTTACTTAGAAGAAAAGAGGAAAGCAGATGATCTGTTATATCAGATGCTTCCAGTGTAAGTTTTACTTTGATAACTGATAGAAATCGGTAATTACTGGGATATTGTATACCTAGCAGTCCAACTAAACAAATAAGGATACCCTTGGACACAACATAATTGTTTATTTTGTACGTGTGGCATTAATACTCATAATCATTGATTAATAAATTTCCTTTGCCTCTACAGTCCAGTTGTTCATCGATTGAAGCGAGGAGATGCTGTACCAGCCGAAGCATACGAAAGCGTCACCATTTTTTTCTCCGATATTGTCGGATTCACTCAATTATCAGCTACATCTACACCAATGCAAGTCGTAGACATGTTGAACGATTTGTACACTTGCTTCGATGCTATCATTGATAATTTTGATGTTTATAAGGTACGGAGTGAAAGCAATTTACTAACTTTTACCTCGACATAGGCTTGCACGTAATTGACAAAAATCAATTCCGTAATTACGGCAAAATCAATTACGTAATGACCCCGTAATTGCGATATTTTTCCACGCATTTAAACCTATCATAACAACCAATTGAATCCACTTCTTTTCCGAATGGGACATTGAAGTTGGGTTTTCATATTCTTGACAGTACTACACGCCGGCGGCAGATGTTAAATACAAATATCAAGGAGTGAATTCAAATTAATTTTATTCTGATTTTTATCTTTTGTGTTAGCTTTGGTTTTCCTTTATCACCTTCGCAAATCAAGCGTCCCATTTTTATGCGATCAATTTTATTTTATCATTACCGACACTGGTATACGGATATTTATGAAAACGATAGTTTTTTAAAACCACCTTAGTACTGAACAAAAATTACGGGTTTCTAATTTATTAACCAACGACGAGCGTATTCTCTCGTTTGAAAAAGTAAAATGGATACAAATGTTTGATAGACCATGTTTGATAGATTGATCTCCTGCGTTCATTAGTCATTTCACCCGAACAAGTTGAAACCGGGCGTGTTAGCGTCCATCGGTCGTAACACAATTCTTCCCCCTATCTACGGTTATTATGTACATTGGCCATGGCCATGCTAGATAAGATGCGAGAGAAGTTGAAACCAGGTGTGTTGGCGTCAATCGGTCTCAACGCAATTCTATCCCTTATCTACGGTTAAGTTGCGGGAGAAGTTAAAACCAGGTGTGTTGGCGTCAAACGGCCCTACTCAGTTCTTCCCCCTTAACTACGTTAATAATTTACATTGGCCATGCCAGATAAGTTGATAATAGGTTAGTAAATAGCACCGCGTCATGCCTTCCTTCACCTACGTAACAAGAGAGAGAAAAACGGCTGCGAATACCGGAACTCTAACTTCTTCTATTTGTTGAGCTTTCATTTTTCGCAATCGACGAAATTGACTGCTTTGAAGAAAGCTCGTTTCAATGCAATAATTACGACTTTACGTAATTCGTAACTTCCCTTCCGTAACTCCAAATAATTACGTAATTCCGTAAATCCGTAAATTACGTGCAAGCCTACTCGACATAATTATCAGCTAAACTATGCTGAAGCTACATGAGTTACTTTAGAAAAACTCATATATTTGAATACCCTCTTTGATTTGTTTACTCATTATACCAAAAAAGTAAATAATAAAATAGTAGTTACTTCAATTATCTATAGGTCGAAACCATTGGAGATGCTTACATGCTTGTCTCTGGTTTACCCGAGCGCAATGGAATCAGGCATGCCGCAGAAATAGCAAGAACTTCGTTGGCACTCTTGAGCGCGGTCAACAGTTTTAAAATACGCCATAGAAACGGGGAACAAATCAAATTAAGAATTGGCATACATTCAGGTATAATATCATAATTTCATTTATACAAATACCAATTATCTAACGGAAATACATGACAACGATACGGATACCTCCACTTATGAGAATCTAATATACAATCTCTTGATTATGCATCTTTTGTTGCAGAAATATTGAAATAATAAGATATGCTATGAAAATATGTTCGTTTGCATGCCCATATAACTATTCAAATTCGAACTAGGGAAAGTTTGGGAAAAAATGAGCATGTAATCGACTTATTTCAGGACCATGCTGCGCTGGCGTCGTTGGTTTGAAGATGCCAAGATACTGCTTATTTGGAGACACAGTGAACACTGCTTCAAGGATGGAGTCGAATGGACTACGTAAGTTTTTGGTGGTAATATATTGCCGTTTGCCTCCTTTTTCACTGTAATAAATAAATCCAATTTGTACAGTCGTCAAAATCCATGCGGTCTACTATACACATGTCAAAATTTGAGAAATATAGCTTTTAAACCACAATGAGCTAAAATTATTTTAAATCGTGATATCCGATAAGTCATGACTATATGCCTCACCTTAAAGAATTAACACTAACAGAATGTGATAAATGCGAAGACCAGGAAAAAAATTTAAGTCAAAATATATACAAACAAACAACTCGCATCAAAACATTTTCTGTTGCGACTTGCGGTGAAAGTTTATTTATTTGTTTACACATAGTTTGTGTCGCAATTTAGGACAATTTGAATTGATAAGATCTATACCTGTCTATTCTGGATAAAAACAAATAATGACGTAATTATTCAAACGTTTCAGTGAAGACCATCTTGGGCCCGTTAGCTCTTTATTATTTATCTGACAGCAATATACAGATATCAATCAATGTACATCTCGCCACACCCACGATCAGACTAAGAATACTATATAATAATATATTATAACTATTCGGATAGCTAAAGAATTAATGTAATGTGCTTCTATTTATAGCATTGTTGATCCATGTTTCACAATCGACGAAAAATCTGCTGGACAGATTCGGATCCTTTCATCTGGAACTTCGAGGAGAAATAGAACTGAAGGGGAAAGGGAAAACAACAACGTATTGGCTTTTGGGCGAAAATCCGTTAGTAATAGAAGAGATTTCAGCAGAAGAGAATGAGAGTCAAGTATGAATAATAACCTCGAATTGGGATATGTACAAAACGTAGGTTGCTGGTATTAAGTCTGGTAACAACGTAGAAGGTCAAAATAAATTTATGACAAAGGAGAGTTGCGATATGTGAAAAATATAACGCGTATCTCTGCAAAAAATATTCAGCACGCTTCCTGGCAAGATGTAAACTGTAAAGAATCACAGTTATTAATGCTCACTGGCCGAAAGGTAAAAATAAAATGGACCCAGCCAACTTTGCAAAGAGTTTTTGCAAATCAAGTTCCAGTTTTACTATGACTCACTGTAATTGACCAATTAAAAACTATTTATATTAGCTATTTTTCAAAATGATGATTTGTGTTTTATCATTCATTGATCGGTGAAAATGTCCATTGCAATAAAAAATGGCAATCAGCTGAGCGCTGCTACAGTTCTGACAATTGTTACTATTATTACGCAATAATGTGGAGTCACTGACACACAAACATGAATAATACCATTTGACATTATGTACGTATCGCACTTGGTAATATTGGAATCAACTTAAACGACTTTCGATAGTTTTATATGTGAGACCAAACAGTTTTTTAATATTTCTATGTTTAATATGAAAAAGGTATATGCAGGTACACGTTTTCAGACGCGGCATGCCTGTTGGAATCCAAGAATAAAAGCATGACCCCGCGACAAGTAAGCCCAAATAATATCGTGTGTTAGGCTATCTGCCGTACAGAACCGTTGACTTACGTTTGTTTCAATTCCAAATCCGAATCGATTTGAATTTTGATTTCAATGTGTCTTGTATTGCTCATAGTTATATATTGGTAAGCAGAAAATGATAGAATCAAAAAAAAAAACGAATAATATGTGTCACTGATTTGCAATTGCCGAGAATTGTTATTCAATGTGCTTAGTTCAAGTAACGCAATGCAATTACTGCATAATACTTACTGTTTGTCGTAATTTCTTTCAATATATCCATGACATTCTGCTTTTTTAATATATGTGTTTTGCAAATTAAATTTATTATTAAATCTCTGCACTTCATATCGTTTGTACGATATTCGTACCTGTTTTCAATTGCGAATATATCCCGTTTCCTATATTATGTACTTTTTCATGAAAATCAATTTGCTTTCTTATATTTTCTTTCATTAGTTAAATTTTTACGTTTCGTTTTAAATAGAAATCTAACAAGACAAGCATATACTGGTGGTTGGTATATATATTATAGATATTACAATATTCTATGCTGAGGTAAATAAGGAAACCCGACTAACTAATCGTTCACATTCCAAAAACAAATGAAAGTTGAATGGCAACCAGTCATTTTCCTGACCTTCTCTAAAGTAATTATTTAAAAGGGCAACTAGACGGCGACGCATTCTCTGACGAAGGAACCTGCCAAAGCACCAGTTCTAAAGTAATCAATGTAATGTTGCTTTTGCCATGTTTCATTGTTTTGAAAATACCCCCATTCTATTTGATGTAAATAAAATGTCGCAGCATGAGCCCATAATTCGTTTATATCGATAATGCGCCATTGAGGCGTCCGAGATGACCATAAAAATTGGTTGATTTTTGGAATGTTTTGATAATTAGCGAACCTGTTTTTGTTTTAGACGAGCGCAGCAAATGGGTTTCGTGTGCCGCACCCGGCGACTGGCGTTCGAAAGTTATGTACAGTATTAAATTAATAATTATGTACAGCGAGTAAAAAAGTCGCAAAGTCGCATTCAAGTAGCGAGTATTCCAATTTGTTTTGGTAAATATAAGTGGGATGCTAATGAAAGTAATTATTGGTTAGTTTCTTATCTAGATTATGTTTGAAATATATATATTATCAAGGGATTAGGATCGAAAAAAGTACAACAGAACAAGTAATTCAAGAACTTCAGTTTGAGCCCAAGCCATTCAACCAAGTACCGGTGGTGGTAGAAACCTTGGTCAAATTCGGCTCATACTGATATATTTGTATGTTTTTCTTGCAATGAGCATTTTCCAAAGCTAAGGGATAGAATCTTATCGATGTTCGAAAACACATTTGCGAAAGCACTTTCTTCGTTATGAAGAGACTCAAACCTGATTGTTATTCAATTGTAAAAGTATGAGACCAGCAGGCTCAGTTTCTCGCAGCTATCATGTCGAATTATGTGTGATCGTAGGATGTCGCATGATACCGTGCGCTATACACACAATTTTTTTGATATGCCAACATAAATAAAATTTGGCAAACAACACTGCGTTGAGATGCTCAGCAGTCAACGGTATGCAGTTACTACCCTCGAGCTATTCACGGCACAGGCGAGGCCGTATCGCAAATTTATCGTGCTGCGACAGCACGGGAGCAAAACAAACGACGAGATATGACAAGCACACTTTAAAATCGGCTGTGTATGAAGAGCAAACGGTTTCATATCAATCATCACGTTTCAATGCTGCACGCGTCGAGTTCAACGTTACCTAACGGTCGGTAAATTGTTCGAGTTCTTGCAGACTTCGTAAAGGTAGGCTACATTAAGACTTAGGTAGAAGGGGGGAACTTAATGTGACTCATAATCTTATCTGGTTATGATAAGACTATGTATATTCATACTGCCGGGTAACGGCAACTAGTTGACAAAGTTGGAGCTAATTATCTGATAGCCAGTAGGCCGTTTTCGAAGTTAAAAATATTGTATTGTGCCATAGTCAATATATATCTCAACTCCCATGAGCTTAAAGTGAATAGAAAGCGGTAGGTCATTGGCTCAAAAAGCAAGTTACAGAGGCTGTCAAAAGTTGGAATAAATATGACCAGTCACACTGTCTTTTTACAACGGCACTTACTGTCTTTTGCATAAAGGAACGAAGATGAGCTGAAATTTATATATATCCCGGGGAGACGAAATCCAATACGACGCGCGGCCTCTCGTCTTGTCAAATTGCAGATAGATCATAGTCCACGTTATTGTTAATTTTATGTTTTGAAATGCAACTTTGCTATCTATGCCAAGGGCGAGAGCCGCTAGCAGCCGACCGGAACGGGACAAGAGAAAATGGCCGAGTCGCGGGCAACCGGGCGTAACAGAGTAATAATACCAAGTCGGGTAACTTTGATAATCGTGTTCAACTACTATGGATATGGTAATATTTACATCAAACAAGTGTGCTATCTAAATATTAAATTCATTTTATGCACCTGTTACTTACGTGGCAGAATGGACAGACGAAAACAAGAGCTGCAAATAAATTGTTTATTTCAGACTGAAACCTTATACCTCTCAATAGAAATGAGTATATTTTAGATTGGGTATTTAAATGTACCTAATATAGTAAAGAAACAGATAAAATGAAATTTGTCAGTACAAGAGGCGGTGTTGGATTAGTTTCATTTGAAGACGCTTTATTTTCCGGTTACGCTAACGACGGTGGACTGTTTGTACCGGAGAATATACCACAAAGTAAGATTAAACTATACCTTTGCTTCACTTAATGGCTGACCTAACACCCAAAAAGTAAATTTTGCTCTGTAGTATTATGCATAGAAATTTCATAATTTCTTTCACTGGTGAGATTGTATCATATGTCAACTCCATATAAAATGACATTATTTTTATCAGACTGAAATAATTTGTGAGTCATGTGGTAAAACTGAGCACTATACCGCTATATCAAACATAAATGTCAACTAATTATTTCACATGAGTAGATGTGGGATCGGCTTCAAAATTTTAAAACATTTTTGGTGGCAGAACGTACCGCAGAGAAATGCACCTCGCATCACAAACAAGTTTTCAAATTTTATTTCTTTATGTTAATATTCTTCCGTATTGTTTAACGTCATCTGCTACTAAACTCAGCAAAAATGTTGTCTCTGATAGTCTTTCATGTCCCCATGCCTTTTTCAATTAAAAGATTGTACGTTTTTTCGATATTTTTATTTTTTGTTCAAATGTACAATGTTTGCCGCACGACGAAAATGCCTATTCGAATCTATACATATTTATTCAAAAATATCATGTATTCCAGTTCCAGTTGAAACTCTTACATCATGGAAAAATTTGTCATATGCAGAAATAGTGGAAAAAGTTGTATCGATTTTCGTTACCGAAGAAGAAATCCCCCGAAAAGATCTCAAAAGTAAGATTGCAAAATTAAATGAAAAACATTTTAAAAAGATTCTATGAAAAATAATATTTCCAGGTAAGTTGTCTGTGACAGTGTCTGGGCGATTTTTCGCACCGATTCCATACGATCCTGACAGATGTACATTTCTAGCATTTCCCATACCTAATATTTTTTATATAAGTGAAGTAAAGAAAATCGCTTTCTAGTTATGGCCGTTACTCGTAATCATGATCGAGTTGTATTTTACGACGTCTATAGTAGCCAATCCCTGTTAAGGCTACGCCGATTACGATTGAGTACCGTATAATAATAATAATGTATGTGGCTTTTCTTTTTACCATTACATTTATGTTCACGAAACCTACGAGACGACAACTCGGTGGGATTAAACAACCCCTCTGTACAATTAATACGCCATGCAATACTAATGAACCAATTTATCTTGATTGAGCGTTCACTAATTTTAATTAATATTTATAAATTCATCTAATTATTAATATTTAAAATGAACCGTAAACCAAGCCTAAATGTCCTATTAAATATTGAAACATATGTCATACACACGTTTTCTATCGATAATTAAACTAATATAATATATAACTATTTTTGCTCATAGATATTATTTCTTCCGCATTCAAGAGATTTGACATTGATGAAGTTATAAGAGTCGCTTCTTTCGATGATCTTCATATTGCGGAATTATGGCATGGCCCAACTATGGCATTCAAAGATCTTGCAATGTCTGTGGTTGGTGAAATGTACCGGTATTTTTTGGAAAAACGGAGGAAGAATGTTGTTGTCATAGTCGGTACGGTTGCCGCCCTGTTATGTCAACATTTTACTTTTTATCTTTGTATTACGATACAGTTATGATTATTTGGTTGCATTTGAAAAGTAAACTAATTTCAAATTAGACAACGCAAGTTATAATATGGAAGATGTAACTTGGAAGTAATCCACAAAAGAGCGGGTGTAGGTCTTATCATACCACAACTATGAGCTAGCTCGAAGCTTTGCATGGAAAGAACCACCATTGATGAATCAATAACTATTTTCGTGATTACTTTAAAGAAGAGTCAGGCTCATTAAATATTTCTTCACCACGACATATATTTTTGAACTGCAGGTACCTCTGGCGATACCGGTAGCAGTGCAATAGAAGCTGTACGAGGAAAGGAAAATATTGATATCATTGTTATATTACCTCATAATAGAATATCAAAAATTCAAGAATTAATGATGACAACGGTTCTGGATGACAATGTACATGTTTATGCAGGTATAGGGGTTTTTAATAATAGTATATATTCAATTTTATCCTATTTAATTCATTCAATAAATTATATCTGAGATGTGTCAATAGAATCAAGATTTATGTAAATTTCCTACCTAACACTACACTACAATATACACTTTTATATTGGTTTTACACACTCACTACACTATTTTTCGCGATAGTTTAGTGTTTCAACAATAAATTGCCAATGAGATTTAAAATTAAACTGCACAAAACACTGACCGTCAATTATACTCTTTTTCCTTTTCATAAAAAAAAATTATCACAATATATATATATTTCATTTTAGCGGATGGTTTTTCGGATGATTTTGAGATCACAATTAAAAATCTCTTCAACGACGGCAAACTTGTAAAAGATTATAACTTATGCAGCATAAACTCAATCAATTGGGGCAGAGTAATGGTTCAAATTGCTCATCATATATACATGTACCTACAAGTTGCTGAACCCATTGGGAAGCCGGTTGATATTGTGATACCCACGGGAGGATGTGGTAACATAGCTTGTAAGTTTACAGTCAGGTATTTTTGACAATATGTTTTTCTTACCAATGAGATTGATAAGGTACCTGAATGTGATGTACCACGATAGTTATTGGCTTGTTACGTCCCGCCTTTCAACAGGTACCACGAGCGCATTAAATCATGTAATACCTTATTCAATAAAATAATTGACGATTTGTAACAATTTAACCAACGAAGTCATATAGTCAAAAATGATTTTGTTAGCTTCGTCATTGATATTAATATGGTGTGAGAAGATTTTGCGTTCGTCCGTCTAACGTTCCCGTTGGACCTCCAACTTATTTTTAAGGAAATTCCGTTTAACATCTTGAACATTCGTTCAGCTGGTGTTCTAGCTCAAACAATGGGTGTCCCAGTCAAATTTGCATGTGTTGTAAACAACAATGATATCGTTCACAGAATGTTAAGAAATAACGATTTCACTGTGGCGTCTGAAGTTGTTCAAACATTGGCATGTTCCATGGACATACAGGTAATAATAATAACGTAACTGTATAAAAGTAAATTGTATAAAATATTTGATATTTTAAAATATCACGGATGTTTATTTCCAAATTTTCCCCATAACAGGATTGTGGCACAGGCAGAAAAATTAAAAAAATAAGCTAAGCCATCTGAATATCGTACATTACGTATTTTTATGCAGTTTTACTGCTGTCATCCACAACAAGACTAAATTTAAATAAATAGGTACTGATAGCAGGAAAGTACTGAGGTGCGGTGTTTCTTCTTATTTCAATACATCCTATAAAATTTTATAACGAATTTCACTAACGAATATATGGTGAGTGCTAGAAAGTGAGAGTTGTAAAACGATTGCACATCAAGGACTGAGCCAACAATTTCATCGTTTCATTCATTTCAACATTTCATTCATACCATGCGTCTAAATCCTTTTTATATGCAGATACCCCCGAATATTGAGAGAGTAATGTGGATTTATTCTGGTAAAGATTTTCAGGCAACAAAAGAAATTATGCAAAAATTCGATACGATGGGATCAACATCATTACCAAAAGATTTGCATCAGAAGGTAAACATTTTGCGAGCGTAATTTTATGTTTGGCTCATCATAGTAAGTTATAATTATTTGTTCGTTTTGTATATAAAAAATGACCCAAATTGTCTAACACGAGACCTAATGATGTGTAATGACCAAGAAAAGACATTTTTGATTCACCATACTTGACCCAATTAACCAAGTAGGCCTACTAGCTAGTCCATTATTCTCGAAATAGTATCTCTACTGTCCAAGTGTATCCAAACTATAGCCTCATGTTTCACCCTCAAGGCACGGTATGCGGGTGCGTTTTCCATTCAAATTCTGCGAATACATTAGCATTTTCAATTGTCACCAGATGAAGGAGAACATTCGAACTGCCGTTGTTACTGATGAAGAAATCGTTCAAACGATGAAAAAATGTTGGGAGGAACATCAATATATTGCTTGCCCACATACATGCGCAGCATTGGCATATCATTATGGAATATCGAAATATGGGTAATGTTATTTACAAAATCATAAAGTTCATCATTTCCAAACTTGTATCTTTTCTAGAATGAATTAAAAATCCACTGATGTTATATATATGTAGAAATTTCAATTTGAGGGTCCGTGAAGCTTTGCCCAAACAAAATTCTTTTTAGTTAGGAATTATTCGGGTCAGCGTAAAGATAGTCTTTCTCTTTCAAAATTAATTTGTTTCAATTTCAGTACTAGACAAACTACAGGAACCAAAGGCAGTGACGGCACTCTGTCACCTTCAATTTGTGTGTCAACGGCCTCTATATGCAAATTTCCAGAAATCCTGGCCAAGGCAGAGATTGAATGGAAGGAGGTAAGATTGAAACCCAATAAGTAATCAATTGCAATTCAAACTGATACCGATTCAGCATGTTCTGACATGCTTGCTCGAAGTACATTTGATATACAAGTAGTTGGACCCCAAAAAATATATTGTTTTGTAAGCGATCCAGATACAATTAGCAGCAATATAAAACTAATCATCAGTAAACGAAATTGCCGCACGATTATGGTGTTACTCCGAAGCTGAATGCCACACTTCTCCCCACGGAGAAGGGTAGATGAATATTGTGGAGAAAACGGTTAAGGTGCGCATGTAAAATTGGAGTCGTGCTATGTTTTGGTTTAGGATAGACACAATATTTTGACAAAAGGTTGAAATATTCATATGAAGTGAGATTTATACAACCGAGAAACGATTATATTTATCCCAGGGGAGTGGAAAGCCGATAAGGCGGTTTAATCATATGGATAACCACGGCCTCTCGTCTGGTTACCAGTTCATGCCGGGTATGGGAGTGGCTAGCCTAATATTTGTTCCAGATGCATGGACTTGATGGTGCAAGAGCGCAAGTCGTATCCTACCAGGGTTACATGTACCATCTTACGGCGACGAGAAGTCGGCGCGGCGGTGTGGCTCAACGGGCTAAGCGTTTGGAATACGCTCGCCACGCACCTCTAACTACTCTGCGGGGGTTCGCAGGTTCGAATCCCATGCAGGGATGGTTATGTGCGAGAGGATTGCTGGACTCCTCGCCGTCGTTCGGTGGTTCACGTAACCGCTGGTCGGTTACGGCTTCCTTCACCACCAAGTCCATGCTTCCGAAAACAAACAATACAGTAAAACTAATCCCATACCCGACTTGTAATGGTAACCGCTCGAGAGGCCGTGGTTCGCCATATGGATAAGCCGTCTTATCGGCTTTCCTCTCCCCCAGGATAAATATGTAATTCCTATCCTATCCTAAGTCGAGCAATCCCTTCTCACATAATTATCCCACACGGATTCGAACCCACGCAGGGTAATCAGAGGTGCTGTGGCAAGCCGATTCCTAACGCTCAGCACGGCATGCCAAACTGTCAACTAAGTTGGTCGATACGAGAGTCCACGTTGTTTACAATGCTAGTTTCATATGAGTTATCTATTCAGATCATATATTACACATGCAAGTGACGCAACCATTATTTCATTTCAATTTACGCGAAGATCTGAATTGTTTTGCAGATTACGGTTTCATAGCAACTACTAAACTATATTTATGGCATTTTGCTCTAATTATGTTACAAGTTTATTCTGAATTATATTATCTTTGAGGAACCGAAAAGGATTAAAGATCTGTTCCACAAACCTGCTAAAAGCATCGTAATGCACAAAGAAGAGGATTGGGAACAGATATTGAGAGATAAAATCTCTTTCATTTCTCAGGCGAGAAAAAATTGAATCATTTTCAAACTTCAGTCTGATTTTATCCTGATAATTTATTGATAGCGTTTTCGAATCCTAAATAAAAAAGGTCATTTGATATGTAGTCCAGGTAAATATTTGTATGTTGATAATCGCACTGTTTAAGTCCCGGCTGTTAATAAAATCACCACATATACAATCTTTTATTTTGGTTTAATTTAGTTTAGACAAACTTAACTAGCTATCTTCCCTATTCTTAATTTTCCCAAGAACAAAATTAGATTCCATATCAAAATTTTTTTCAACCTGGGAGTAGAGAAATTTTCCAAGATTTTATTAAAAAAGAAAAATGTTCGACTGATGGATAAAATGGCACCAGTGCTAAGCAGCATTGAGATGAAAGCGGAAAGAGGGTGGATGATAACAAAATTTCGAGGTGCAGGCAGTAAATAGCAATGCGTATGTTCACCCAAATGCTCCATATTTCAGATTTGGGTGAAAATAGACAGCACGTATATGAGTTTGGTTGGTCTTCAATCATTCCTTCATCGTCCGAACAATCTGAACTTTCTTGGCAGTTTACCATCTTTGCTATTTAGAGCAGTCTGAATATCAGCAAGTGATGGACAGTTGGATACATCTCCTAATGCTGCTACAGATGGTCGACTAGATAACATTCTGTTTGCAACTCTCAAAATGTCATCATTTGATACGGATTCTAGGACGAAAAACAAAATGTGAAGCGACTTCTATAACTAGCTGAAATCAACTTCAAATAACTAAACCCATGAAACAGCAAATTAAACTGTTCGCACCAAAAAGCATAATTGATAAGTCTTATCAATAATTCTTTTCAATATTACAAACATAAAAAAAAATTATCAATACTCTCATAGAAAAAAAGAAACCAACTATTGGTTTGAAGAGGCTGATTTTCCTAGCTTGATATGGCTGTTATAAGCAGGGCGAAGTGGTGTACTTTGGGTATTTGTTGCAGTGAAAAACACTTGTTCAACCTAAATATGTAAATACTTCTACCAGAAAGTTAAGTAACCTTTACGCTGTAGTCAAGATTTTATTATTAGCATATTCAAATTTAGACTTTATTGTGATTACTTCAGTAACAGGAACAGAATAAAAGTATAAAATTTGGGACTCCCGTAGAGTGTGTACCAGGTTAGAATTAAGCCATAATTTTATTCCGGTTTTCTTTATTTTAGTTCTATTACGAGTTCGGAGACTGTCTGTATTAGCCAAGTGAATATACCCCATGCCCATAGGATTCAGCTCTTTACACAACTTAAAGAAGGCGAACAAAATTAGTTACCTCAATATTGGTACACACACTTCTGGAGCACCTAAAATTTAATACCGACAGTTGTTTTGAAGTATACTAAATTTTGGATAATTTCTCTGTTTAATATCATACCAATCATTTCGCATAACTCCTGTGGAGATTTTCTTAAACCTGTAGCAAGTACTTGTCTTCCAACATCTTCAAACATGACAGGTCGTGATTCCAAATTCATCATCAACATTGATTTAAGTTGGGTTTTTGCCCTTAACAATTCAGCCTTCAAAATGAAAGAAAAATAAGTCAAAATTAACAGGCACAAATAAATGTGGAAAGATCTATGCAGAGATGTTGTTTTAATATATTACAGCTAAAAAATTAAACAATATTTCATTTGGGGCACATACAAATTTTCATTAGGTTCTATTCAAGGCGACCACAGACAAGAATCTTTTAAAGCAAAACGTATAATATTGCACCATTATATTATACATGAAGTAAGACTTTTACGTGAAAATAATATTACACTTACTTCATCAACACCATTTAGAAGCCTGACAAATTCTTGCGTAATAACGTGTACGCACTCTCGTATTTGTGATGGGTGTGTGCTTGCTTGAATACAAAATAATCCACCGTCATCATAACTATGATGAAACGCAGTGGCTGCATACATCCAATGATGTCTAAATACAAATTATGCGGATTTTGTACAAAAGAAAAAAACACAGATAATTATGCGGATTTTGTACATAAGAAAAAAACACAGATAATTATGCGGATTTTGTACAAAAGAAAAAAACACAGATAATTATGCGGTTTTTGTACATAAGAAAAAAACACAGATACGGATGGTGCTATTTTGTGGATTATTACCTATTGCATTGTGAGAATTGCGGATCTGAAGTCAGGGTTTAAAATTATTGTCAACTCAAGAGTCGCTTTTGGAATGGCTTGAAGTTTGAAGTCTGGTGTAAGTTGTCACAGACCTGTACATTTTGCTTATGCGTAGTATCGAAATCCTGTAATTTTTCTAATTTTGGACAAAAATACATTCAGCAAAAATATTAGACATCACATTCTCACCGATTTAAAACATTCAAATATAATCTTGAAAACATTCCTTTCCCTGGACCTCCAGCCGAAAATGATCCACCACCTCCCATCAACATATTGAGAACAGCGAACGGAACAAAGTCTGGATGCTATAAAATAGGAGACTCAGAATATGAATGTATGACATGAAGTTGGGAAATGTAAAATTCAATACCCGATTAGAAGTTTCAAAAATATTTAAATCTGATTAAGATCAACAATTAAAAGTATCTGCTACCAATACCATTATGTTTCGTTGATCAAAGCTATACTATCTGCATTCAAAAAAAATTGAAAGACTTTCTTCTGAAACATCGTATATGAACTTAGTAAAACCTACAGTATACCTGGTCATCAAATATAAAAAAAGGCTGTTTTGCAAATAAAATTCGGAGACAGTTTTACAAACTGCAAGAATCACTAACTCAAATGTGCAACGTACCTACTGCCAGGGCTAGGGAGGTTTGAGGTAATTGCTGATTCAATAATGACATTGTAAATTACATAAGATTATAATATTCAGAGTCCAAAAACTTACCGTAAATGCAACACTTTGCATACCAACGGAGACATGAGCCAAATCTGGTAAAGGTACTACACTCATTGATAGATCAAATGTCTTTGACAAGTGAACTTCACCACCTGTATACTGTGACGTTGACTCATCTTTTAAAACATCGCCATCAAGTGACCAGGTTGGATTTTTTGCTTGGGCTTAAATGAAACATATGAATATAGGAAAAGATTTTTATATTTATCCTGAGGGAAAGGAAAGCCGATAAGACAACTTAACCATGGTCTCTCGTCAGGTTAAGAGTCCATGTCCAGTATGAGAATAGTCAACCAGTTATTTGTTTCAGATGTATGTAACCGATTAGCGGTTACGTGAACCACCCTACAACGGTAATATTCTCGCACATAATTATTCTTCATGGAATTCGAACCTGCGAATCTGTGCAGGGTAATCAGGGGTGTGATGGTTGAAACTTGTTCCCATCGCTTAGCACAAATCGCCAACTGCAGGAAAGAGCAGTTTGGAAGTCAATATAAAATTTGCTATCATTTTTGACCTCCCCCAAAATAAATGCTGTAGAAATAAACTGAGTATGTAGGCCTACTGTACTGTGTTCTTTTATGATTCTAACATCAATACTTAACATTGATGGTAGTTGTAATGTCATGGTTACAACATAATATTTTCATATTCGGAAAGGAAAAATATCTCACATGAAATATGCTTCTCTGCTAAATCACATAATTCCTCGTGCTCTACACCGACGCCAGCTAAAACCATCCTACTGGGAGTATAGTGGCTTCGTAAAAATTTATGTAATGTTCTGCGATCAAGTTTATTAATCTCTTCGTACTTTGGAAATTTTGGTAGCCCAACTGTATTGCCCCTGAATGCAGCCTTGAGAAAAATATCAACTAGGTAAGTACTACATAATGTACAATAAAACATTACGAATCACCATATTAAATAAACTAATTTTTCGATTTACTGCAAAAAGCAAGCAATATGGAATATGCATTATTTTTTCCATCAAATGAAATAGTAGCCTATATACTAAGATAACAAAATAATTTCTGCTGTAATGATAAAGCTTATTAAGATGACAATTTTTTTTAAATTAATGTAGTTATTGCTCATGACACCTAGTGTTGGTATTTGCTCGTGGCGAAGGGCGCAGTTTGAGAAACCCTGAAGAGGCCCACGTCAAAGGTCAATCATTCAGTACATCAAGAATTTTCTCTCTACCTCATTAATAATGATATTACTTTTAGTATGTATAATAATGATAATTGATCAAATTTACAGTTTGTCTTCAGAAAGGTGTGTCTTACCTCATGAATTAACTCAGTCATGAGTGGTTCAGGATCAGGCCTTGTATCAAGCTGTTGTAACTCAAATTTAATGTTTTCTAATGCTTGCTCAATTTCTGTGTCTGGTAAAGCAGGTTGAAAAACACAGTCACCAAGGAGCTCTACTAATGATGGAAGATTTTCTCGGCTAACACTTGCTGCGTAAATCATGGTGTCTCTAAAACAAGAAATGTTACAGTAGCTATTTTGGATCAAACATCTTTACCAAATAGTTTATTTGGAGGAAGCATGATATATTATGCAAATACTATTTTGGTAACATTTGACTAAATTTAAAATTTTATCATTATCAAACGTGAAAATTCTAACTTTAGCGTCATCTGGTGTTTTGCACCATATTGTATTTAGCCCACTTTCGGAATGGCTTAACAATTGATAACAAATGAAAAATATGTAACAAAAACCTGGAGGACTGACAATCACATATTCCTCCAAAATTTTCAACAGCTTTCATGACATCATCTCTTGTTTGATATAATCGAGATCCAGAAAATGATAATCTTTCCAGAAGATGACTAACACCACTAGGATAAAAGCATTCATGGCGAGAACCAGCATCCACCAATACTAAAAAACATATCAAATATGACAAATTCATCGAAGACATCAATACGAATGACTCAATACTTGAACAATTAAGTGGTCGACCAAAAAATTCTAGTCAGAAATGTTGCATTACTTGTACGTAAATTTGGTGGTCGAACACCTGAGCGCGTCACCGAGTGAGATGACATCACCTGAAACATGCATTTCGGCTGCCTTTTGACCATTCAACAAAGCAAATATATGGACACAAAGGCAATCTTCACGACTTACGCGAAAGTGGAACCATCACAGGATGCGCAAAATTTGATGACATCATCGTACACAAAAAACAAACAGAAATTTTTCCAAGTATACAATAACTTATACAAAAATTTTCGTATTTTTATCTTAATTTTGTAAAATCATTATTATGTACAAATTTAAATAGTATATGAGCATTTACATTCTTTTTATATTTTTGTTCAATTTTTATCATATACACACTTAAAATATTATTGTTGTTTAGGTACACGTTTTCTTAATATTTTGGAATGCGTAAGAACGAATTAAAATAATTACCATTGGTTCCTATGACAAAAAAGTCTAGGTACTCGAACAAATCGGTAGTCAACACCGATCCTGAACAAATTATGTTCGACTACCGAGGTATCACTGTAGTTGTATTCAAAATAATTCACATATTTGAAATTACTGCAATTTCAGTGAGATTTGGTTTGTTGCTGAAAAATTGTCATTTCGCTATAGAATAATACCTTTATTTTATTACATAATACTGTAATATATAAATTTAAAATATGTTTCAGAAAATTTTGCGTCAATATAGAAGTGCAGTTTTGAGTATTTTGTGGCTTATTTTGATGTTTGCTATTTCAATTTGGACCACTCACTTCCCACTGTGCAAAATGTCCCAAATTTGGTCTGCGAAGCAACTTTTAATCCATTGGAAAGTGTTGTTACATGAGTATCAGATTCCTCATCTCCTTCAGCAAAGACAACATTTGGTGCATTTCCGAGTGGTTTCGAAAGCGGAACTTTGCTCGTACTTGATGAAAAAGAACGACTTTTCACTATCTTGGATACAGTGTTTAGCATGCTCCGTCTAAAATAAAATATATTTTCACATAATACTGTAAGTAATCATAACACAGTTACCAACAAACATTTTATTTAAAATATGTGGTATCAAAATTTCACATTTTATCATACAAATAATGTAATTTATTTGTAGTAACCAAATTTTTTGTGAATAGTACGATACTCAACTACTGCACTAGCAGACTTTTGAAAAATAGGAAGTTTTCAGAATTTCAGTGTATTCTATCGCATCTGATTTAATTGACTGATTGCAGGATTGACAGTCGACACTACTTCTATATCTCTCTTCCTCTATTATTGGACTGCAGGGTTAGATTGAGGTCAAATCACAGTAAAATTGAATAGACCTAAACACTGAAATAACTGAATATTAAAAATAACCTACTTTATCAAAGCTGATGAAACAACTTTCCGCTGAGCCATTTCGACAATCTGTCCACAGCAACAAGTAGGACTACGGTAATTTATTTATTTACTTTAGTACCGTACTTCCATTCAGTACAATGTCACAATGCTGTGATGCAGCGATTCCCAAAGGTGGCGCCGTGGCGCAGCGATGATTTGCTAAGTCATATTTACTGCTAAGTGCGTCTCTTATAATATATGATTAAATATTTTGCATATTGTATTTACTATGAATGTTTTTATTTTTATTTTTTATCCCAAATGTTGTGTATATGAATCGAACAGTTTATTTTACCATTTCATATCGTTTACTTTTGTTTCGTAGGTTTGATCGTAGTAGTATATATTTACGGTTTGACTCAATCTTTACGAAACTGTGGCGTAACACACGAGGTAGATACTAGTGTTGAGCACAAACAGGATTCAGGACTCCGAAAAACAGGACTCCGGCAGGGTTTTCAACAAACAGGATCGGATCAGGAGTGGGAACATTCTTGGTTGCCCGAAGTCAATCAGGAGTCCCAACTAGGCTAAATCTATAATATACCGTGACTTATAGAAGTACCGTGCGTCTGTACGTACCGGTGCAGGCATAATTTGAACGGACTTGAATTATCTGTACCGTACATAATGAATTAATACATAATCGTGCTTCTTCAGGATGCTACCGGTACCATTTATGAATCTGTGTTTACCACTTCTGTATCGGTACAAGCCTGAACTGGGTGTTTTATAATTTTAAACAGAGTTCTGGTGTTCTGTGTTTGGATGCGGTTGTCGGGTTGTAGCGAATGTTATGTCATTAAACATAGTAATGAGTGTGCGCTAGTGTGACTTTGCAATGTTTAGATGCTGCTGTAGTGAACACTATAATGCATAGTCAGTCCCCCATAGTCCCCCCCCCCCCCCCCTTAACTTAATTGTTAAAATACATCAGCGCAGCACGTTTTTGATGTTGCTGCTGTAGTGAACACTAAATTTGGTCAATATTAGATTTGTCAACAGGAGCCAAACAGGAGTCATAGTTTTCTTTGTTCGGAGTCGGACTCCGAGTTCGAATTTTGATTTCGGATCAGGACGGAGTCGGAGTCTGAAAATTCTGACTCCGCTCATCTCTGGTAGATACTACTTGCTGCAATTTCGTAATTTCGAGATGCAGTTTAGCCAACATGGATACTGTTTTTAGTATTTCAAAGGAAAATCCAGCAGAGATGAGAAAGAATAGTTGACCTTTTGACTTTATTAGTTAAGTCAACATGGTTATAAACTTTGAAAGACATAAATAAAAGTAGGATTTAGGATAGGACAGGATTTACGTATTTATTCCGGGGACTGGAAAGCTGATAAGACTGCTTAATCATGGCGAACCACAGCCTCTCGTTTAGTTACCAGTCCATGTCGAGTATAGGATTAGTTAGCAAGTTATTTGTTTTCAGATGCATGGACTTGATGGCGGAGAAAGCCGTAATACAGCGCTTCTCACGGCCGTGCAATGCACTTTGAGAAACTGATGCGCCACCTGGTGTTTGGCTAAAAGATGATCTTTCTTTCTGTTAGTCGTCTGACGATGTTGGTTGCAGCACGTTTAAAATTTTCGAAAAAAATCAATTTTTGAGATCTGGAGTGAAAACGTCAAATCAAGGTAAATTGATTATTTTTTCAGGCATTGTAACTGAGCGATGCAAGCGAATATTTCCTTGCAGTAGTGTGTGATATCGCTTACATAACAGCTTACATGTTTCTGGATACTGATTTGATTTCTTCCCACTACGGGCCCTTTTTTCAAAATGGCCACAGGTTGACTAGTTGATACAATCGTGGTTCCATTAGTTGATACGTGTATCGACTAACCCTGCTATTTATTCCACGTATTTTTTTAAGCATATTTTTCAGCAAATATATTTTCAAACTTTCTTTGAACCGGGTTTTATGGTTTGCGGCATTGTCAATATTTTTACGCTGCCAATATTGTTTTCAACGTATTTTAGGTGATGCCTCAGTTCTATAAAAGAAAAACAAACAGAGCCATAAGAACTCCCCCGGATGTGATGTCGAGGGCGGCTGACGATGTTGTTCGCGGGCGATCATTGAGGAGTGTAGCTGAAGCATTTGGCATCGATAAAATGACTTTGTCTCTTTTTATAGCCAAGCGCAAAAATAATCCTAACGCAATTACAGGTTACGCTGCTGTTGCTTATGCACATTATATTATTCCTCAGCAAATGGAAGAAGATCTGGGAAATCATGTCAAACGATTGGCCGATATGTTTTTTGGACTCTCTCTTGAACAGTGTTGTAAACTAGCTTATGAATTTGCATTTCAAAACCAGCTGTATATGCCAGTGTCTTGGAAGATCAACAAAAAGCGGGAAAAGCTTGATGGCTAGGGTTCAAAAAACGACAAAATCTTTACATACGGACTCCATAGGCAACTTCACTCGGAAGGGCGACTGCATTTAATCGTCACACGGTTGGTGGATTTTTCGACAACTTAGCACAGGTCATGGATGTGGACAATTTTCACCCTGAAGATATTTACAATTTCGATGAAACCGGGTGCACCACTGTTCAAACCCCATCTGATATTGTTACAGCCAAGGGTAAAAAACAAGTGGGTGCAGCTAGGTCTGATGAGCGTGGTGAACTGGTTACGGTAGTCTACACCATCTGCGCCTCTGGGAATGTGCTTCCACCTATGTTTATATTTCCGCGCGTAAACTTCCACAACCACTTTATCATTGAAGGGCCACCGGGCTGCATTGGACAAGCAATAAAGTCTGGCTGAATTAATGAAGAACTTTTTCTCGTTTATCTAGAACATCTGGTGCGCCAGACTCGTTGTACTCCCGAAAGAAAAATTCGTTTGATTTTGGATAACCACGAGTCTCATATTTCTTTACGTGCGGTTGAGATGGCAAGATCCAATGGCGTGGTTATGCTTACTTTACCACCTCACACATCTCATCAATTGCAACCGCTTGATAAAACGGTGTATGGTCCTTTCAAAGCCAGTTATAACAGAGCGGTGGGGAGTTGGCTACGTAGTCATGCTGGGAAAACTGTTGCAATATATGATGTTCCTGGCATTGTAAAACAGGCCCAAATGTCAGCAATGACATCGAGGAATATTCTATCTGGATTTCAAAGAACTGGTATATACCCTTTCAATCGCGATATTTTTACTGATGCAGATTTTGCAGCTGCAACTTTGACGGACCGAGAAGTCGTTGGCGTTGATCGTAATGAACCAGGACAGTCCTCAAAATGCACGGAATCACTGGCCCCAGGCTGTAGTACTGAAAATCTTTGCACTCCTACACCGAGGGTTTTTGAATCAGCATTTCAGTTCCAGAAAACGGGCAACCCAGATCCCGACCTATCAAATTCTTGCTCATCGTACGTATCGCCAAGCGAGATTCAAAAAATCCCAAAAGCTCCACAAAGAAAGACCAAGCGCTCCCGAAAAAAAAGGAAAGACAAAGATTTTAACATCCACGCCTGTATTAAAAGAGATTTCCCTAGAGAATGAAAAAAGAAAGAAAAACAAGATATGCAGTTCGAGAAAAAAACTTTTCGCTACAAAAAATAGGAAAGTTCGCCCCCACAATACTAGCAATAGTTCAGAAGAGGAGTGTGCTGTTGTTAGATATGATGACGACTGATGAAGATGAATTATCTGCAGAAGAAATATGGAAGGTGATTACGTGGTTGTCAAAGTAGACGGGAGATCTAGAAATGTACATTACATCGCTCGTATAGATTTGCTAGAAGATAATGAGTATGAGGGAGTTTTTCTAAAGAAAGTTTCTAGTCGAGTTTCTGTCGAAGCAGAGCACACTGGTTTTGTATTTGTTCCAAATGAAGATGATGGGGCTTCATTCTCGCATGAGGACATAATATGCAGACTACCACAGCCAACAATTCTTGCAGGATCAGCTCGGAGATGTGTTCGACTTAAATTTGATTGCGATTTGAGTAAATGGAATGTAAATTAGAGGTTGTCTACCACCATCCAGCAAACCATTTCGTTGAATGAGTTATTTGTTCTTTTTTATTTTTTTGCCGCCGTTCCTGGTGAAACTTTCTCTCTTGTTCTTTTGAAACAAGTGATATTTGTGTCTCGTTCCGTCTCATTTTTGGAATAATTGCCTGCTTTTAAAAACTTTATGCAGAGTGTATTCAACAAAACTACCACTGCGCATCAGTAACCTTACCAGGCAGGATATTTTGATACGTTTGACAAGAAAACTTTAGCGATTGTAAGCGCTAAGTTAGGAAATGACTGAGAACCCCATTTTGTGGTCATATGTGAGGGACCTATAAATGAATAAATAGGACAAACCAGAACGGCGATTACTCAAACGGTATTTTTTATGGATCAGTAAAACTAAATTATGTATCAACTTACCTGCCTCTCCCCTAATGGTTGTATGAAACGGGAGGCGTACAACTCTTCTATACAGACAACTAGCCTATAGAGAGGACTGGGAATTTCTGGGCAGACACTTTAATGATAATGACGGTAACTTCATGAAATACAAGGTATTATTCGAGCTTTTAGACCCAAAACCAGCTGTGGGCTTGATAGAATCCCTATTAAAGGTATCAGAGCAATACCGTGGAACTGCATGCTATCTCTAGCTCATGTTTTTAATCTTTCTGTGCAATCGGAAAAATTTATTGATGAATTTAAAATCGCTAAAGTTGTACCGCTTCACAAAGGCGGAGACATGAAAAATGTCAAAAACTATAGACCGATTAGCTTACTGCCGTCTTTTTCAAAAATTTTAGAAAAAGTAATGTACAATAGATTAGTTAACTTATTAGAACAGAAGAGTTTTTTCTACCATCAACAATTTGGTTTTCGTAAGGGACATACCACTTCGCAGGCTACGTCTCTACTTACAATAAAATACTGGGTAGATTTGAAAAAGGCCATTAGGCTATACTCTCGGACTATTTCTTGACCTATCGAAAGCTTTTGATTGTATTGACCATCATATATTGCTTTCCAAACTCTACCAAATAGGTGTTAGAGGCCACTGTCTTTCATGGTTCCGCAATTACCTGGTTGATCGCAAACAAGTGTTAGTCTATGACGGGCACTCTTCAAGTAAATACTGCGACTTAACAATTGGGGTCCCTCAAGGGACTCACTTATGGGGCCTATATTTTTCTTAATTATGATTAATGACTTCCCTAAATCACTCAAGAACTCCGATGCTATCTTATTTGCTGACGACACCCACCCTTTTCTACAAGGGAAAACTTTACTAGACCTTATTGAAAAAGCTAAGGCTGACTTACTAATATTGAATCTTGGCTAACTGCAAACAAACTAACAGTAAATGCGGAAAAGACCAAGTACATGATTTTCAGTGCACCTAGACAAAAACTACCCATTCTCAACGATGAGCTAATTCTGCAGTCCAAGTGCATCCAAAGAGTAAACCAAATTCGTTTTCTGGGTGTTTTACCCGATGACAAATTGTCATGGAAATATCACTCAAAATTGGTACTATCTATTCTAAAACAAGGACAGCACTAGCACTCGGAGCTATTTCAAAAGTCAATAAAAACCTTGATAAGTCATGCCTGTTAACATTATACCACTCATTAATAGAAAGTCATATACGATATTGCATACATACTTGATTGCATTGTCAAAAAGGTATGACAGCAAAAATTCAAAGTGTCTGTAATCAGTTCTTGAGAATGACTTTTGGTAGGGATCGGAGAGATAGTGTCGCGGATTTGTTCAAAAGTGAAGACTACTACGTGTTGAAGATTTTACTAATACTTGAGATTTGCACATTGGTGTTTTTATCTTCTACTGATCAACTCCCTAGTTGGTTCGATCATGTTTTCGTAAATAATAATATTCGAAATAGCAGAAGTTACGATAAATTTTTCGTTCCGTATGTGAGAAAATCAAGAAGATCACATGTTTTGGTCATAAATTGTGGAATCCACTGCCCAACAGTATTAAAAGCTCAAAAACGACGTCCGAATTTAGATCAAAACTTAAACGACATTTATTGGAATTATATTAGCTTCCGTGCAGTAGGGACATTCTACACTCCAGGCATTATTTTTCAGATACAAAGGGCTCTTTGATGATAGGTGAAAAAAAGTTGAGAAAAGACTGGCAGATGAAAAATATCTCCGTTTGCCTAACTATGTCATCGTGGATGCAATCAACTCCCATTGCTCAGGAAACAAGTCTCGGGCAACACACTGATCTATTGTCTCTAGTTCTTGCATATTTTTATGTTCATTAGCTTTGTACAGTTACTTCGTTGGATCGTCGCTAATCAATCAATCAGTCAAATCGTTTTTATTAGCCATCTCGGCAAAGCATAACAAAATTTAAAACAAGTAAGATCACAAAAATATTTGTACCGAATGGCAGGATAACTGCGAAATGATCATATGGTCTACTTGTCAGCGGCAACCTTAAAATAGCTTAAAACTTAAATACAAAATTTGCAAAGCGCGAAACGTTTTTGTGCGAGAACAGCATCGCCCCAAGATGACGCTGCAAGGCAATCACACACCTTGTCATTTATAGAATCAGGGGTTTTCCCCTATTTTATTTCGAAGCAGTGCTGTTCCAGCTCTCTTAGGTTAACGTTTCTGGGAAAAGTTAAACAATGTATATTAGGTTTAGTAATAGTACGATACCAAAGAAATACCAGTACTGAAACTGGTAGCTAACGCGAAAAGATATCTTCATAACAGTAAAAATAGCTCAATGAACATGTAAGGTACATGTAATTGTATTGTAACATTGTATTGTACAGATCAGCAATCATGTCTAGGAAACACTAAACACTGAAATAAAACTATGGTCTTGGAAAATGCAATACACATTTATGAAGAATATAAGGATAGTAAATGGTTGCGTAACTGAGTTTTAAAATTTGGATATGTTGAGTCTTTAATACTAGAAGGTAAGTCATTCCAAATTTTTACCCCGGTATATCTCAGAGTACTTTGTGTCCGCTTTGATTTACATCTTGGAACAAAAAAAACCCTTGGGCTGATGATCGGGTGTGAGGGCTGTGTACATAAGACTGTGCCGTGAAATAATTATCAAAAGCTCTTGGTAATAAATTTGATGAGTATTGATGCATTATTTTGGCAACTTCAAAAAGACACAAGTCTTTGAATTTGAGAATTTTTAGTTTAGCAAACAAAGGGGTACAACTAGAACGAGGTGGAGAATTAGATAATATTCTTACAGCTTTATTTTGTAAAACTTCTATTCTTTTTGACAATTTATTAGTAACTGAGTATCCCCATGCCACCAAACCATAATGAATATGAGATTGAAAGAGGGCAAAGAATTTCATACGCAGAACTCGAGAGGGGAGGAGTTTACGAACTTTACTTAAAATTCCTACAGCATGTGATAATTTCCTTAATCAAATCTGAAATATGTTTATTCCAGTTTAGGTTTTCATCAATATATATGCCTAGGTATTTATAATATTCTATTCTTTCAAGAAGTTGATTGTCAATTGTGGCCTGGAAAATTGGAGATGTGGACGATTTACTTGAAGCAATTATGAGAAATTTTGATTTAGCAATGTTGATCGACAATTTATTATTGGTCATCCAATTTTGAACTTTTATGAGTTAGTCATTTATATTTGCCTGCAATGATGACATAGATGGGGAGCTCGTGGACAATCCAGTGTCATCCGCAAAGAGTTTTGTGAGAAGAATTGAGGCATTGGGGAGGTCATTTACATACAGGAGAAAAAATAATAATCCAGGAATTGAGCCTTGAGGAACTCCACAGGTAATAGGAAGTTTTGACGATTTCGTGTCATGTGATAGTTGAACAAATTGTGTTCGATTGGTTGAAGAACTAGATAGAAGTTTCAAAGGAATACCTCGCATACCATAATGAGTTAACTTTTGCAATAAGTTAATGAAAGGATCATCTTATACAAATTTAAATTTATCATGCTGAGACGTGGTGACAATAAATTCCACACAATAGCGCCTACGAAATTGACCTACATTTTATACCAGACTCTATTATTCTCATTACTTTTGTCGCATACAATTTATGATTAACAACTCGAGTGTAAACAAAGAATTTCTACATATGTCGTTTGTTGTATACTTTCTTAGAATCTAATTCTTTTGTGTCGTGGTCCTACCCTACGTTGGTTTTTGGCAAGTTCATGTCTAGAACAAATTTTTACTTGTGTCGTACAATCTACTGTAAAACACACAAAAATGCGATTTATACCTTATTCCTATTAACTTTTTTTTACCGAAGATCCACATATAAAACATCGAAATTATTTGGGTCCAGTGTTTCCATAATTTATATTTCGGCATCCGTAAACGCGCACTTCCTCGACCGGCTAATGATTATTATCAGCTAATCAAGATTGTTTATCATGGTGTTACAGTTCTTTTCATATATATTAAAACAATAAATGTCATTTTATAAAATGAAACTTTAAAAGTGGGGATAATGATCCAAAATAAGAAATTGGGTGCGGTCCGAATCAAATGGTCGAAAGGTCCGGATTCGGACCGCGGTCCGCTAGTTGAGTAGCCCTGCCCTATTCCCATCCCTTTACATCAGAACCTGGGACATGAACGTGCCATAAACTGCCTATTGTACATATCATCGTGGTGCCGTACCCCTTTGCCCTGTGTATTGTACAAGAATTTTATTTGTATATTTCATGTCTGTTGTCCCACTATAACGCAGCAGTCCTAAACTGCAGTTACACTTGTTGGGTTGCATGTCGAACATCTGTGTCTTAGGCCAGTAATGTCTTGAACATGTATCCCGTCTCTTTTATAACGTTTAACTATTATGCAGATACCTGTACATTTTTGAGGCAAATAAAAATACATACATAGATAGCTAAGACACGCGCCACAATATGGCGTTGAGAAAATCCATGACGCATCACTCAAGCGTAACGAGAGAACTGTGTAACATAAATAAACAAAGACGAAAAAAGCGTGAGCGAACTATATTAAGTTAACTATGGCTGGATGATATGGAGAATCTTGGTGTTTTCAAGTACTGCTGCGCGAACACAACATTTTTTTCGAATCTATTGTGTCTCAATGGATGTTCCCCCGAGCATCGATTTCTATGTGTTTTTTCATAACAATGATCAATCAGCAATAAGTCAACAATAACGTAACAATTGCACTTTGTCGGCCGCTCAGATACTTCTTCCACTCAGACAAACATTTGATCATGCTTGTAAACGTTGCCTGTTCTCGTAGTTTTGCGTGTAATTTGCCAGTATTCAGTTGTGTTTTCAACAATTAGTTGTAAATCAAGTAACTTTATTGCCATTATATCTCCCGAGGAGTTTTAGTTGCCATATTCAAAAATGAGTCCCGAAAGAGGTGTGATAGACTAGGCTAAAACCAACTATCAGTAGCCTAACTCTAAGCGACAAGTGGTTAAATAGTTTTAATAAAAATGATCCTTATTAATGATTTCTCGCATGACGAAATAAACTTTTAGATGGTTACATCTACTACAAAAATTATGCAGCATACTTCGGACATATGGGAGTATAAATTTATTTTGACTGCATAATCAGCATAAACGACGATAAGATAATTGATAAAAGCAAATAAAAAAGTTGATCACAGAATCAGTAGGGCGAACAAAACTCAAGAAAGGTTTGAAACGTGCAGATTTTAGATTGAAAAATGTTGTCAAGAGAAGTCGTACATGTTCGCTCACCCACAAGTATTAACGTAATTGAAACACGCACACACAATCACTCATACAACATAAATTTAAATAAATATTCCTGTAGAGATTGCCACATTTTGTACCGAATTAGTTAACAGGTATGTAGGGAACGCAGTTTGGCAATGAATTGATATGAACATCATAAACTAAGGATAATACTTCAAATTTCATTATATCTTCAACTTTGAGTATATTTACCATTTTAAATTAATGGTTTACACTTTCACATTTACTTTTTGTTTTACCAATAGTATATGCTATTTGTGATTTCCAAGCCAGATTTTCATCAAAGATTACTTCTAAGAATTTTATTTCTCTCACTCTTTCAATTTCGTTACCATTGATCAGCAAAGGATTTGTACAACACACACTTCTCTTGCTTGGATTGAATAATACAAATTTAATCTTATTAGCATGAAGAGATAATTCGTTTACCAATATCCAGCTATGAATGTTGGCTAGTTCTCGGTTTGCAACTGTGAATAGATCTTCCAGGATGATCCCAAAGAGAATCAAATCAGTGTCATTTGCAAACATGGTTGACTCGTTTTGACACTTCTAAGCTAAAATGTTATTGAACCAAGTAATTACCAAAGTGCTTGACTCCTTGAGGAACTCCGTGCTCCATGACCCAAATATTATTAGAGAATGAATTGTCATATTGCACAACTTGTTTTTGGTCTTGCAGATAGATCCTGTTCCAATTGAATGGGACATCTTAAATTCCATATGTGACAAAGCTTACTTAAATATAGATGGAATGAATGGACAATGGTGTGGAAAGCTTTAGAAATATTCCAACGAACATAGCTTAGTTTATGTACCAAATGCAACTGGACCGAATCATAAATGAGGGATTTCGTCCGATTTTTTGGTTACAAATGAGTGATTTCATTTGATTATTTATTTTTCTAAGGCTATGTGTTTCGTTATATACTTACTCTTTGCAATACCGTGGTCCGTATATATATCCCCGAGACCATTCGGAAGGAATTACGCAGATAGCTCTTCGTCCTCAAACAGTCCACAGACATGCTGCACCGTTTTTGTTGGCCCACATACCTACCGTTCACACGCCTCACCACATTTTTTATTAGCTCCACAATATCCGTCTCTACACCGATACCTACCTTGTACATTGCGGCGGTGAGGCCGAAAAAAGCATCTATTTTCTATTTATACTGTTAAAATATCGATGCCAACCTTTCAAATTATTGTTTTTGTAATGTCGACATCAAATACTAACCTTCTAATCCTTAAGTGACCCGTTTATATATATTCGATTTATTTGCTAAATATTCAATATATTTTGCAATATATTAGGGCTGAGGCATATCGAATCGAATAGTAAATTATTCGAATCGGTTCAGACGAAAATTTGGAAAGGCCTCCATCTTGTTTGTTTTTTTTGTTCAATTTTTTTGTCGAAGCCATATTTTCAAAATACAATTCTGACATGTGACTTTTTTCTTCCTAGTGAGTTATTAAATAAACATCTTTCTCATTGTGTTTCAGCACTCGACGAACCGACTTACAGACGGATTCTTGGTTTTCAGTAATAAAAAGTCACGTACATATAGTTACATATATTTCAAGTAGGCTATTCGGGATTTGATTCGAAACAAATATTCGATTCGATTCAGAAACCATCAGGTATTCGAAAATGCCCAGCCCTGGAGAAGTGATTCACCTTTTACTGCTACCACACCCACTGGTTCATTAGCCGGTTCTAGCACACAGACTTACTATACAAAACCAACTGTTTTAACCTCACAAAAAAGTATATCTACTTACTGCGCCGATGAGGTCATCAGGGCAAGGTCTCCACATACTTCCAAATCACCGTTACATTTTCAGACAACCATCATTTACGGCAATATCACTTTTGTTGGTACACGATAATAGCACAACGTTGGGACATTATTCAAAAAAATAGGTATATAAGGATGCTGTATCGACAGCGTGAAAGTTTTTACCCGACTCCGAAATTTCTCCGAACATTAACCGAATCGCTGCTGCACCTTATCATCACAATACGATAGGGTTGGTAACGTGCTATGAATATACAGCCATACATATACACATACAGCCAATGACATAGGCATATAAGGCAAAATCAAAATGCATACACAACCATTCGATTTTATATGATAAGTTACCAACCCTCGCATTCAACACAACATTCATTCGGGCTAACAAACACATTTTCAATACAGTACTCCAACACAAACAATATCCATGAGAAAAATATCGTTTTACCTTCTTTCGGCCGAATATAGAAGACATGCCTGCACTACATTGATCTAGTCCGCCACTCCCCATATTTTGACTTATTTTGTTGCCGCCTGAAAAGAAATTTGACAAATTTAATTTATTGTGCCTCGTTTTGGAGGAAGCACATTGGCGCACAACAATCACAATCTTCGTGCATCTTAATCGCTTAAGTTGCTGATAAAGTGTGCCAAAAACTAGGTCATTCTATTTTTAGGATTCTGAAAAACTCCGCAAGGAATTATTAATAGTTTTTCATATGTTATGCAAAATAGTTTAGTATTGAGGCTGAATCATTTGTAAGAGCTACAAATGCCAATCGTGTTTCATAGTGGAAGGTGAAATGTATAATACTTACAGCAACTGCACGATTTTCGCTCCTAAATATTAAAGCATACCACTGACGAGAACGTGATACTTATTGTGTATCAATTGACACACTTTGTACACTACAGTAATAACGATTTATGGGTCGGTGTTGCGACGACGAATAGATGACCTCTCATACATACCTTCAAGAGCTCTAATTCCGCGTTGTAATTTGGATATTGTATTTGGTAAGTTGTCATAATCTTTTTCAGTGAAAACTCTCGATGGGTCTCCAGCAATCATCAGCAACTCTTTCATCTTGTACTGTGCTATTCCAACGGCAAATGCCTCAACATCATTCTGCCTCGCGTAATTTGTGGTTGATTCTAGCAGGCTGTCAAAAACAAATATGAATCTGGAATCTGTGTTTGAACCAATTTGATATATCTATTGCCAATGTGGATAAAATTTAGTTGGAATAATATTGGGATTTTACAAGCCTAATAGGAGCGTTACATAGTTGTAAATCAGGGCAAGAGAAGTCAGAGGTATCGCCAGGTTTGTTCAATGACGTTAGAAAACTCATGATACGATATATATCAAATAAAATTCACCATTACTTAGGGGAATAAACAGTGTTTAAAAAATGTCAAAAACGATTATCTGAATTCTGAACGCATTTTAGTCAATATGTGTTTATAGCGTTCTTTTTTTTCGATTGGATATGTAACTGCAAAATAATATTAAAAATATGCAATTTAAAAAAATGTCGTATTTGAAGAGCAGTTAACTGAGTTTGAACAAAATTTTTGCTTAATCGATAACTGACTTCAATACTAGATTAATAGTGGTCGATTTATCCCAGCTATTTATTGGGCACGAAATTTATATATATATTAGGAATATTCGTTTAAAACCGCCAATGGGTGGATGCTTTAAACACCTATATCGTAGGCTACTGTTGAAGCTCATGCTGACATGAAACATGTACCTACCTTGAGTCTGATGATTTGCCATCGGTAAGAAACAACATTATTCTTCTTGCATTTGGAAATCGCCCATTAGGCCCGTTGAAAACATCATTTATTGTGAGATTTATTGCGTAACTTGATTGCGAGCCTCCTGGGTTGTACTGAAATCACGATTTCAAAAGAGTGGTTACATATATTTTATATTCATTACCACGTAAATTTTTTCAATCAATTGTTTTTGAAGGAGCGCGTGTGGAAAGTTTACAGTTATAAAACACAGAAAGATATGACTCGCATATTGCACGAAAAGGATTTTCATTGTAATTAAATTGCCTTGGTGTAAAAAATTGGAAACAGCTACTCTTGATAAAGATACACAGATTGCAAACCAGCGATGACTAACACAGGATACCCTCTCTGATGAACTGGTTACTGGGCCTTCAAACTCAAAGTATTGGACATAGCACGGTAAATTAGCCGGCTTTTCCATGAAAGGTCGAACACTATTGAAATTTTTACATCACAATCCATCGACGGTTTGTTACCTGTATTTGGTTTATTCCATTTCGGAGTGACTCGTGGGTTTTATATTGCCCGAGTTGAATTTCTACTTTTGTTTTTTGTTTTCTTGCATATTTTACCTGTATGAAGGGTCGATATGTTATTGCGATTAAGAAAATGAATTCTTAGAATACTATGACATATATTTTATTTATTCTTTGACTGGCACAATTTTATATAAATTATGGATTCTGTTATCATGTTATTATCTCGACCTAAACATCATGACAAAATCCCCGACGTAATCCAGGGCGAAGAATGAACACTAACAACCCCGGTTTGTTAGTGTTCATTTTGCTTTTAAACTGAACTGTTTGAAAATGAGAATACACTTGAAATAAATATCTTATGAATGAAAATTTCCATCCACTGTTAGTTTGTTTACCAAATGCAAGAATACGTATTGTTACCATATTTTGCTTTATCATTTCAGATATATATGTCGAGAACTTGAGATCGAAACACAAATTTTCATATTAACTTACAACCGCAATTTGATATGACTGAGTGACGTCAAATGCTTGGACAATTTGTTCCATCCAGTTTAATACACGTTCAAAGTTTTTCTTCTTCACGGAAGATGATCCGTCGACAACAAACGCCAAGTCAACGATAGTCGGATAGCAACCTAAAAAGAATAAGCTTTTAATAAATATCAAAAAGTCTGGTCATTCTTATTTGACATAGAATCTTTCGGAGCGGTGCGTTTAGAGTGTTGTTAATACTTGTGTAAGTAAAGTTTATAGAGACAATTTTTATGTGGTTTCAAAATCGCAAGCTGCATTTACAAGCTATGTTGCCTACTCAATATGTAAAAACATGGCTGACGCAAATAGCGCTGACTGACTTCAGAACTTACCAGTATTCGGATAATTGACTAGATTACTTTCGTTAAAAATTGATCACTGGTGGTAATATTGCTGTAAACATTTCTCTCGATGAGGCGATTATAGGAATGTATAATTTAGATTTGATATAATCATAACTAAGACATAATTAAAACAATAACTAAAATGTGCAATTCAGCGTTGAGAAATTACTTGTTCTAAGTGTTCTTAAAACGAGTACCAGAAACTCACTTTTCCAACATGGAGTGATCTCTTTCCAAGCAGGAGTATCTGTGAAAAGTTCTTCTTTGTTGTTAGTGTGGTTTACAGTGGTAAGATAACAAGCACCCGTTGAATAAGATGAAGATTCACAAAATTGTTCTGCTCTCGGTTGACAAATCTGAAAATATATATTTTTTTTAAATGATATCAACGTTATCTATAGTGATTTATTGTCTGTAATACAAATTATCAGTGGTTTATATTTGACTCTGAATCTGGCCAATGTGAGGTAATCAGTGTATTTAACAGAACTTATTTGCATATACAAAAGCAAGATATTGTGATTAAAGTATTTCCAATGTATTTGAAATTGTGGTGATATGTTTAGGCATAATTATTAATAATGTTACTACAACTGTACGAACAATGATTGCCAAATTTCAACTCATCCATAGCTTTTGCAATTCACAGTATCATAGATGAGGTAAATATTCGTTGGTCTTAGTAAAGTCTGTGGATTTCTGAAGTACATATGAAATATAATGAGTTTTCTATTAGCAAAATTATCTATTTTTCATATTCAATTATAAACGATGTATTGTTGTATTACATGTTTTATTGTCGAAGTTTTAAAAGACAGTCCACACTTTGAATAATTTGTTGCAAATTTCGATCCAAATACTGTCTCGAATAACTGAAATATTTCATGTTATGCATAAACTACTGAAGTCATTACACCTTCCTAGTTGCGATGGTGAACTCGTGTCGAACAATGGGTATGGGCGAACATATCTGCTTTATCGGGGGTTTTGAAATCTGTCTCTGTCAAAATACATAGCTTAGTGCGCCTGACATTGCTTATATTTCAAATATATACACATATTTACTCTAAAGTGAATAATCAATATTTTTTCAAAAAGTAATTATCGTGATTGCATCGTCTTTAGTGACTCGGAATAGAACTTGAATAGCTTCCTAAAATAGAAACAACGTGGCGATTTGTCATTTTCTGCACTGTCTGGACTGTAGTGACATCGCCACAGCAACCGCAACCGCTAGTTAAGGTGTTGCCAATGTTTGAACTCTTTTCAAGATATTACCTTCAAATTGATTCTTATATGAGAAACACGACACTATTACATTGTATTTATTATGTATATATGAACTAAAAAAGAATATTAACGCATGTGTTTAACTTGATATTTTAGGTAATAAGAAATAATGTAGCTTGAATTTCGAAATTGTAATCTACACAATGTAAGACTTTGACTATGTTTCATAACAGTTTGAAAGCTTGGACCCCGAAATCAACAAGCCAAGTATACCTGAACCCACTACCAGAGCATGAAGAATTGAATAAGATACACAGAATCGAAAATAATGCTCGTTCGCGTACGACCTCAAACGCCTAAAGGATTCTTAATGTAGAGCCCATATCCTGAGCCCAGCTTGTAAAATTGTACTTAGTTTAGTAGACTTAATATATAGTCTGTAAAATACATGCATTTAAATATAATAATTTTTGTTGAACGATTTGTATTGCTTTAGCAAAGATCAACCGTACGACATTTGCATATAATCATAAAGAAAAGGAATGATATTGTTCCAAAAAATATAACTAGGACGTGGTTGTCTTGATATCCGGTGGAAGCGTCTCGGATATTGGAACAATATAAGATATTAAAAACGACATGAAGGGACTTCGTTTTTCATGTTGGCGCAACGTGTTCAACGTAAGATAATAGAGTTTTATAAAAGAGAATGAGAAATACCTACACCTTTGCAAATATTGGATAAGTACATTTTTAAATTGCAATACTGCAAAACGTTAAATGCACAGCATCAGTATTTTGCTCGGAGTACAAGGACCGTGAATATTGATTTCATATTATTTAAGACAACTTCAAAAACATTAAAAAATATAAACAAGGAAAACAAATCATAATATTTCACGCCGACGATGTTAATTAAATATATATGGGATGCACGATGAACTTGGTGAATCACACAAGTTGATAATACGTTGAGTGAATCTTACCAAAATTGCACTTTTCTCGTCGTTGCTCTTAATCGCGATGGAATTTTTCCCGTTTGATGTCAAGTTAATAGTTGAACTTGGTACAGTGAGTGTAATACTGCTTGAACACTTCGTTGCTGATGCGTTGAAAAGCTCTATTGAAAAGAGACAATTCAATAAAGCAAACTTGATTATATACAAACAGTATGAATAACACATGGCAGATCCTTTCGTCTAATAAAAGGGCATGTATAAATCAAAAATAGCTGGCATTAAAAGTGCGTGATATACACTTGTAAATCGTATAATATGGCAAATTTATTTTTCCGTTCATTACCACTTAGTAAGTATTGATTCGTATAGTTGATTTTTCAAAGATTATTCATATAATTTAATTAACTTGAATATTACGGAAAAGTGCTTCTTTTAGTTACAAAACAAGTCAAAACTCGACCTAATTTTACTTTCCTCTATAACTACTCATACAACTATATCTGTTGAACGTAGTGGCAAAATCTAACTCACAAAGAACAGAGTGTTTATACAAGAGTGAGATCTGAGACTGCTATAAAAATTAAAAACACATGCCCAACTCTATTTCAATTAGTTTTTTGCGGACTTTACGATATGCTGAAGGAAGGAAATGCATAATGATTTGAACGTGATGCGTTTAGATTAATTTTAAGCAGGAATGTTGGCAAGTTTTTAGATATCGCAGACAGACGTATACCATGACCGCAGTTGCCAATTCGAATACACGGATTCCGGTTGCTGTGTCAAACTTTTCGGAAAAATTATTGGCACATATTGAATTATATAAAATACCGTTATTTTTATAGCGGGCCGACATTTAAAAACGAGCAATTTATGACACAAATGACAATATAAGTATCATCGTTCAAAATTATATAGTTTTAAAACATTTCAATTTCTTTTCATACAAACTTCCACACGGCCGAGCAAAACGAGTTGAATGTGAAACGATCACATTGATTAAACATTAATATTTCCAGCAATAGACGTTCCAATGCAAATAATAATAATTATGAAATGCTGAGTTCATGCAAAGTCAAGTGATAGGAAAATGTCAGGCTTAAATAAATTGTAATTTTTAGAGTTATATATTTTTCGTTTTTTTACAGTAGGTACATAATGAGTTTCAATGAAAATCTCCATGTTTGTTACAACATTTTATGATTATCTTTTATTATTTTTACATTTACTATGTATCATATACAGAAAATAAGAACGATTATTGTCAACATTTGTACACAACTATAATTAATGAGGTTATTGATCTGGACATTTATGACAAAGTATGAAAGTTAGATAATAACCAAGCAATGCAGAGCTGCTTAATACGGTAAAGTATTGTGGATATTACGCGGTGACATATGATGATAAACTTCTAAACAGAAATGTAATATTACTTTACTGTCATGTCTGTTAAAATAAAACACAATGAACATGAAATGTTACTCGTAAACTGTTTGAAACAGTTTGAATAAAACAAATCGCAATAAACCCAAATAAATGGCTATTTACACAATTGATATTTGATGTGGTAAATTATCAATATATTGTCCACACAATAGGTCGCCAAGGGTTCTAACCCATACAGGTAATGGGCAATACAAAACCTCTGAATCACGTAATTTTTATAATTATGCCAAACTTAGTGTTAAATACGACGCATGCATATATTTAATATAGATTTTTGAGAATTGTATGTGCCCCGTGAAACTAACTAATGCATATATGTCATTTTCGGTACTTCAAACCTCCATGTTCATTTTCAGGTATTTTGTACATATTAGGTAGCAAGTCAAACACGACTTTTATTTTTATGATGTGTTTCATAGGAATATATTTCATAATGAAAAGCTACTTTCCAACAAATGGTTCGTGTTTAAGCTATACTCATACTTGATAAAACACGTTATATTCGTGATAAGGGATGAACTATTTCCAAGCGGCTTCGGCAAATATTCAGGCTGAACAATTTTACGACACCAAAGTACATTGAACAACGATGAGAGAAGAATTTTAAAAATTATGATTTTGTTTTTCTAGGTATATGAACCTGACGTGAGTTGCATTTCATTGGCATGGAAAAAACAATAGCCCCGAAAAAATGTGATATGCTTCATCATTATATTGGTTTTTGAAATGTTGATTTTGCAAGAAATTGCTTGGTATGATCTAGTCCAGGCATGGGCAAACTACGACCCGCGGGCCAAACTTGGTCCGTTGGGTAATTCAATCTGGCCCGCCGGATGCAGCCATACACAAACTAAAACAAAATTTTGATGTTTTAGCTGAAAATAGCTCATTTTAGGAATTTTGTTGAGATTGCGAATCAATTTAGTTTTGGCATGAGGCTTATTGTTTCTACTTGTTCAAAAAATGTAACTTTTTACGTCACACTTATATGGCCCGCCAGACTAGGTGTGCAAAATTTTTGGCCCTTGATCTGAAAACCTGTTCACCCCTAGTCGATATACGTGGAGAAACCAACCTAGGTGAGATATATTACAAAAAAATCGAAAGCTTGCCCAGCTTTTTGATACTGACACATTGGCTCAATAGAACAAAGTTTGCTAAACATCACAACTTTAGGAAAGAGTGGTTTCAGTTAATTCCATTTCTAAAGATCCCCAACTCAACATAAAATGAAAATACCCAAGTTCTTACCACATCCATATCGTATTCTAATGTCTTTTGCAAATAGTTTTTCTTCTTCCGTCTCTCCGCTTCCACTTAAACCAACTTCTAGTGTGGCTGTCGGTTTTACTAATGTCCAACTGAAATATAAAAAATGAAACGAATTCAATCGTAGATACGGATAGACAAAGAAGGTAACAATACTAATCATTGGTGCACATACTGCTATTAGAGAGTGAGAATGAACTTTAATACGGAATAAGCATACTAAATTGGATAGCAAAATAATCTTATGCCTTAGTATTGTTGGTGCCTTAGTAGTCATGATGATATTCCAACGTCTGCCATTATTACGCTACGTTTTGATATCACAATCGCCAGTGATGTTAGCTCATAATTTATTTTCCATGGTAGTAAACGCTTTAGGTGTAATCTGGTGCTAAAAGTGCCAATGAAATAAGTTCGCTGTTTCTAAATTATATACAAAACGTGTTTTTCAAAATGATATCGTGCACATTACATGTGAAATTCAGTGAGTTTTCTCCAGTAGAACACACGTAGGCTACAATTATTTTCCCGTGTCTCGTGTTCTGGGTTTTGATGTAATTTTTCAAATAAGTACTTACTTTGATCCAAACAGCACTGCATTGAATTTCAAAACGTTTGCTTGTTCTTTTTCTTTTTCCCACAAATGATAAGCTAATTCTCTGTACGAATCCGAGGGTAAAAATTTAGCTCCAGATACGCGTTTATCCAAGTTAAAAGCGCTTGCATAGTACGATACGGAACAGCAGAATACAAACACTTTTATAAGCGAAGCCATGTTCTATCAATATCGTGTAACACTCGCTCATGCTATATTTTCAAATGTATCTTTGAATAATTTTATCATGACAACACAGGATTCTATTCTGGTGAAACAAATAATAAATGCAATTTGCAAACGATTAGTTTATGTACTTCATTCAAAACTCATCTGTATTACCAAAATTCCACCGTTATACATATTTTATCAATATTGATAGTGGAACATAAATAATGTATTTTCGAGTATGATTTGCTGATGTGAAGCGCCGTTTACACCCGTTCACCCGACTTAAAATTCAATGAAATGTTGATCCACATAGTTAATCTAGTCAATCCCATTAAAAATTTCACAGGTTTATTAGTGCATCATATTTTGAATATAGACAGAATGGATTAGTATCTCGTCTAGAATAGGTTGGTAAATTTTCCATTCATTTAATGTGATCTAATTATTGGTTAATAATAAAAATAATTTGTATCAATATTGCTCATTTAACTGAGAACAATTAAGTTACATTAAAACAACAATGATGTAACTGTGTGCTAACAAAGTGACAGTATTATGGCAGGATCGTGCTGTATTCAGTATGTTATTGTATAATTACGCTCTAGCGTTAAATTTAAGACAAACAGTTGTAGTGGTTTCTAAATTAGCGTTTTTAAGTATGTTTTATTCCAACTTATTTTTGTTAAATTTTGTTATAAATTTATGATTAAAAATATTTTTCCGGTGTATTTTCAAAAAAATCCTTTTCAATGAATTTTTGCCTAGCGTCTGTGCCTTTTCAACTAATTAGAAGTTTCAGGTCTTTGTTCCAAATAAGGTTTTCGTCTAATCACATCCTGCCGAAAAATATCCTATCATACTATTTTCTGAGCTATCTCAAATTTCGCAGCTTCCCACTTCTAATACAAATTCTATATTGAACCAAACAAGATGCTGAACGAACGTGGCCTAAATTTAACACAAAATACATTAATCTCTTGGCAGTTTTGTTTCTAAATTAAAATTACATTATTTATCTGACTCATTTGTCAATATTTTGGCGTATGAACAGGACCTATGATGTTCCATTACAAAAATTTGATAATGGCAATGTCGAATATATGCAAATTTTTGAACCATTTATTGGCTTCTAAGCAGAAATATCAATGGGAAAATGAGGAGTTTCGCAGATAAGTAGCATGTATATTTTAGTTCAACTAAAAAAAATTGGTACGAGTAAGACAATAACCTGATTTTTTGTGGTAATCCTAGGTTTTTTCTCCTGGATCAAATTCTAATATGTTTTTATTAAAATAACGGATAGGCTGTGTCGCAAATGTTTTACATGTGCTAATTAAATGTTTTAACTTTGAATGGAACATTGCCTCGTAACTATTCAACTAATTGAGCAAAATGGTTTTTCTATAACAGTATACATTAACGTGTCGATGACGAGTTTATAGATTATTGTATACCCACCTTCTAATTTCTTTTGCATTTTTAATCGGGGTTCCTAGAAAACCTTTTTTCGTCAGTTATCCATAATTTTTGATGATTCAAAGTGGAACCAAATTAAAAACAAAATTTTGAATTGACAAGATATAGAAACAATAGTTTCGGCTGCGTCAAAAAAAGAAAGTCGACAAAGACGGGCTCCAACCTTAAGCCTAAATTTAAAACAATTTGTATATTCGACAGTGCAAGATCGAATCCTATAAAATGATATATTGACGATGTTCTTGCTGTCACATATGATTAAATATTATTTCTCTTAAAAAGTTGCCGAGCGTTTTGATATATTTGCAGAATGCATTTCATATCTATCATGATCCGATAATTGGAAATACAGTACAAACAAAAAAAAAGTACAATAAATGATATGTGTCAACCAATTACTCGGAGTCGGTAAGTCATTGCAGCTATCGATTTTAGTCTATTATCCTAAGCCCCAAATATATTTTTAAAATTATTAGACTATACATTAATTAATCTAGTCACCCTGACATGCCTCTCTTCAACGTTTCAAAGCATAATTCATCTTTTTCACATGCACAATCCACATTTCAGAACAGAAGTAAATTAATCTTATGTACCTCGGTATATTTTAATTTGCTGGACGTGAAATTCATTACCACTGAGTCGCTTCCTCATGGTGCTTACGGGATTTAAATGGCGGCATATCCATCTAAATGAACTCTGACTATTATAAAAGTATAAATGAATGAAAAAAAGGCAATCTGCTGTTGTCCTGCCACAAAACTCTATCAATAACATATCTGTCCTGAGCTAACTCGTGGACCCTCCTTCAATCATCTAGTAACGCAATTAAAAATATATGATCATATTTCAATTACAATCTGCATTGCCGATGCCTTTTTCCCAGAACGATGTCTCATTACGCAAAGGTGAAATATTGTCGCACGTTTTTTGGCACATTGGAGAAAAGAGTGACGTCACTTATCTAGTCACGGTGCAATCGCGGTACCGAAACTTGGACGGAAGTATCCGTAGTCACGTGACATTCTTCTTCGTGAATTGTAGTTTGATCATATATATGTAGCGATATATCAATAATGGATTTGATAAAATATTGATGATAATCGTAAATTAAGTTGGATTGTAAATTTGCGCATCGCAGTACTGCTGATATAGTAAAAATAATTCAAAGTTGTTGTGTCATTTTGATTGATTAATATTCTGCAAATGATAGGTATTTGTGTTATTTTTGTCATAATGAGGCATGTTATTATTACATGCTGTACAGCCAATTCTACTATGCTTTAGCTATCATCAATGCATTGAAGAATTCTTTGTCTAAACGTGAGCGGTTTCGAATATTCAATCAATTGTAGCTCATTAATTTCCCCACTTTTATAGCTTTGCTGATATAAATTCACGTCACTCTAAAAATTAATCATTTGTAGCAACTTTACAGAGAGTTTTTTTTTATCATTTTTAAGTGTTTTTGCTTTATTCTTCTACCTTGTCTTTTCTTGTATGCCACCCCTGCGCCGTGATCAATTCAGATTTGATGTGAATTCCACGTAAAAGTCGTGAAGCGTAAATAACCTTGCCATTTAGGTACTTGATCATTCATTGATTTTTTGTGATTATCATACTTTCTAAAAATCATGAAATGTCAATGGGATATGACAAATAGTTTCTTTCATAGACTCGTATTAACTACGCACGTCAGATATTGATGATGTTATGAAATAATGTCAACCCAAAATTATTCCACTAAACATTAAACCTACGTCAATCAAATATTTTTGGTTCCGTATAAACGATTAAAACTTTAAATATATCCAAAATTTTACCAAAAGTATTAGATGCAAAACCTATACAAATGTAGTTTCGAAATGACGAACTTGAAATTGGGATATTACTGAGTTGTCCCTCTTTAATTCGATAGCTTCGTTCAGAACTGAAATGAATATTTCAGGAATATATTAAGTTCATTTATGGACATTTGTATCGTCATTTTTTACAGTGACGTAATAAGCGTAATATTCAAAACCTCAGAGTCGTTGTCCATAGTTACGTCAAAGCACGTTTTCTTAGATTGCATCGAGTCAGATGAGTTTGATTTAAACACGTTTAATCTTCAGAACTAAAGATTGTGATTTTCCGTGGATCGTTTGTCGAACTGGATTAACCAGTTAACCGATGTGGCCTACTAGCAACACCTGATTAGGAAATAATTACATTGATGATATATATCCATCAGCACAAAAACAACTTCCTGGAGTGTCTTGTAGAAAATAGTCCTAGTACCCTATTTCTATATATTGAAATAAGTTTCTCTTATCATCTTAAACAACGTTTAAAGGAAACTTAGAGATTCGACTTTTAGACATTCGTACATGCTAACTTTACTGGTAGACTAATTAACCGCTGATCAGAAATTAGTTCGTTGTTTTTGGTGACCCCTACGCTATGAAATTATTAAAAAAAAATAGTAATATTTCAGCGATAAATTTTGAAGGTAAAACAAGCTTTAATTCAATCTAACGATATGTAGTATGCATAGGGTTACCATATTTTTTTGATTCCAAAGCGGGACACCTCCAAAGACACGACCCCGTGATCCGGTAACTTTACAGTTTCCATTTTTACTACATAGGCCTACATTTAAAGCCATCCCGACTGGCTTCATTGACCATATTGTCAATTTGTCATCGAGAATTCATGCACATATTATTCTCTGTCTGAATATCGGGTTCGGTTCGAAAAATAGAAAGGAATAGACGCTAACGATAAAAATGATCCGAATTTAGATTTTCTTATGTACAGCAAAAGGAATAAAGAATAATAAAATAGTCTGCCGTTTTCAAGCATTGAGAATTTACTTATTCGCCCAAGCATGCTTTTCTGTAGATACCACCTTCAAAAAGACGTTGTTCAATGTTACATTCACGTGAACGTCCGAACAGGACCAATTAGAATTGATTTTACATATGATACGTTCGATATGATATGCTGGATGGCTAAACGCCAAAGCGGGACTTTTGGCTGACTCGTCGGGACGGCGGGACAAGACGCTAAAAAGCGGGACTGTTTCGCCTAAAACGGGACGTATGGTAAGCCTGAGTATGCAGCTACAACGTACAAGTGCAATAAGGCAAGGAGGCCCGTATAATGTTTTGAATGTGCACTAGAACTAAATTCATAGGCATCTAATTATCATGCGGAATATTTGGGTCATTGAAGGAACACGAACAGAATTTTCTGAAGTTTGTTAAAACTAAATACTTCTAAATTTAGAAGCTCCGAGTGAACTCACTCTGTGGTAGACCATAATAAATCGAAAATATCATTTGCATGCCGAATTAGGTTTAAAGGTTGGAAACTTGAATTAACCTAAATCAATCAAATAACAAATGCAGTCTGTATGAAAGGTCAAGTTGAACATAGAATATATCAACTTTTTCGGTTTCAAATCTTTATTCCAAAACTTGGTTAACACATAGATTTAACAGAAGTTCGCGTCTTATTGTACTTGCACACAGTTGGGTATAGATAACCCGGGTAGCCATTTCAAACAATAGCAGCTACTTTCTTCGAAGTGTTAACATTATAGAAAAGACATGGGCAAAGTACGGCCTGCGGGCCAAATCCGTCCGGTTGGGTAATTCAATCTGGCCCGCCTGATGCTGCCACAGCCAAACCGAAACCAAATTGTATTGTTTCGGCTAAAAAATAGCTCATGGAATCTGTTGAGATTGCAGTTAAATTTGGTTTTCGCACGAGACATATTGTTTTCCATTTGTGCTTCGTTTTAACACTGTAAATATTGTTCATAAAATGTAAAGTTTTTCGTCACACTTACATGGCTCGCCAGACTAGGTCTGCAAAATTTTTTGCCCTTAGTTTAAAAACCTTGCCTACCTCTGGTAAAGAACAAGTACGCATAAAATTGTAACCTATTATTGTGTTGCTATGGGAGAACACTCATGTACAAAGTCTTTTACATTTTTTTAATCCAAGAATACATCATCACGTACTTACTAACTCATGTATGAGAAATAGTTCCTTCGATCAATTAAAAACCAGCTTTGTCTTGTCATCCAAGTAGAAGGAGACTCGGTAAACGATAGACGACCGAACATTCTTATTTCGAACTCAAAATGGTTCGCCTTTTCGCACTCGAAGTACGTTAGCGACGCGCCAAAATATTCATAATTATCCGAGCATTCAACGCGAACAAATTCTAGCATAGACATTATCACTATGTAGTTAAGAAGGTCGTGTATATATCGAATTACTGACGCTTGGCACGCATATGAATCTTCTTCAAAAAAGCGAGCAGCACCTTACTGCGACGGCGCAACCGCATTGCAGCGAATATCACTCACTCAATCAGACAATAATCATTGGCATATATACCATATCTCCCTCTCAAACACACACACAATTAACCTGGCACAACATTTAAATTGAGATGGAATAAAGGGAATGAGTGAATATATTTTGCAGGGTTAAAAAGATTTTCATATATTTTCGGCTCAAGGAGTATGATCTGTGAAACAAGTTTTATGTAAAAATACCGCTTTGTTTTTGTTGAATATTTGTCATTTTTTTGTATTGAAATCATAGAGGTGAACTTGCTGCGAAATGTTTAAGAATTTCATATTTCTTAATACTTTGAAGCGATTACATAAAATAAGGTACTATTTGCAATAGCAATTTGGCATATTTATTAAGTCTACAGTAATAAAATTTAATATAAGCAAATTTCTACATATTTCACATTAAATCAGATTATGATATTTGTATTGGACAATTGTAGTGCAGATTTTCACTCACATCTAATACGACGGTAAGTTCGAATAATCTAATTTCCGCCAAGCTTCTAAAAACATTAGTATGTCGTAAATTTTAAACTAGTTCGGAGTAATATTGTTATTTTTCAACAATATAGCAAAATAAATTTTTATTACATTACGTCAGTGACAATGTACTATTTTTAATTTTTATGACATCATAGAAAGAAAGGTGAAATTTCAAATTCTCATAACTATGAGTTCTATTGGGAAATTTTAATTCTGTTTTTCAAACCTTACGTAAAATTTGTTTTAGTTTCAGTGTCAAAATAGAACAAAAATTTACTATTCGTGTGTGTATTTGTTTAAACAAATGGAATAATTATTAAAATAGTTCTATGGTAATTAGTATCATTTTCTAGAATGACCTTTATATGGAATGTATAATTCTGTATTAATTCAAATTTTTCACATTTTGATAAATATAACAAATTGAATACTGTTACGTAAAAATTATTCCAATTTTGTAACTTTTGAGTAAAGTGTAGCGTTGTCATCAATTTATCAAAAATAATAGACGAGTAGATCAATAAATTGGAATTAGTATACCTGACAAAATTAGAAAATATCTAAATATCAGTCGATTTTAAAATGCGAGCATTTGTTCTAGTTTTAAACAAAACATTAAATGGTCGCTTACAAGTGTTGTATATATACGGTGACCGTACATTTGAACCCATGTACATTTGAATCCATGCGTATATCCACGGGTTAAATCTATATGCGGATGCTAAAACCCATGGGTTAGGGTTAGTATGGGTTTAACTATCCGTGAAACAAAAAAAATTCCATAGGTGCAATAGCATACAGGTGCAATTGTCATGGGTTCAAACGTACGTGGGTTCAAATGTAATGGAACCTATATATACATATATTTTACTTGTGGTGTTTTAGCTCGTGTGTACAAACCTACCAAAATATTTCTAAAGCAGCTTACCAGAATATGAACCACGATTTTTTCACGTGATGTTGAAGAAGCAGCATTTATCAATATCAGAATACCGGTACATGTCGATATACTGGTATTTGTCAGTTATTGATATTTCTATTTTAAAACAAGTCTTGCTTCAGATAAAAAAATAAATTCTGACATTGGCACAGACAGACCATTCTCGACTCTCAAAATCTCACCCATTCTCTATAACTAATCACAGGGCAAAGAGAATATAACATACAAGAGGTTTATGTTTTTTATACATATTTGTGATTTAATTAAACAAAAAACAATATTTTATGCCCTAGTGTTTTTATGATATTATGAGGTATTTGTGCCAATGTTTTAAACGAGGCCCAGTGGCAGCATGCTCCCTATCTTTTCATTTAAGAAGGATGTTTCCCAATTTAGGGAATAGGGAAATTACTGCCCAGTGATGCCTTGTTGGCTTGAATACTTACAAGAGAGAGGTCGGATGAAATTCCTGCCTGGCATTGCATCAAATCATTTGTAATGTTGCTGTTGGTATTTCCTGTATAAAAAAAATGGAAAAGCATCTATTACCAATGGTTATAAAAAGACACGAGCCGAATTTTGGATTGTACCGGCAGTCCAACCTGAATTAGGCTACCGAAGTAGAAATATCAAAATGGATTCCCCAATCAAGTGATAGCTCCCAACCTAAGAATCTGATATGAAATTAGTTGTAATTTTGTTAAAATTACTTGTTTTGTTACAATATAACAAAATAATGTTCAATTTTCCACTTTCCACAATTTGAGCATGATATGAACTCACTTAAAGCAGAATCCATAGCTGGTATTTGTATATTGGTTTAGTTGAAAAAAAAAAATGTGACAAAACCGAATTTGGAAACATAACTTTTACGATAGAATATTTTTCCTACCTTCCATAACTTGTATTCCCTGCTGAATTCTTGATACGATTCCCAAAAGTTGATCAAAATCATCTACGGTGATTACTCTTTCCCGCGCTCCGGCAATGAGTTCCAGTTCGCCTAGCACGTAACCTTTAACCCCGACAGCAAATGACGTCACACCTTCTGATTCTGCATACCTGACTGCTGAAGGCAAACTCCTGAAATATTCATTAACGGAAAAAGCCATTATTAGCATTTACCGACTTCACAGCGTAATTAATTGAACCATAATTTTATCGTTTTTACTCTTTATCTGTAGAGTTCCCATCAGTGAGAAGAATCATAACTCTTCTTGCTTGTGGATATCGGCTTCTTAGTCCATTGAAATCGTCCCGAACAGTTTTTTCGATTGCATGCGCAGTGTATGTTGTAAAGCCATGATACTTAAAAATGAACATGATACTAACAAAGAGAAATTGGTAAAATAACTGTAAGCAGATTCACTTTATTAGACGCCAGTAAGAAATTCGAAGCCATGTATTCGACAGCATTAACGTTTATGGTGTAACTTTCTGTTCTTAAAAACGAAAACTTTGCATTAGGTGAACAAAAAGTTTGTTTTCTTCGATATAATCTATCTACGGCTTCACAACGTTTTTTGTGAGAATAAAAGTTTATTGTAATTTTGTTCTAAAGTGGAGATATTGGGATTTTTGTGCGTTTCACGGGCTCACTCTATTGTCATTTGGGCCAGTGGTTTCCAACTTTTTTTTAACCGACCCAAACTTTTAAAAAGATACAATTTGAAAAATCTTGCGACTCAAAGATATGCTCAAATATTAAACGGCTTGTAGTGCTGTTATGCCCAATTTTAAAAACAAAATAATTATTTTACATAACATTCATTTCTTCGGAATTACTTCAAAGTGAGAATGCTGCGCTTGGCTGCCATCAGCGAGCGAAAACGTGTCGTGCTTTACTTCAGCAAAATAGATGCCTAGTTTTATATGCTGCGATGGTTCCCACATATGGTACTACTGAGCAACACATCAATAACAAGCACAAAACGAGCAATTTATTAGAAATTAGATTCAATAACTTTTAAGTCCCAGTTTTAAAAACAAGCGACCCAAGGATATTTTCAGGTGACCCAGTTTTGTGTCGCGACCCATAGGTTGGGAAAAACTGATTTAGGCAATAGTTTTATCTTGAGTAGTGTCGTGTTGTGTTCATTTGACATTCATTTTTGGGTATATTTTAATAGTTTTATATATATATAATAATTTTTCAAGGATTAACAGGTCATAATAATTGCGTTAATTTTTATTATTATCTAAAATAAATACAGTTCATAAATCATATCAGAATGTTCAAATAATCACTTCCCCATGTAAGCCATACACTGTTACCACAACTATATTAAAAGAAGTAATTTTTGTAGTTTTATAATGTATCACATGTTGTTTGAATACATAAAATTATATATATATATATTATAAAATTTCTTGGAGGATCGATGTTCGCGCACTTGACGATTTCTGACAGATCCTACTCATCCTATATCCTTATATATACACAAAGCTACTTTAAGGCATGTAAATTAAAAGCTCTAAACTCACTCTGCTCATCAATATAAGTTTGTTTGATTCTAGCTCATGTCTTTACTGATTTCAAATGCACTTGTTTTTCATTGGACCCAGGGAAACTGATCCACATTAATCGGGCTGTATATGAATATATTACAACACTCACCGATATATTTCGAACAGCCTTTGCAAATGAAGCATGATCATGGTGTTCACCGAGTGGTATTTCGGTTCTTAACCATTTCTGATTCTTCCTATCTCTCCACCAGTGAGAATATTGCACCTATGATTGAAATTAATATATAAAGAAATTAATCAGCATTTAGGGAATGAGAACATTCGTATAAGCGTTAAATACTAGTTAAGACATCTGCATACGTGTCACGACTCACGAGATACCGATTTGAATCCGAAGTTCAACGTTCGCCATACAATTTTTCCATTATTGTGTGATATCACTACCGATACTGCTACACGGCATGGGACGAAAATGTAAAAGTTAGTGGTAAAGACAATTTGGATCTTTTGTACAAATCCCCCATTATTAAATCGAATATGAGAGATTTGAGAAAAACACCTCCGCTACGTTTTAATAAAATAACAAACTAGTAAGTATGCAGTTAAGATTTAAGGTTAGGAAAGATTTGAATACATGACTTTCGAGCGCAATCTGCATTTCCAATCCTCACCATAACCTTACAACTGGATAGTTACTAATTCTTTTTATTTTGAGATTTGAGGGACTGTTTTTTGGCGGGGTCTTTGTACAAAAGATCCGACAATTTGCGTGATCATGGTCTAAGTCAAACGTTTCAACTTACCACTCCAATTTGTACTTCTTCGCTTATATCAAATCCAGCAGCTACATCTATGACCCAATCTTTAACAGTTTCGAATCTTTTTTTCGTTATTGATTCAGATCCATCCACAAGAAACATCAAGTCTATGCTTTTTTCAAAACAGCCTGCATAAAATAAATAGTACGTGAGTTTGATGGCTTAAGTAGAAAGCGCTTTTGTCTAACTTAAAAAAAAAAAAGATTATAGTTCTTTCAATAAAGGTAGCCCCTAGGGCACAAGCTTGTATAGAACACTTCATATGGTGATTGAAGCTCTTCATTTTCATGTAATCTTTTGCTAGTAACTTCTGCGTGGGCTAGCCCACAAAATAATAACTAATGCATTTTGAAAACTATAAAAATAATCAGAAGAATAGACTTGACTTTGTCTGCATGGTGTTTTTTCATTCCATTCGACAGAATATCGTCCATCCCCACGTCCAGGTTCCACGTTTGAAACATAACATGTACCTTCAGCTTTGTATGATTCACCGCAGTTGTGAGCCCGAAGGTGGGCACAAGCCTGAAACAAAAATTAAATTTAAACAGAAAAGAAGACTGGAAAATGATAATTTACATAGAGGCAATTATAATCCTTGGATATATTGACAGATAACATGAGTGACTTTTTACTAACCACCATTCGGTCCTTAGGCATGTCTGATGTAATTTTTGCTGATTTGCTACTATCCGAAGTCATCGATATTCCAAGTGTATCATTATCAGCAAGATCAAATCCTGACAATGATCGTTGAAACGGTTGCTTATTGCTACAGTTCAGAACATTTATAGATGTAGACATATTTTGAAAATTATTCACCATCATACCTGACGAAAAGAATAGGTACAGGATTACCAAAAAAAAACAAGTCATTTGAAACATAATACTTTACCTTAGGATTGCGGATCCTTATTAATGAATGGGTCAAAAATTTGATTTTCCTTGTGGAAAACAAGATTGTGGTTGATGTAATCAAAGTTTGCATCATTGATAAAGCCTTCTGTTGCATCTTCCCCGCAAGTCTTTTACTCCTTGGTTAGCATTTTATAATTTTATGCTACGCACATGCAGCTTTTATATCATGACTGGGGAGTTATGAAATAATGTGCGAAAACAAGGACTCACACGCATACTAGGGATGGGGTCGAGGATTTGGCAAATCCGAGTAATGGGCCAAGGACGCGAGTCGATTCTACCTATTGACGACGTTTCCGTATGAAATATTTTAAGCCACTTGTTGTTTTGAGTTTTGCTTGAAAAATCTTGCCATGTTTTTTTTTCGTTCAATTTTGAGCGCTTTTTAGCATATATATTTGGTGAATCCACTCCGATTGAATTATATATTTCGCTCGGCTTTCTATGTCACTACCATCCTACCTTGTTATTTCAGACTTCTGCTGTCGTTAATTTTAGTCAAAATTATTTTGTTTTCTAAACTATAACTCCGATAACACTGTGCGGGCCTTCGGTTTATACATCTCTTGAAAGAAAACCTCTGTTATAAACAAGTTGCGAGAAGTGAACAGATGAATTGTATATATCGTTATTTCATAAACGTTGTTACTGTATCATATTGACATATTATAGTATTTGTTATAGTTAGATTATTGAATTGAAGCAGTTATTATTATTAAATTTTATCGCAGAAATGTCTCTACGTTTTTGCATGAATTCGTGACTTGGTGGGTCACCGAAAAAACTTAGTAGGTCATTTTTGTGACCCGCGGGTCAGTGGATCGCCATTCATGTTCTACGGTGAACATAACTTTTGTGCAAAGCGTGCTAGATTTTTGAAACGTTTAGGTACAATCATGCACAAACAGAAGTGTAAGTGTTAAATAAATTTCCTTCATTTTTGCAAAATAAATTATGAAATTTGATTTTCTATTTTCCGGTGTTGTGCTATATATATCTGCAAAAATATCTGGAAATTAGACGTAGTCAACGATGGACCAGCGATGGAGGTATGAAAGTCCTTATGTGTGAAAGAAAATAAAAAAAGCGCATCTATATTAAAAGTTAGATTGGTAGGTTTAGTTTAGAGCAGGGCTACTCAACAGGCGGACTTTCGAGTATTCGATTCGGATCGCAACTAATTTTTTTTTTTTTCATCATTGGCCCCACTTTGATATGTGAAAGTTTCTTCTTGTTAAACGATTTTTATAGTTTTAAATGTTATTTTATTATTTGCACCTGACTATATATGGAACGAACTGTAACGGCATAATGGACAATGCGAATAGCGCAATAATCTTGGTTAGTGAATAATCATTAGACGGCCGAGGAAGCGCGCGCTTGAGGATGTCGAAATATAATTTCAGGAAAGACCGGACCCCGGTAATTTGAAGTTCTGTATACGGATCTTGGGTAAAAATGGTTGAATGGCACTGGTTTAAAACTTTCATATATATATAGTTAGAGATAGTTAGAGATTAGGAGTAGATTTAAGAAACGTATTCGGATTTCCGCTGGAGCACTACTAAGCCGGTTTATTTATTTGTTCATGATAAATATAACATTGCAGGCATATTTTTGTTAATAAAAATCAATAATCTCACCACAGTTATATAAAACTCCTGTAGATTTGGTGTAAGTGACTGCTGCTTTTAGCACCGGTATTGCTTCGCCATTCCCGTCAGGCTCCTCTGTTGTTGTGTCTGCTAACACATGTTCTAATGGGGCTGCAATCATCATACTATAATTCAATAATTTATAAAATAGTAAAAGTGGAGATGCGTATAGTATAGTTATACAAGAACTAGCATTTATAAAAAAAAATTATCTTGCCAGTTACAAATATTGACAATGGAAAACTGAAACATATATGCCATCTTTTCGCTGTATGGGTAATCTACAGTCGGATTGCTAACCAGTTTTGACGAACAAAAAAAAAAGAGAAAATAAAGATATCTTATATTACTCAAGAATTGCAAAGCGGATAATCTTCCTATTTACATTGGATATACAACTTGAATGAGTTACTTCCTGGAACCTAATTTCGTCACATGATATCAAGCAGTTGGGCGTGCACATGGGCACGAAACCCGAATGGTTAGAGCGTTAGGCATATCTAGACTGTCTTCACAGATTGAGAATTTTGGGCTCAAATCCCAAATCCGCCATCGAATAAGAATGTTTACAGTTCTTCTAAAATTGCTAGATCCTTACCCATCATCGGCTGATAGCGAAGGTAAGTGAAAATGAATGTGTAACAGGCTACAATGGCTTTAGCGATCTAATGTGTGACAGATTATTACATGGTCGTTGCACACTGGTATGGTATAAATACCTCATATATAATGTTGTGAACCAAGTCATATCAGACAAAACCGGGGCACATAATCGCTGCGGGTTGTTGGACCGAAGTTGACTACACATACGAAAATTATATGCTTAAATTTTGAGCCGTGACAAAAAAGTAACAGATCAAGAATTTTTAAAAAAACGGTGGCTATTTTTTCAAATAAATTAATATACTTACGACACTATATCCTGTTCTTCAATGTTGATTCTCCCGGTTTCAAACGTATATCCAAAAAATCGCTTATCACCTATTTCCGAAACCACATCGTCTTCACGAATTTGATGCACAAACGATTTCAATGTATCGGAATGCGTTTCAATATTGTATCCATCAATTTGTATTAATACTGAGCAATAAATTGCCAACAAGAGAAAACGTTTCATTTCTTTGAAGGCCATGTTTCATTTGTATTATTTGAAAGTATACATTTATTGTCTAATAAATCATATGTTCCTACAAAAAATCAATTCAAAATGGTTGTAATTTTGAAAAGAAAATTTGATCAAATTCAAAATTGTTACCAAATACTCACCATGTGGGGAGAATATAGTTAGATTTTGCTTGGACCTAATTGTTCAGAAGTTACAGAAGCAAATATCGAATTAACAAGAAAAAAAAACGTACTTAATTTACCACATCCTACGCACCAGGCTACATGAATATGAAAAATTTAAAAAAACTGTAACATAGTTCTTGAATTTTATTATTAGCTTTTAATCAATCTATCTCAAACTAACTATTTTAATAATTACATTGTTAGAACGAAAATCATTTAAGTTATGGGACCTACAAACCTATTTTTTTATACTTCTACTCAATGCTGTGCTCAATATTCATTATTTACCTACCGTTTCGTATTTGCTGCTGGGCCATTCTCAACGTAAGATGACTCCCAAGCTTTCAACGTAATACGTCGCAGTGACGAGGGCATTTTCGAATACGTCATTGAATCACTATGTAAAGGATATTGAAGGATTTCAATGGTGTTCCCGATTTCCGGTTTAGTGTTTGGGAATTGAAAAGGATCTTTTTACATATGACGTCATCTATAAACCAATTACAGGCGAAAATATTTCAAAATCACCACTGGGGGGCAGTCGAGAAATGGATCAGCATCGCACTTACTGACAGGCGTTGCGTATTTATTGCGCGTGGATGTGTGTCCCAATTCATTTTGCGTCTACATAGTGTCAGATAAGTCTATGTTTATATAAATCGCAAAGGTTCAGTTTACAGCGTTAAATATGGCGCTGTTTAGTTACACACAGGTAGTACCGTTAGTTTGTACAATTTTTCTCCATAACGTGATCTGTCACGACGTAGAAAACTGCAGATATGTTACTATACCAGTTTGCGGTGACCAAGAAGTGTCCACTACCTTGGTCAGAGAAAATCAGGGACAATACAGAAGAGAGGCGGGGCCACCTGGGAAGAGCGGTCCTAAGGGCAGCGATGGCCAGAAGGGTCAAAAAGGAGACAGGGGCGTGCCGGGGATTCGAGGTGCAAATGCCGATCCGCAAGTTGCAGAACGTACCATTGACATGAAAGTACAAGGTACGCATGAGTTATTATGAGCAATTCTTCTAAACCCTAATTTTACGAACATAGCTTTATCGTGATTGTAGTTGTACAATCGTCATTGCCAATTGGCCAGACTCGCAATCAAAATATATCGGTCTCATGATGGTGGTATCTCGGACTTTTTTATACTCTCTCTGTGAGACCAACACTTTGTGGTGGAAACTAAATGCGTATTACTTAATCCTTTAATGTAATTGTCTCATCGAAATTATGTGAACGTAGTATTTCAAATTGTGAATAAAGCTTGCAAAATTGTTCTTGTGACTTCAACACAATGGGAATTAAAATCATTGACGTGCTAAAGTTGCCAATATACCGCAACACGCTATTTGTATATGTAATAAAGTTTTTTTTATTTCAATGCAGAATTACGGACAAGTATGGTATCAATGAGCGGAGTTGATTTTTGCAAGGAATCTACTGTAGCTGGAATACATTTAGTCCACGGGAAAGAGTTTGTGTGCGATGGTGAAGGTTGGACGGTAATATTGTTTTGTGGACAATATATATTGTATACTGTCGGTATGCTCCATGGCAGGACAATATATTTAAATATTTGCATAACAATTGGACATGTCCCATCATAAGTGTTAACTCTCATTACGTTAGTCATATCATGAAAAAAGTTTGCTTTGCAATGCAAAACCATGATTTTGATATATACGCTATAACATCCGCGTTAGCGATTGATTACGCGTCAAACATATTGATCACCACTGTCCAAACCAATCAGTTTTTAAAAAATAAAACTACCTCATTATATTAACCAACGACCTGATTGAAAAATCGACTCTTGTTCCTTCGATATTCAGCAATATCTTCTTCGAATAATGTGAATAAAAATTAAATCATTCCCAAACCGACCTAGGAGTGCTTTTTCAAAACCATCGCATAAAAATTTCTTTATTACTCATTGTCTGGTACTTGACTGAAATTAATTTTACAGATTATTCAACATCGTCGAGATGGATCAGTTAATTTTGAAAGAAATTGGAACGAATACAAGGACGGATTTGGCAGCTTGGATGGGGAGTTTTGGTTCGGTAAAAATTGTATACTCAGTAGACAATTTTATTATGACTTATCTGACTTACTTTAGAAATTCATTATGAATATGTCTTTAATTTGAGCAGCGTAATATAGGATAAGTGGGAAAATGAATTCTTGTTGAAGAATGCTATTTTCCGTCAATTTATCATAGAATTTTCGATCTCAAATGGCTTGTGTTTTTAAATCCTCATTTTCAGGACTTCACACAATTCATAAAGTGATGAGAGGTAGAGACTGTCAACTACGAATTAAATTGGAATCGTTTGAACGTGAACAAGCTTATGCTGAGTACAGGTATAACTCCATGCCTAGTTCACACTATGAAAGATCACCAATTAAAGTTTTGATTCCGGCCACGCTTGGTTGGCTTCGTTTTGTGTAGACCCGTGGTTCTCAAAGTGGGCGTCGCGACGCACAAGTGCGTCATTTCAATTTTGCTAGGGCTTCGCCTATTTTTTTTTTGCGAAATTCCTTAGAGCTTAGATGAAGATTATCTTTCATTGGTTAGAAAAGCGTTCCGCACTCTTATCCTCTTTGCGACTTCGTATTTAAGTGAAGCAGCAGGCTATTTCTACTATAGCCGCAATTAAGACGAAATATCGATCTAGTGTAAAATGTTAAAAGAAAAATGCGTGCGGATCTTTCACAATTCACCCCAAGATTCAGTGGCATTTATATAAAAGAAGGAAATATATTCATACCCTAAATTATATGCAATTTCAATGACTTTCGTTACGTTTTGTCATTGCCAAAGAGGACTTCTATTAAATTGTATAAGTCGTTTTTCACGGGGAGTCGCAACTTGAGCATGTTTTGTGGAAGGGCGTCGCAATACAAATAAGTTTGAGAACCACTGGTGTAGACTGGAGAGTTTAACAAAGTTGACTTGATAGTCGATAAAAACTTTTCGACAGTTCAGTGCGTACACGCGATCTGCATGCTTTTATGAATGTCTGGAATTCATTCTAATGCAGTTTGCGCAGTATCAAGCATGCAATGGGCTAAATGTCTTACGTCGACGGTATATATATAACCGTGTCAAAAGCATATTTCGAATTGAATATTTTAAGGAAAAAGTTAAAAAAATGTCACATTAAGCATCATCTAAAATAATTTGTATGAGCCGTTTATCGCCAACGGAGATTCTAATGTAATCAATGATCAACAGGCACCTTATTAGTATAACTATAAGCCAGTGAACCCAGAACATTGAATAGGTCTCTATTTCAATTTACCGTTTCGGGCAATAAATTCTTTATTGTTGTTCGTTTTGCAGGGTTAGACGAGTGTTTTAATCTAAATATACATTACTGAGAAAATATTCTATTAAATTTGTTTGGGATTTGAGGGTTTTCAGGTTAAACAATCACATTCAACACAATATTATCCAATCTCATATTTTAGCACATTCGTAATTGATGACGAGGAAAAGAAATATCGACTATCAATTTCAGGATACAATGGAACTGCTGGCGACAGTATGTCGTTTCATGATGGAATGATGTTTACAACAAAAGATCGTGACAACGATAGGTGAGGTTTTAAACATTGGGGCTTTATAGACTGAACGGGTTATCGGCAAAGTAGGCCTATGTTAAAGCACTACTATTCCCGTCTGGCTTTTAATACGAAAAATAATTTTTAAAACAAAACAGAGAGCTTGTTTAAAATATCTCAAAAATTGGTAGTTGTGGCCATGATAAACCGCTTTACCCACGTTTTTGTTCATTTGCAATTGTCTCCGAAATCTGTGCATCTACCAAAATACAAGTCTTTATAAAAACACACTATGATTTGACTATACTCACAATAACAAACAATTTTATCATGTCATAAAAACCATACTAATCGGTTCTATTTCATACACGTAGAAGTGGATCAAATTGTGCCGGTACGCATGGTGGATGGTGGTTCAAAAACTGTTTTCGTGCTTCACCTAACGCTGTATGGGGAAGATCTACTGGGACATGGTCCAGGATTATTTGGTATACATGGAAGGGAGATTCCACGGCTTTGGACCACACAACGATGAAAATTCGTTGCAAAGAACATTAAAATTGATTTCATCTGTCGTCGTTTATCAGTATCTTGGATTTGATCTTCTATCAACATTGAGAATGTGATATATATATGAATCATGTCGTTGCATATCACCACCCAAATTACTAACATTTCCTTTATATATATATCTCATTTTTGGAGGAAAAAAGTTGCGAGAGTTCAGAAGAATACAGTCCTCTATTACATATATATATATATATATATATATATATATGAAAAAGGCACAACTATGCAACGTTTCGTTGGCAGGAAAGAGTTTGCATAGCGGACAACAAACGTAAACTAAAATCGTATTTGATATTTTTTTCCGATTTTGGACTAGTAGGTTTAGTACGCTTGTGGATCCACTTTGTTTCCAATATTACAATTACGTCACGGAAACAATCAGATTTGAAGAAGTAATCATTCAATTACTTTATTGGCCCGGATTGGAACAGTTGTTATTGGGAAAAATTACTCCGCCAGCTTCATTTGTCATAGTTTAACTAAATCATTGCAACTATATAGATGCATATTGAGAAAAACGATCATCGGATCTTGAAAAAGAACCGTGAGCAATTTTGCCCCATATTGTCGTGAAATCAAGTGAATTCTTTGATTAAGTAACGGATGTTTTCTAACCTCGAATTAAAATTTTAAAATGCTATCTCTAGACTGAAGAACAACATGTATTGAGAATTTCTATATATACCATGCACTAAAATGAATGTCTCCCTGAGTTAATTTGGATTCGCATGTACCATGTAATTACCTCGCACGTTAATTACATTTGGAAATAAGTGTTGAAATTTTTTTTACCAATAAGATACTTCCAACCGACTTCCACCAATCTGACGATACTCTCATTCACCTCTTTTTTGACCAAATTGCAGAGTTTGTCACTTATTTCAGTTTCTATGTTAAGTACAGATGAGAATGTCTCACCAGCGAAATTTGACGTCACATGGACCAAATAAATGGATCAGTAAAATTGACTTCACTTGAACAATAAATAGCCTATTCGTCATTGTAAACACGTTGATGTAAATTGAAGTCAGGCTCTTTGATGTAGTCGTCAGGTCTTTGCATCAATAAATTTGAGAATTATTCTTTTATTCATTTAATAAAATACTTTTTCATCTGCTGTATGTTCGTGTATGAAATATTGTTAAATTTGTTTTAAACCATTTCAAATCCTAATCAATGAACTATCCTTCTCAAGAAGACATCAAATTTGGAAGATTTGTATTTGATTGTTGACATTTGAGTGTCAGCGTAAGCTCTGGACAGTCCAGCTAAAGGGACTACTCTGATTTTCAAGTAAGCACTGTCTTGGGATTATTCCAACTATTCTTAGTATTATAAACACCTAGTCATTGTAGCAAGCACACTATATACAATTCGGTACATCATTATTTAATTAAATACTTAACCGAGTGGTTAAAACATTTGAGACAGATAATAAAATAGAAATCAAGAAAAAGTCACTAAGAAACAAAGACCGCCGGAGTTAAATAAACTTTGATTCATTTTCTTCGTATTGATATTCATTGACGATAATTACTGTTCAGACTGCTACTACACGTGATGACGGTATTTTTGCAATATGCAGATGACAGCCATCAAATCAAACCAAAATCGTTAATTAGAATATAATAAAGAGCAAGTTGTACAAAATACACGAAAGAAAGAAAACGTTGTTTCATCATACGGTTGTATTCAATAATTTTTGTCATATTTATAATGTAAAAAAACAAGTTGTTAAAAAAGGCAAAAATTCATGCAATATTTGTTTCGTATGGGAGCTATGATTTTGAAAAATACCCAGAACGAAAGATGACGCGAATATTTCAAAGTCGGTGGGCAAATGGAAATATTACACTTTCCTTAATTAAACTTTTTAGTTTATGAGTGCAAGCATCAACACCATGTATTGTTTGTTCTTGGCGATACCGAGGAACGATTGCTTTGCGAGTCAGTTGTGCTGCGTGCATCAGTTTTGTCATTTTTATGCACAACACACTGTTCTAATGATAAAAGGCTGGCGGATTCATAGTTCGGGCCCGTTGCTTTTAGTTCACGAGCCGACTTGGGTGTTTTTATTCTACAATTAGAGTCTTCAATATGTCCGCTTGATGAAGAGCTACTTCGCCTATGCTTGGTCGAACTGAAAGTCCTCGACTTGAAAATGTCTCGCTTGTATTTGGAGGCATCAAATTTTGCAACGCCATCTAATGACGGCGTAGAACCTCCTTCTCCGGTCCCTTGATAATATGTAGATCCATCTTCTTGATTATATAAGCATGCTATACCGGAATTACCAGTCTCATTGTGCTTTGTGGCATCGTTTATACCAAATGCACACCCGTTTAATTTTCGTGCATTGGTGTCTTTTTTACAGTTGTTGTTATTTAAATTATTCAAGACAAAATCTTCATTTTTGCTTGTATTGCCGTAACGGTGACTGTTGAGTTCATTGGCATTTTTGTTTGTACCAATCTGATCATCGCCATATCCTCTATCTTGAAGATTATCTTCCCAGGATCGGTGCGTCACTTCGGTGCGTGATCCGCCTTGCAGTTGCTTCCCTGCTCGTCTGTGACGGCGAGGCGTGGTTTCAGTCCCCGACAAAAGCGGGATTTTGACATCCTCGTCGGCATTATTGCATTCTGAGTCTGTTATGTCATGTTTTATTGGCTTTCGTGGTGAAACTTGTGGCAGAGTACGAGTTCCTGCAGCCCGCAATGTTTCGCTTCTAAATATTGCGTCAACTTCATCTTCGTTACTGGTCTGAAAGCGACTTGCGTTTAAATTTGCGTAGACGATTCCTTCCGGAACAGACGTCTTACGGCCACTTGATGGTCTTGAAGAAGACTGCGTATGCTCTGAAGTCGGGAGAGTTCGACGCACTGATGTGACTCGTCGTCGGTTCGCCGTTCTGTGCAATTCTTCATCGCTGTTAGCGTTATTTTCGTGTCGGCCGTAATTCCGCAACGCTGAGGAGGGAAATTCTCTCTGATTCCAGGCGTTATCATCTTCTTGTTGTGGATATTCGTAAAATCCTATGTTGCTATGGGACTGCGCACTTGTAATGTGAGAAAGATTTTCATCATTGAAAACGTTTCTAATTTCTACCTGTGGTCTTTCACGACTAGGTGCGGTGTTTCGTCTGCATATACCGGATTGTCTAGGGCTTAATCGGCTGTGTACTTCGGGTAGCTTCCGTGGTACAGGCGGAGATATAAGAGGTCTGGATGCGGCATAATCAGTAGCATCATCAAAAGCGCAGTCGTAATAATCACCACCAGCACGGAGTTGATCCATATACTGACTTTCAGGTTGCTGTCGACCTTGCAGCATGTTTACAGCATCATATCCTTTCCATAAGTTATTATTACTCGCGTAAGATGCCGAACGATAGTGCGTGAGAGGACTGCTAGTGTGGAGTCTGGACAATGGTATGACAGCCGAAGCAGATGCCGAAATTCTATTTCCTTCGTCTCGTTTGACACTAACGATCCTCGATGGACGAGTTGGAGTAGCCGGCAAAAATCGTCTCCTGTATCCAGATGCAGAGTTAGGCCTGATCTGATCGTGGGGTGAGAACGGTGGTGTACTGGCCGCAGACGATGTGGTTGACTGATAAAAGTCAGGACTGTGCGCCCGATATTGCATGTGTCGCCCCGGGTACTTGCTGTAATATATTTGTTGGTCTGTTGCATCGTCGGATATATAATTTCGACTCCGACTACCCGTTGTCATTCGATTTGTATGCATTCTCTGATCCGTATGTGGGATTAAGGCGCTGGTTGAGGCTGACCGGTCGCTTCCAATTATTCTTCCGGTCTGCACAGAATGCTTTTGTGAATTGTGTTGATTTGGGTCAGGTTCGACGCGTCCAGAATATGGTTTACGATATACATTTGTTGCCTTGCGGTGGCCGACTGTTTCAGAACCCGATGACCGACGGGTCAACGGTCTTTCCGATACCTCTAGCTCTTCTTGTGGTAAAAATGACGACGTACAACTGTGGCTTTCCCTCAGTTCACCGTACGAAACAGGAGAAATTCTCTCTTCTGTAACTGAATAAGAGAGGAAAAAAATGAGTATTGTATCATGCACGCATGTGCAAACTGATAACAATACGAAATAACTCACCGTACGCCAAAGAACATAACAGTGAAGTGCATGCGCATAACATACATCTACAACACAGAATTACGACACAACATTCAGCTCAGGAATTTTGCGGTGTATGTCTTCCAACTACTAACACATTTCACAGTGAACGGCCTAGCTGAAGAAACGATTTACTTCAACTGTACAACCGAATCATTGTACTGTATCGTACAACATAAATGACACATATTCGGAAATATAAGAAATGAGGCTTGGGCAAAATACTATAGTGAAGCAATAAAGTAAAATCAGAAATTTAACATTATTTAACGATTCAATTGCTCCAAAAGGAAGTAAGGCCGTGATGGGCTACGTTGTATAGTGCAAGATACAGTGCCATAGAGAAGCAAAGGCGTCTATAGGATCATTACGGAGCAAGATAAACAACATTCGCGATAAGATTCTTTTTGAAAAGCCACTGCTATGTTGTTCAAGATTTTCAATTTAGTATCGTGTCACACTTTTTTTTTGTAAAATTCAATTTTATAGGGGTCCTACATCAAGTCCAAAAATGATTTGATGAGGGTCATTAGAAAAGCAATTTGAATTACTTGCGTTGTTAACGTCGTGTATTTTTCCGGGCGTTTACGAGCTTCGCAAAACGAGGTAATTAAATCCCACCTCAATAAGTTAGAACGAACACACATTATTACCAACAACAACAAAAAAAGAACGTTTAAGTTAATCAGTGATTGAAGAAACTTCAAAAATATATTTTCCAAGTATTTTTTGCAATGCATTTCGGTACTGTATTCGTTACTATGATGTAGAGATATAAATACTAATTATAAAAGAATAATAAGGCAAAATCAGCGGCAAAGTTGCAATATAATATGTAACTAATTAACAACATAAAGTGAGCTAGAAATATCATACTCAACGAGATATTCTGAAAACTATTAGAAGAGAATGCGGTGAAGTTATCTTACCAATAGCCCGGCAGGCGCATGACTAAAAAATTAACTACATATATATATAGGGCAAGTACATATACGGTGATTTGGTGCGCTAAATCAAAACTTCCAAGTTGATATTCAACATTGTAGCAGGCCAATCGGCATTGTTTTTCAAATTGAACATTTTATATTCTCGGGATTTACTAATATTATCATATAAACTTCATTTGCTTGTAGGCAATGAAAACTTCACTCAAATGCTATCTCGATTTATCAGGGGGTAAAACTAAAACTCTGGGGAGATGTAAGAATAGTATTTACCGCAAATTACCAAATTTTTGGTTGGTAATCTTCTATTGCGTTCATTGGCATAACCTCCTTACTACATTTGGAAAGTATCAAAATTTCAAATAATTTGAAAGAATATATCGATGCCAAATGACAATGAAAGTAAATTGCTCTTAGTTAATTGAACAGTGAGCATGGGCGGTTAGTTCCGGCGTCGTTCTATACTTTGTTTGCGTACTCTTGAAAAAATAGGTGTGAACCTCGTCACATAATAGCACAATTTTTGTCATCTAAGTTTGTTTTTTCTGTTGACTTTATTTCGTTATCATCAAATGCAGGATTTTCGTGCCATGATGTAGACGTGTTTACCACTGACCCAGGTTGTTTGATAGATTTTTCCACGTCAATATCCAAAACATTTGTAACGTTGTCTTCTCGTGAGAACGATCGCTGAAAATATTCCACAAATGGGCTCATTATACGAGATATAGTAGTAGTAGATTCTTCTGACTGATCTGGTTGTGACGTCGAAGCTACGTCTGATTTTTTACGTAAATCTTCCACGGAGTCGATATCAGCTATGTCAGGTGCATCGACGTAAACGTGAAGAGATTTGGCAGAGGCATAATGTGAAGAAGGACAGTCGTCTGGTGGTAGATTGCGAGGTTGCTCTGCAAGGACTGATATTGATGCACGGGATACTGTTATTCGAGGCAGTGTTGTTGGAATAGTTTTACCTTTACCAGCATGTTCCATGCTATGCGATCGTTTTACAGTTGAATGCATGTTTTCGCATTTTGCACTTTCGGTACTGCTCCCTTCGGCGTAAGCTGTATCGTGACTTGCGTCGTCCAATTCTGGGATTTCAGAAATAACGTAACTAGGATTAGGACGGTTTGACCATTCTGTTTGATTGACTGGATTGAACCCAAATTTAGCATTGGCTTCTGGGGGGATAGGTTCGATAACTACCTCGCTATTGTGATCTTGACCAACGGAAAACTTTCTTCTAGAGTCTGGAGGACGATGCGACTTATATGGTGTATGAAAATTGTGGTAAACGGGTTTGTTTGAAGTATCTGGAAGGTCTTTCATTTCCAACGACGTAGGCGTCGCTACGGTATCTGGCGTTTGACTTCGTGTACCATTAGTGTTAAATGATCTCGGAGTAATATTATCCTGTGGTGGGTGAGGCTTCATGAAAGGAGAGGACTTACAAAATGGCGAAGTGCATATTTTACCATAAAAACTGTCTGATACAAGAATCGAATCACAACTTTTACAGAGTCTGATGTTGTTACTTTTCAATACATCATTCTGTTCTACATCCATTCCGAGCCACATACGAGTTTTAGTATCAGAAAACAATTTCAACGGACCCATACGTACAGGCATTGAATTGGGGAAAGGTGTACGAGTACTGCCAAATGAGGCGTTATCAGAGTCATCGCTATCTGGCGCTGAGTGAAATTTGGGTGTGGACCCGGCCTTGAAAAACATGTCTAACTCTTCTGAAGAAGCAGTCTCGTTTTGTAATGAAGTATCTTTTACTGTAGATGGATGAGCTTTACGCAGGGGTGGCTTTGGTTCTATTGACTTCTGTTTTTGGTTAATTGAATTCAAATTATCTTTTGTCTCGTCTGAAGGTTCTGTGTCAGTGACAACAAGTTGGGCTGGCAGTCCGTTAGCGGGAGGAATCAAAAACAGTGAACGTTGACGTGCAGCAAGGGGCTTCGCTTTACCAGTGTTTGCCATAAAAGCGTCATCACTTGACGTTATCGAATCTCCTATGATCTCGAGGCGTTTGGTATTTCTGGCCTTTCGTCGAAGAACAGCGCCTAAGTCTCTCGACCTTCGACGTGTTTCCTGTCCGGTAACCGGTGCCGATGACAGTCTAGATTTTTGTCTTCCTCCAGTATAACGTCGCTTGTGAGCCGGTATTTTTGGTTTATTATTTTGCATGAATATCGCGTCAAATGCTTTGGCATCTTGCCCAGCATCATATTGTTCAGTTCGTTCAGTTTTCTCATTAGAGAGAATTCTCTTCAGGCTTCTTTTCAGGCTATTTTTGGTTCTATGATTATGAGAGGAACTAGTAACTGGCATATAAGAAGGCAACGTCGCGGAAGAGAAAGTAGTTCCTTCCTTTGGGGGCAGGTAACTGGGATGTTTTTGCATTGACCACTGATCACCGCTGCTGCTGTTCCGTCTCACGATATTGTTGCTGAAATTCAAATTCCGACGAGGTAATGGCGAAGGTGGTACAGCAATATCCCACTCGCTTTCGCTCAAACTTTCTGCATCTTCTTCCGTCGATACAGGTGAATAATCGGTGCTCAGTGAAGTGTGCGAAGATGATGTTTCACCAGAATCGTAACGAGCTACGAATGAGAGAGACATCACACCAAAAAAACGACGAGAGAAACAACATACAACATGCAAAAAAAGAAAAGGAGAGAAATTTACAACTACGTGCTTAAAGTGAGAGAGTAGGCGTTAAACGGGATTTTTATCAAGTACTTGATGAATGTTATATCACATCACAAATATAAAATAACTGGACAGCAGATAAAGAGGGACATACAATCGTAAATAATTGAAATATTCGGTTAGTGACGGACATGGGGTTGCGCTTAGTGGCAAACGTTGTTTAAAGAATTTTGTCAAACGCTGTTTTCAATAAGTGAAAATTATTTTCTAATCATTGACGAGTACAGACAGATATTGACAACAAAACACGTGCAGAAAACTAAAATATTTACCCAGCCCTTGTCTGTGATATCCATTTACATTAGCTTGAACGTGGTCGTTTTCTATATGTAAATTGCTCGATGAGCGCTTCATATTCTTGCGATCCGAACCCAAGTCGACGTATTGAGGCTAATGGAATAAAATAATATATATAAGAATAAATTGATAAACAATCAGATACTATGGGAACTAATTTATTTTTTGTACATTCAAGTTTACAATTCATACATTATTGCATCAGTCTCACTATGTTGATGTGCATATCTACCACCTCACGAAGGCTGTAAAATGAGTAGGCTATGCACCAACGGAAGAGGTTACTGTAATTTCAACGATGTAGTGGCTGTTTACACAAATTTTAAAATTTCAACACTTGTTTGTAATAAACGGGATATAATCATTTTAAACAGAAAATTTGATATTCAAGAATTTCGTGAATGATTTGATTTTTAATTTTTAAAACATTGATGAATTTTATATACGGCAGAATCACCCAATATGCCAAATTTGATTTATTTTTTTACATAAATTGTACCTATATGTAAAAGTTTAACTTGATTTCAATTTTCGTTTTAAGTATATTCTTTGACACGTCCGAGTCTAAACGCGCAAAAACAAATTGACGTAAAATAAATTTTGGGGTATTTGGCTAATTCAATGGTTGCTGCAACACGTTTATGATATCATGAACTGACGAAGTTTCGGTAAATTCATGTTCACTAACAAAAGATGAAGGACGAATGTCACTCTACATTCAAAACCAATTATTTTAGATGTCGCTGGGCAATCACGGTCTAGCGTTCTACCATACATTCAATGATTACACTTGACAACGAAAAAAATGCAAACAATTTTTTGATTTCAGAAATGAGGTAAATGCATAGGTTGTGATGTCACAATAATTAACATAAATAATAGTTCGTTGTTGACTGGAATGCAGAGTGAACACGAGGCGAAATACCTAATAAAACGTGTAACGGTATGATCACAAAAAGTAATTAGGAAGTATTGAAAATGATAAACTACAGATATGTGATTCTTTAATGGTTTATATCACAAATGACGTTGTTTTGTTGAACCGAGGCTGTAACTGATGACTATGTCGTTACAATCATTCTTTGCAATGTGGACATGCGACACAGGCAAGCTCTTGTAATTCAAAGAGCGCATTAATGATCATGATAATGATGATGATGACATCAAATTTGCCAACCTCAATTTCATTTAATTTCGGCATCGATACGGCTCTTGTCGGCTCCGAAATGTCTTCTTCCCTACAGTTTATAACACTTGTGTTCGATGCTAATCGTTTTTTATTGTTTACGACCATATATCGTTTCGTTCCTAATGGCCGAGCTCGATGAGGGCGGGAGGACGTTGAAGCCGAGCGTCGGGGTGGATGACTGCGCACTCGACCTCGGTCGTGACGGCCTATTATTTGCAAAGACTCCGAAGAAGTATCTCCGAAAACATCGGGGTAGGAATCATCCAGTGGACTAAAGCTGGAATATTTATTTTCTACTGGACTAGACGCAGTAATGGATACAATGGGTGCCAGGCGGGTTTGGGCCATTCCAACCTCCAAGTCTGCTACTGAAGAGGCAGATGTATTCGTAGTACTATCTCCTAGATTTTTATTGCCAGTAGATGGCAGTAAGGTGTAATTTCCATCAAACTTTTGATTCAACGATAATTGGGACTGACTCAGTTCTCTCATTGCTTGGAATAATGTAGATGTTGGTTGAAGATCTCTGGGATAAGCGTGTTTAATTTTAGGAGACATATTTTCTGGGTCATGTTTCATCTCAAAAACGTCTTTCGAGTTTGTTACTGTTTTTCGAGGCGAAGACGGCGACGGAATAAAGTTATATGTCATCGAGTTGCTGGTGGACTGACACGGACTACGAATAACAGCACTTTTGGCAGGAACATCCATTGTCACGAATTTACTGTCGTCTTGCTTATGTCGCAACAATGCTACAGTTTCATCTATTGTAGGCGATGTTGCTTTGAGTCTAGAAGGGTTTTCTTCATGTTTGACAGACAATTCACTGTCATCTTTCGTATAGGCTGAGGGCACTGTATCGTGACTATGCTTGTCGTTATCGGTATGATCCAGTTTTTCTTCGCTCTAGAAATGGCGACCGTATCAGAATGTGATCATTAAGTAATTATTAATCGATATTAAAAGTAACAGAATTTCTTTTGATGTAGACTTCATTCCCGACCAAAACTGTAAAAAAAATTTAAAAAAGAAGAACGAAATAAAAGTTTACCTGAGTTCCTGGCACTCGCAGATTACTTCCACCTGGTTCATAAGATAATGCATTCTCTCTTCCACTCTAAAAGTAAAATTCAATTTAAAAAATGACAGACGTATTTTAATAAATTAAACTTACACTAGAAATTTCATTGGACGGTGTAATGGTCGTTCGAGTACAGAGATTTTTGATGTACAGTGGAACGTTTGACGTTTATATTGCTAATGAATATGAGGAGTATAAACAACTCTTTCAATAAGAATTATTTCATATGTTAAATGCATGAGCAGAAGTGAATAACAAATATTTAGTTCTAGAATCCACAGTCAACGATTTAAAACGTTGGCTATTTTCAACATGTCCAATTTATTCTATACATAGTTTCTAGTTTTTTAACAAAATTATTGAACATTTGTGTAGGTTACCTTCGCAGAAATTGCAGACACAATGGATGCCAAGCTAGCTCCTCTAGCCATCCTCAAATTATGCCCATCGTGATCGTCCGCGCTCGCCATTGTCTGCATTACGGCGTTGCGTGGCGCCAATGCAGTCGTGTTTCCATCACGTCGACTCCTGTATGCTCTCCAGTGTTCGTACATTAGCAACGCTCCGTAGACTTTACCAACTGTGACATCTGGGGAAAACAGATATGGTTATTTTTTATAGGTGCATTACTATGGTTCTTCAATGACGTATGTAAGTTTACACGACAAGTTATGACAAATCTGTTATATATTTATTAACGGAATAACACGAGCGCCTGAAAACTCCATGAGAGTACGATGGAAATATAACCAGTTACCATTTTCTCTATTTTCTTGAGGCACCAATAAGTTAAGTTTTTTCTGATCAAGATTATTCCAAGCAAGTTTGATTTCTTTTCTCAGCTGATCATCAAGCACTTTTTGATCTCTGTTGAAATGAGAAAAGTAGAAATTGACAAAAAAGTAAGTTGAATGGAATTTGACACTGATATCAGTTTTACTCGTTTCGTACACTGAACCAATGCCCGCCATGTTCGCGTTTCAGGTAAACGAGTCACACATACACATCATTAAAATGTACTTTAGGCTACTATATAACTTGGCTACAGATTGATTTTGGAAAATGCGTAAAATAGTTAAAGCACATAAATGATAAGTTCACCTGTAGGTCTTCCCAGCGCCATCAATATTCTGTGGAAGAATTTTTATCTGCAACGACGCTCTAATAAGCGCCATTAACGTTGTTGTAAAATTAACCTTTTTTTCGGAATTCAAAGGCATATTCATTTGTATCAGTCGTCGATATGCAACGCGATTTGGACAGTTTTTCCCGAACCCCAGAGGCGGCTCCATGTGTCGTAACATATCAAACATGTCCGAAAACTTTATATAGCTTGTTGCCTGGATACAAAATGTAAATATATGGTTGGAGGGCCTCTACATTAACCAAAGGAGTTTGGAAGTGAACGAGTTTCAAGCTTGTTCGATTAACTACTGCCTTTCGCTCCCCTCGCATTTTATCATCATAGAAAATGCAGATATTTCGGTCGTAAATAATACTTTCATGGTACTATATGAAAGCATAGTACATAAATATCATAATCTTATTCCTAGATGATATATTTAGCTGTTAAAAACTACCCAATCACCGACTAGCATTTGCTGAAATACCATCGAAACACCGGGCGTGCTTCTTGGAGCATTCTTAAATGTGTTGAACTTGAGTCAGCTTTAAATCACGTCGATGTGGCTGGGAGCAGAATTAATGAGATTTATCAAACAAACTGGGCCAAGCTGACAAACATAAACTGTGTTTTAATTCTTTTTTCGTATGAATGGGCTTCAGTCTGAGTTTGTGGTCCAATAATGAGCATTTGTGGTACAATTAATAAAAAATGAAATATATTCATGTACATCTTACCTGTGGGTCATACTCCGCCCAAACACGAATGTACTCGTCCAAATGGTGAGGACCAAGTATGGATGAATCGCGCGTTAAGTATTCAAAGTTGTCCATGATTACAGCAACAAACAGATTAAGCATCTAACAAAATGAATAATATTGTGATGCGACTCCATACATACATAAAAGGACTTCAAATTTATCCGAATAAAAAGATAAAATTGAGAAAATACTTTAGTAACTTACCAGGAAAGAGCAGAAAAATATAAAACTCGTAAAGTAAAAATATGCTATCATGTTGCCACATTTCTTGTCTTCTGCTCCCGCCCTTGGATCGCATTCAGCGCTAACGCAATCAAGCATAATACTCTGCCAGGCCTCTCCCGTTGCAGACCTACAATAAATACATTTTTAACAGAATAATGATGTTATTGATCGAAAGTATAAATTTCAAATACAATAATATTTGTGAAGAAAGCAGCTTTTAGATATTCTAATGGGCCCCTTTCTGAGTCAGAGATGTTGATATTCAGCTACTTTGTTATACAGTACCTCATAACCCAGAGCGTAAGAAATTGGTTGAGTTTTTCCAAGCCTGAGTCATTCCGATAATTTAAAACCCGCGATACGACGTATGATTGATTACCCACGAAGCTTTTTCGAATGTGAAATTTAAAATGTATTATAAAACGAAATTAACTGAAAATACAAAGAGAGGTTTCAAGTCGACTTCATACTGAAAACTTTCATTTAGATAAAACGAGAGAGGTAATTTAGAGAGGAAAGCAGTATTACAATAAAATGAGAGAAATAACAGAGCGAGAAAAAAAGTATTAGAAAAACGAGAGCAGTAACAGAGAGACAAAAGAAGTATTACAAAAGAAATGAGAGAAGTAATACTTTTGTCTTCGAATTCACTCACCTAAATAGCAGCATGAGAGATTGTATAAAATCTCTGAAGTTATTATGATGATTTATCTGAGTTTCTGCATCCAATTTTATATTTCCAAATAACTGCATACCGATGATAGCGTATATGAAGAACAGCATTACCATCAACAAGCAGACGTAAGGCAGGGCCTATTAAATGAAAAAAGTACATTTATAGGTTGTCGCAGAACTAAAGTAAAAAGCGATTTCAGTTGCCAAGAAAAATAATTTAGTGCAAATGAAATGAAATTTCTGATACGAATACGAATTTTTGAAATCAGATTTGATAAACATATTTCAACAAATAAGTTGAGATTAAAGCTAGTATAGGTTTACCGACCTTTATTGACTGTACAAATGTCCACAGTAGAATCCGTATCGTTTCACCTTGCCGCAGGAGTTTAATGAGACGAGCCGCTCGGAACAGTCGCAAAAAGCTCAGGTTGATGAAACCAGACTATTGGCACGCAGAAGAATATAAAAACAGAAACTATGATAAGTATGGTGCAATATAATGTTTTTATATGTATGTTACGTAATGATAATGCTCAGAAGACGACCACACTACAAAAACGAAAATATATTTCTCTGTATTTTCATTTAGACAAAACTTATTTCGTAAACAATTATATATTTTTTATTTACTTAACTGTTTGGATCATGCCAAACATAAAAGGAAAAATTGAAGCAATACATGATTGATAAAGATAATGATATGTACAAATCTCATCATAAACTATTTCATCTAGTACGTAGTGAAAATGTATCACAAACAGAAGTCACCACAAAACTCCAAGTACAAGATGAAAAATCGACCACCACATAAACGATACAGTTTCATTTCAAAATTTGGTAGAAAGAAAAAAGACAAAAACAAGAACAGATCATAATGAAGTCCTTAACACATAAACACAAATTTATCTGTGTTGTCCGAATAGTGAAAATTTATCTTGCCAATAAATTAAAATTGGAACTTTTTAGCTACAATTTAACAGTTGCTATCTATTTGGGTTGCGTCATAAATGAAAACAACTATATTATTATTAACCGTTCCGTAAAAGATTTTCAGCAGTACCTACCGTGTCATGCTACAAGAGGATCACAGATAAAGAATCCGAGCAGCATAGCAGTGAATGATAAATAAAACAAATTTTGCGTGAATTACCAGCTAATTAAGCGCATTGAGAATTGCAGAGAAATTTTAATCCAAAAAGCTCATTTTAATACTTTGAACGAGTCAAATTTAACGTATATATATTTTAACACAAATTGTCTTTTTTGTGGTCAAGAGGGCATTTTGCCGATTTATTATCATCTGTATTTAATGGAAGATTCTTCCTATTCCAATATGACATACACCGTATGTAGTAATAAAAAGCTTACAGGTGAATATTTATTTATATTTTTATATGGCATAACATACGCTCAAATTTATCTAATGAAATATAAGTTTACTGGACTTTTTTAATTTGAATTGCGCCTAAAATATTGACGAAAGGTATTGTGGGTCAATTATTCAATGTTACGAAAACAAGGTCTTTTTGTATTGCATTGGAAAATTCATTTCGCTTAAATAACTGTGCAATTCTCAGCTGATAGATCGAAATTATATATGATCAATGCTGGATTTTTAGTTACTGGATTGTAAAAAATGATCAGCATGCTAAGCATGCATAAAATGGTGAATGAAAGGAAAAGAAAAATGCAAATTCATGCAAGTGTATTAATGTAGAATTGTGCTGTTGCACCACTCATATCAATTGGCAAAAGATAAACCGATTTTACCCATTGGTGTTCGAAAACCCGATATACTCGTGGTAGGTACGCTCCGTTTTTCAATTTTATTGATTTCATTCGACATTATTTTCCGTCGCTTGAGTAGTGCATCAGTCATTCACGTTCATGCAATTACCAGTAATAGTAAAAACAACCATGCAATATGAGATATAGAACATGCAGCAATGCACAACTTCAACTTTGTTAATTAACTTCAAAATTATGGGATAACCAAATCACAAATATAGTGTACATTGACAATGACACGGGGCTTTGCAGCCCATTTTCAACACGAATATTTCGTGTGTTAATGGTAAACAACTAAATATAAATAATGTTAAAATTATGGGTGAAAGTTTTGTGCACTTGTTTTCATATTATAATATTACCTCCGTTTCTTGTCTCATGTGCTGTAGGAGTTTTAAAAATAAAAGAAGAAATTTCAAGAATAGAATCTAACTACACTATATCATCAATTACAAAATATAGGAAGAATGGAGGTGCAATGAAAAATGATTCCTAATGGTAAAGAGTTTGCTCCTATAAATAATGCAATTTCTTTCTGAAAACTATTGAAAATCAAATTGAATGATTTGCTAGTGGTATGACGTGTGACAGTCAAGATCCAAATGTATAGATGTTAGAAAAAGTTTTTATTTTGAAACAAGACGACTTAGCAACTTGGAAAATCAAAATATAGGCACGAACCCTGTTGCTAGACAGGTATTCAGATGTAGTTGAAGTTGACCACAAAACGATAGTGTATAAATGCAATGCATGAACGAGTCAATAAATGGTCGAGTCAGAAGACTTTCACAACCACCTTTGACTAATTTCATAGCAATATGATTAGAGAAGATAGAAATAAAACTAGTAAGGGTTTCAAACGATTATACGTTTGAAAACCAACACACGAAAAGATAACATATTTTGCTAGTAGATGCAAAATACTGCCATAGATAGATAGAAGATGCTCAAGCAAGAAAGACGGTAGCTTCCAATTTAAATTTATCAGAGTCATACATTAGTAAAAGTCAGTGCGACCCTTTGATACATGATACATCATTGTGCATTCAGACACAAACAAGTTATCGGAGGGCCCAATGTTGCCTGTCTGTAAATCGACAAATACTTTCAACTGAGATATATACTTGATGGGATATAAATTCAAACTGCGATTTGAGTCCTCTCATAAGACCCTATATAATCCGATTGACGGCTATGTGCCAGTTCGAATAATTTGGTGTTCCAAAATCTATCAACATCAATATAAGTTTCCATTATTGTGGAACGATTTATTATTGCGGGAATGACCAATGTAAAAAATTTATGCACATTGAAAAACTAAATCAAATGTAAAGATTACTAGGCACAGTGTAGCAAATTCACTTTTAATTATCATTCGTCAAAAGCATCTCTCAAATACCGTTCTTCACAAGCATACTCTGCATCTTAGAGTAAATAAGTTTAAGATGCATCACAACGCATACAGCCCAAATTAGTTTGCCATGTTATCGCTTCTTTTACGCCACAGTGCTCAAAAGTTTATTAGGTTATATATTTAACCAATAGCGTACGTTCATGGAAAACTTCAAACTGTTTAAAAGCAAAAGTTTGAAGTATACTTTGAAAAATGTAAAGAGTAACCTGCTGATCAGGAGGCAAATATTGGCGTTGTAAGTTCTGAATTTGACAAAATGTTTACAAGCGTATAATAGTCTCAGTCTACTAAGATGATTTTGTAAACCTAAAGTTACACTGATACTAAAATTACCCAATTTTCAACTCAAATATAGTCCAAACACATGAACATTTTTAGTTTTACAGATGGCTGTCCGTACGCGTGTATATTCCGGCAAGCTATTAGTTGACCAAAATACACGATTAAACATGGAAGAAATAAGGTTGGAACGTTTATAGCCAATTTCGCTATAATAATTTAATACAGTTTAACCCCAAGAATGAAACAGGAATTTGTGTCGCTTTTTTGTATCTGCATTTTCACTAAATTTTAATTATCAACTTTGGAAGTTCACAATATACAGTTGGTACTTACCGCCAGTAGAGTAATCAAAACATCAGCAATGCTCCCAAGAACAGTGATGAAGTCAAAAGAATTCCAGGCATCTTTGAAATAATTCTGGTTTATGAGAAAACACAAAATGGGATTAATGAAGCGAAAAGCATGTAGCAAAGAAGAAGATTTTGAAGGGAAATTGTAAAACGTTTTTGATCAATATCACAGCAAAAGAATGAAATTATGGTGGCAGTTTCCCAGATGTATTGCAAAACATTTTTAAAAAATTTATGGTTCGTTTTTAAAAATATGTATTTCTTAAATTGAATCGTGTCCAAATCTTTAGATTCCACCAAAAATAATGTGTAGAATTTGGCTTACGTATTAAACTTATTACGTTATTATAAAGTAAAATTAATTTTAATAAAATTAAATCTACATGTACCATGCACTTTACGAGCGTATTTGCTTTTCAAAACATGAATAGCAAAAAGAAAACATGCTTTTTGCAAATTATAACAGTTTCATGCTGAAATATTTTTTTAGATTTTTCATATACTTTTTAAAAACAAAGATCATACAAATCTTAAAATTACGTCATTGTTTTTTATCATTTTATGCCTTTTTATATGAAGATTTCAATACAATATAACTTCAGATTGCAAATTTGAACTCGTACAACAATAGAATAAAATCGAAAGAACGATGAGAAAACTTGAAATCGTCAAAACTTTTCGCCAAATTCGTACCCAAACCTTGCATTATAAGTTTAATACCGTAACGTACAATAGGGCCAAACGCCATCATCTTTAACAAACATTCGAGTGTAAAGAGGCCAGTAAAGGCTAAGTTGCTGTAGTGGAGGCCATCTTCATATTGACTTGAATTCTGTATCCTCCATCGATCCTGTTTTTTTTCACGTAGTTCCCGAAGCGATGATAAGGTCGAAGGTCATTTACAACACAATCGGTTAAGACGTCACAGAAAGGAACAAAATAAAATTGAATGACAGGTTTAGAAAGATAGCATTATTACATAGCATTATTGCCGAAAATGCCATGCTACATGAAAAATATATGCAATAAATAAACGAGTCAAGGTATGCGTAGATGGTGCTTCGTCAACGATCTCAGCATACGCGAATGACCGAATTATAGTCGTGCAAAAACATGATGCATAGTTGCGCTATGCAGAAATATGTTAGTATATATATATTTATATAATATATAAATGTTGTTTTAAAAACTTAATGCATGAACATTAGCAGCCAGGCACGGCCATCATCTCATCAAAATGACGTCATGCTTTGACCATGACGACCGCGAAGGTCAAATATAAAAATAAGATGTTAAAACGAAACAAATTAATGAACAAAAGCTGTAAATACAAAATAACTTTGAGCTTGCACATAAATGAAGCAGTAAGTACATAAATTCGTGCGCATAAAGGCATACTAGCAGACAGTATAGTTATTTTTTTTAATTTTTTTTTCGAGCAAAATTTACCAAAGGGCCATAGGCGAACATTTTGATAAAACATTCAAGGCTGAAGAGTGCTGTAAAAACTATGTTCAAATTGTGCAAGCTGTCTTCGTATTCTTTGCTCATGCCGTCAAACTGTCAAACGTCAAATATACAAGTGGGTATTGAAAAAGGACTGAAGATTTGGATAAGGAGAATGAGAACACGGTACTGTCATGGTACTATTGCTTCAACTATTTACACGGCCTTGTTTTTTTCCCCTCTTTCAAAAATATGGTACATTAACAAATTGTTTCGAATTAGCTGTTGATTTCACAACAAAACAACAGTTATAGGGAATGGGAAAAGAAAAAGCACTGATATTAATTAGTAAAAATATTATGTGATGATTGAACGGCCCCTGACTCAGTATGATCCGCAGATTTTCATTGTTCACGACGTAGTTTCATGTAGAATAATATAGGGCGGTGATTTGTAATATAATGACGTTTTTGAATACAAGTGAAGAGTTTGGCGTATTTCACTTAATTCGCGATGACAAGAAGACTTACATTTCATTCGTCGTTCAAATAAAAACAATGTGGAAACTTTATTATTTTAATTTTTTTCACTGTATTCGTCAGTCAAAAGCTTAAAATTCGTGTAAAATACTAATATTAAGTACAATATTAGATATGTTATAACACACGTACACGAACAAACATATAACAATGCATTTACCTTGAGCATCAATACAATCGTATTTAGCACAATAAGCCCCATAATAAACCATTCAAAGACGGGAGAAACGACTATCTTCCATACTCTGTATTGCAATCCGCTTTTATTTGCGGGCATGAAACGCGTCAGAGGTTTTGCCGAAATAGCAAAATCGACGCAGGCTCTCTAAACAAAAGAATCGATATATTTAATTGTTATCGAGCTATGATAAGCTAAGGAAAACATAAATAACAAAGCGTTTATGGAGAAATAATATTTTATATTATATTATACATTATGTATATTATATACATTGTTATATTTATTTACATACTGCTTTCAAAATTTAATATTGGGACGAAATTAGATTTGAGTATTATTTTCACATTTTAAAATATTAATTTGCGACAATTGTTACATCATAATATTTTAATGACGTCGATGGTTGGGGATATCTCGATCTTAATATTTCTATCTCAAAATATCGTTTTTGTAAGCGAACAACAAAGTGATGCTATTTAGTTCTAAATATATACATTTTTTACTGTACCTCGTTCTTTTCAAGTGAACATTTTGACATTGCGTCTTCTCCCTCTTGTTGAAAAGTAATGATGATTAAAGCCACAAATATGTTGACAAAGAAAAACGGGAAAACGATAAAAAATACGATGTAAAAGAGTGAAACTTCCATTCGATTGTAAGGAATGGGACCTTGGTCTTCAGAAGTTGACTCAATGGAGTTCCACAGAACACTGGAAATGAAAAAGTAAACTTATTAGCACGATGTCTTTACTATTTCTTATGTTTTAATAAACTCAACCAGATGTGAAAAATATTGTTTTGTCTGTTCCAAATCATATCAAATCATATCCCCACTTTAGAGTAGTAGGTGATATTCGGGGAGATGTTGCATAAAAGCTAAAAAAAATAGTTTTTAGGAAACATAAAAGCCATGTCTAAGGATTTTTCACTGTGTGATACATATTCGCATACGATGGTTATTTCGTTACAATATATGGAAAAGGATGTAAACCTCCGACGCTTTAATATTCGAGAACTCTTAATTGCAAACCAATTGTTCCCCTAACACCCTCATTTGTTTGTTTATATAACAAAATCCTGAACTGTACCGAAGACTTATTTTACCTGAAAACTCTTCTGACGAATCAATAATTTTGTAAATTCATTCATTTTTGTATTAGATTTTAGGTTGAGGTAAGATTAACAATGGGATACTCTAAGAATATTTACTGGAAGCCTTTTAAAAATACTCACTCCGGCCATCCTTCGCCAGTTGAAATGACAAATAGAGTGAGAAATGAGTATAGTACATTATCATAATGAAAATCTCGTCTTTTCCACTCTCTGGGTTTAACAGCATAAGTACCGTCTGAATTTTCTTCAATATAATTGCCCCTAGACAAATTATGAATAAAAAATAATTTTAGTTATTTACACTAAAATGCCAGTCCTCAAAAATACGTATCAGAAGGTGCTCATTGAGAGCCTATTTCAGAGTGGAACCATTCAAAAAAATACAAAACAGGCAATATAATACATACTTGCACTCCATTTTAAAATGTTTCGACTCATCTGTACAGTAGTAAAATTTTCCGTTGAACAATTCAACCGCGATGACAGCGAATATAAACATGAAAAGCATGTAGACAATCAATATAGTAGCAACATTCTTGAAAGCGTTGACAACACACATGAAAACAGCCTGAAATAAATAGAATTATAAGTTAAATCAATTCAAATGCAACAACATGGCGTTGCAAAAATACGGAAAAAACTGGGCTAGGTGGATGAGAACCTACTGTTTAGCCATAGTTTCTAATGTTTGAATACGAGCCAATCCCTATCTCAACTTTTTCTTTCATTTAAAATCTAAATGACAAATTGAGAGCGAGCAGCTAAATGGATTAGCCGAGATTCGAAACCCAAATATCCGGTTTTATAGTAGTTCGACTAATACCTGTTATAGAACATAAACAATTTGCTAGTGGAATATTTAGAAAATCACAACTACTAACAATAATTCAAAATTGCGACGACTGGTCACTTGTATCATCATATATATCTACGACGATTCCATATGAAAAATACCATATTATAACAAAAATACATTTACCTTCAGTTTTGGTAATCTTTTGATTGTTTTCAACGGTCGTAATACTCTCACAACACGAAGCGATTTAATCACGCCTAAATCGAGAGTTGGGTCTTCTGAGGCCCTGAATTATACGAAACAAAATCGTATGGTTCGGTTTGACACTTACTGGTGGATATCCCTAAACAGCGAGTCACGGATAATCCGAAACTCGAGCCTTTGATCAATATTGACTCGAGTCCGTATCGAGAGGAGTCAATCGAGTTCGCCTTACCATCAGCTTTTGTCGATCATATCATTAGTCAAAAAGCCATTGTGGATTTTGATGGAAGTTTGAAAAAAGCAAACCATTTTTTATGGAAAAACTAGGCATATCAATTTACTTCACCCCAAATATACGTCAACAAAATATTCATAACAATATGAATCGTTCAGATAAAATAGAGTTCGAACAATTTCGCCAATTCAAGTTTACATGGAAAATAATTTTTCAATGTATGGTTAGTACAGGAATCTCATCAAAAAAGGGTTGAAACGTAAAACAAAAATACAACAATACTCACATGAGGCCGTATCCAACAAGAGCGCTGCAGACGACAACAAAATCCAGAATGTTCCATAAACTATGAAAATAAGACCCAGAATGGAGAACAAGGCCCAAATCGATCATCTGTAAAAATGGAAAGAATTTTAATTAATAAAATCCAGTCTTCTCTTTCACCAAACTGTTTTCCAGACAATGTTGAAGTGCTCGTAAACACCTGTGTTTATCTACCCCTATTGGCATATCCACGGCACAAGTGCTTTCTACATCTCGGAACAGTGTTCGCTTGCGGCATCTCTATCAATGATACAATGTTATTAATCTGGTGATGTTGCTTTGAGCATTCATAAAAATCATATCAGTAATCCTATGCCAAAGCCAGGTCTCTGAGCCGCTATTATAATTAAATACTAATTTGTTCATGAGTGTAATGCAATCGGCATTTGGTATCGTCCACTCGTACTTACCTTTATAACCATTTCAAACGTGAATACAGCGGTAAAAATAATATCAAAATAATTTAAGATGTCGTTTCTGTAAGATTCCTTGTTGACCGGATCTTCTGCAGCCAAAGTGATACTGCTCAATACGATAATAACTAATATTGTCGTCTCGAAATATTTCATGTTGACGATGTAGTGACAAGCGACTCGGATCCTGTAAAATGGGAGAAAGATTTCGATATGTCACATTATGATGTCACAAATACAATAAATTGATAAAAGAGAGAAAGAGAGACAATGGTAATTTCCACGAGAACGATTTGTTTTCGCAATTATGACCAACAGTAAAAAGTGAACCATGATTTATAACAACTACAATTTGAGCAGTCACTCAGATATCATTTAGGATTAGGAATGAGGTTTAAGGTTATGAACATGTGAATCAGTTTGTAAGTGCCAAATCGCGAGAACATTTTCATAATACGCATATAAAAATTGAGGAATTTGTTTGAGAAAAAGATTGTAGAAACATCCATCTGGCGATGGCTTATGCCGCGCATTGTTTAACATATTTCAAATAATATCAACTTACGGATTGGTGGAACTAAATATAAACATTGAGCTTGATGGTAATATTTCTTTCGGTCCGTCTTCACTGCTGTCGTCCGACGCTTCCTCGTCGGACTCCTCTTCGTCATGTCTAACGTTACTTTGAAGCTGAGCTATTGTGTTTGCGTTAATTTGAGACATTGCGACCCCGTGTATTCCCGCCATGGCAGCTGGACTTGGCGACTCGCAACCTCTCATTGATAAATTAGGTGAATTACGACGCGAAACCGGTTTCAGAAGTCCTTTCTCGGGATCAGTATTGTCCAATTTTGTCCGATGTGGACTCTCCCTTTTATTAGAATTGCTGTTCGTTTTCTCGGGCGAAGTCATGCAGTTGTTTACGTGGTTGGCTATAGGAGATTTGCTGTCAAATATCGAATTTTATTAATAATTTTTTTGATTATTATAATAATCATTATTCAAGTCAAGTTTCTTTTCCCCAATAGAAATAGTAGATCAACTCATTGCTAGGCGATGAATATTGTAGTAATACCTAGTAATAAAACATATCAGTATTATGTCGTTGTTAAAAAGTAAGCTTAGGTAAGTTTGGTGTTTCTTAAATTATGATTTACTGCAAAATGATTGAATAATATATGTGATTTTCAGTAATATAAGTTTACCTGTTATCTCTACTCATTGCTTTCTGTGGTGAATTCTTTCCAGATGTCTAAATCAGGGAATATTCAATTAAAATGTTTTATTCGTGGCCTTTGAAACGCCATTGTGGCTATAATCAAGATCGGTATCGATTTCGAACCAGAGTATATCCAAGCATTCGGCGTTTAAACATCAGACTTAACATGTCGCATATCTTATGAATTTATACAGCTGATTCGTTCACATCTACAATATTTTGATAGTACTTAATTTGCTTTGAGCTTTTTCGCGGTATTTGTTATTCCCATATTGGCATATTCAATAGTATAAACATTCTGGGTGGCATATAATACGATATACAAAAATAGTCCTAAAAGAGACTAACCGGCTCATCCGGATTACGAGCTGGAGACGAGTTATGAGAAACGTCAAAATATTTTCCACATTTTCCTCCTCGTTGCCCAGGAACATATACGTCATCATCGCTGTCGTCCATTAGGGATCCGTCATCGGAAATTCGCAAATGTTTTCTCATTTCCCGGCGACGATTTTCCCACATTGAAGGCTGTGGTGCTGTTGTGAGGTTTCTGGTTATAAAATGACAAGTTTTATATTATTAAGCTAATATTAGAAAGATGATAAAACATAAGTTTTAATAAAGAGTGAATGCCATTTTATGTAACTTATTACAGGATATTTTCTCCTATTATTTCAGAATGTGCGAAGCATTTTATTATTAGGTCATATTTATCAAAGAGTCAAACCAGCAAGATTTTTGCTACTGGGTCTAGATTGGATTTAAATTGAACCTACCCCAAGGATTCAAATATAAACACTCCAGAATCGGGGCAGGTTTATACCCGAAAAAGTTACTCGAGTCCTAATTATCACAAAAATAAAATTAGTCTATCGTATGATGAATTCGTTACCGTTGCAATAAATTATCCATCGATCCAGGACTGACTGATTCCATTTCATGAGCAACTCGAAGAGCTTTTTGAGCTTCTTTTGTACCTTTCTCTTGCTCTTCGTCTTTGGTTAATTCTTGTGCTGTAGCTAGATTGTCTACCGCGATAGCCAAGAATACGTTCAAAAGCGTGTCTTTCCGATGCAGATTTTGGGTTAAGGTGTCAACGTTTAACTTTAGTTATATCTTTTACTTTTTATTGGTAAATAAGTAACATTTTGGTTATAAATCTCAATGTTTTATATTATACCTTCAGGCCTTACATATATGGAAGTTACAACGCAAATGCTATGTACTTAATACCTTGCTAAACATTGCATCGAAACGACTTATTAAACATACAGTGAAAAGATTTAGCGTATGAGAGAGAGGGTAAAAATGTATACACAATTGCTGACTATGGATGTCATCAACTCTATATCAAATGTAGCAAAAGGAAGTAGTGTCAAAAAGAGACATATTATCATCTGTAAAATAGGATAATTGGTCCTGTATCTATATATACTTTTTGTGAAAGGATACAATTACCAAAAAGCACCAGGAAAATAAAATAAAGCGAGCACAGTAATCCATTTCCAGCTACACCACCCAAGGCACGAACACCGTTGTACATAACTACATTCCAGTCTTCACCGGTGAGTATCTGAGATTTAAAATATATTTGATTTGGTGAAGAATTTTGTATCAGTATACAATAAAATGAGAAAAATGGCAACTAGTTGTTGTATCGCGGAACAGATACTTTATATAATATTAATTGCAAGTTTTTTTTTTATTCATAAACGATTCCCTATTCTGTCTCAACTACCAAAAGTATATAATTTGACTTTAGACAGACTTGAGCTGACTGAAATACATCGTCTTTAATTTTTTTGTCTTCAAGTACTTTTATAGCAAAAATCAGGTACATTCGCCAGTAACCGTGAATACATGTTAGATAAGGTGTGTAAGGAATTGATAATTTGAATCCGCGATAGATAATTGTATATAAGGTTCTTTTTGTAAAGAGTCAGGTCGATAGAGTATATGATGAAAAATAAATTATTTCTATTCTCAGACTTACTTGAAACACAGTTAAAATTGCACTCGGAAATGAATCAAAATTTGAATTCGGATTTCCTTCAGGAAAGCTGAATCTGAAATAAAAAAGTAGTTTTCGATTAACATACTTTTAATCATATTCTTTATTTTTAGTAATTATCTACAAATAGCAATAGAAATCTCATCCAAATCAAGGATAGATAAGATATTAAGAAATATATGCAAGTAACCCTCGTCCTCTGAGGTGTTTGTTAAGAACAATAAGAATCGGCCACCCTTAAACTGTTTCACGACAACCAGTTGACGATTCCACACAGCAGTTGTTTTAACATGAAATACATTATCTCATTGAAAACCACTATGAAACTTGTTTTAATGTAAATGACCTGCTTTCTATTTATTCACAAACTTATATGGGGTTATAAAAATATAAGTTTCTTAGAAAATGGACGTAAAATAATTTCCTATAATGGTATTTTAATAGCGTACGCGTGTGTACCTATAACGCCAAGAAAAGAAAACCTTATCTGATATGTAATACGGTAGAAAAATAAACCACTGGTATTAGTATGGGCATTCACAATCTTAAAGAGCATAAACCACACAAGCATTGCCGATAAAACGCCTGAAGCTCATATGTTGTATTTCACGTTACGTAAGCACGTACAAAAAATCGCTAAGTCTAAGACAGATCACCCTTTTTGCCTTAAATTTAAAAAGAGCTACTCAAATTAATTAAATTCTGATTTGAATTAACATAGGAGGTTTCAGTTTGGTTTGAAAATCACTAATAAACTTACTTGCCACCGAAGACTTGCATTCCGAGCAGTGCAAAGACGACGAGAAACAAAAATAATAAAAATATAAGAGACATAATCGATCGTAATGAACTCATCAGCGACACCACGAGGTTGCGGAGACCAGACCAAGCCCTGTGAATACAAAACAATAAAGTTTCCGGCGTACTGTTAATTAGAAAAACAAATAACCCTGAAGATTAAGATCTTACCTTGTGAATTTGAATACGCGAAGAAGTCTCAGCGCTCTCAGTACACTGAGTCCAAACGACATTGAAGGCCTTATCATTGACCAAATGATTTCGAATATTGAAGCTAAGATGACCTGCAAGGTAATTCAATAAGTATCACATCACTGGTGACGTCATAATTTCGTGTGACGTCATGAACGTTTAAGAATCTTACCGCAAAATCGAAAATATTGAAAGATGAGCGGAAGTATGTACGGACTCCCAAACCATACATTTTTAAAAGGATTTCAGTGGAAAAGAGTCCCAAGAATACAAATTCGGAATAATCTGAAAAAAAAAAACTTTAATATAACAAGGCTAACAATTTGCAATATATATACATTTCCATGTGCATATACATTACAAGTCATTTTACATACCTATTCGAATAGAATTAATTTTAAAATATTTCAATATGAAATTACAATATTTTCGCAAGCACCAAATAGCGGTCTACATGACACTCAATTTTAAACTACATTAAGTGTTTCATTCACGGTCACTCAAGTATGTGACCTTTATGGCACCATTTTCTTTGATAACATTTAAGGCTTTCGCACGTAAGAATTAGCATATTTGTAGCCTATGTAAAATGGCAAAGTATAAAATAATAGATGAGAGAAAATCCAATATCGGTCAACTTACATAAAAAATTTGTCCACCATTCAGGTTGCTGGTAGTGGACGCTGGCTGTGAAACCAGTATTTAAAAGCACTAATGTTAGCACCACCCAATAAAATATTGGACTTTTCACCAGATGACGAACTTTTATCCTGAAATGAAAGCGTGTAAGTATATATAATGTAATACGTTCATAAAGTAAAGAAGTCGGGTCGGGCATTCCGGATCAATACTGGAGTAGAGACCGGAGACGAAATCGAGAATGGAATCAGCCAACAAATAGTTTTTCTAATTCATTATCGTTGGAGCCTAGAGTGGGGTAACTCGACTTTTTCGAGTATTAGATTCGGACCGCATTTTTGATCATTGGCCTCATTAACTTTGGATATGAAGATTTATCTTTATTAAATAACTTTCATTTATAGTTTTAGAGAATATTATTATTTTTACTTTAAAAAACCAAAAAAAGAAGGATGGCGCCATAATGAACAATGCGAATAGCGTTGTGTTGACAAGCGGAACAACAGCGCACGTTTTTATTTTGCGGTTTATCAGTTTTCCAAAAATCGTTTTCTGATAACTCTCCCACGCTTTCTAATATTTATTCAGTCGCACTGTGAAATATATTTTCGGGAAAGACCAGACCCCAGTAATTTTGAATCTTTGTATACGAACCTTTGGTAAAAAAAATAGTTGAGTAACCATGGTCTATCTTTAACACAAAATACCACAATGCTATTACTGTATATAAATTACCATAATCTCCGTTCTTTCCGAGTTAGCCATCTTATAAGTGCGTTTGAAGGTTTTGAGTTGGGTATGGATCGTGTGAATCGATTCTTTTTCCCTTGAATGAAAAAGTATATTTGAATACAAGCTTGTTTTCATAAATGTACGAGATAATAGTTTAAAAAGCGAACTTGGCAGTATAATTGGTGACTCACCCACAGTGCTTGATATATCGGAATAAGAGGTTTCATCTGAATCTAAAAGGTCAGTGTGACTGCGATTGTGTGCAACTCTCCGACGATGGGCTGGAATGGAAATATAGTAATGCGTCAAAATTAAGTTAGGAAAATGCAAGGAATGTATCATGGAAGCGAATGGTATGGTAACATAGATGAGTACGGTGCAGTTAGCAATAGTTATGTAAGTGGTCTACTGTCTTTTTACACTAAAATAGTTACCATAGGGGCAAATGTAAGAACAACAAAATTACCTTCTAATGCAGATCTTTCAAGACAACGTTCTTCTTCTTCCAATATAACTTCCTCTAAAATATATAATTTATTAATGTGTACAATGTAACAGCAATGCAACAATCTTGTAGAAATGAGTTTTTTGTCATATTTAAACTCAAATTTTACCTGCTTTTTGCATCCATTCGAGATATCCTGTCAACTCTCTATCTAGTTGTTGCCTTTTTCTCAACTTCAGAAATGCTCTTCGGTTCTCGACTCTTTCTCGTTCTTTCGCGAATTCGCTTGAAATGATCAAAAAAAAGTTATCTTGATTACCACAACCATTTTAATTGCGAGACTATAAAAGTCTAAGAGCTCAGGAATTATGTGCACCAAGATGGCGCACAACCTGAACATAGTATGTGTACCCGGTTAGGGTTCAGGTTGGGCTCCATCTTGGTGCACATACTTCGGGAGCACCAAATTCTACACATCTAGGTTCGCATCAAATATGTAAAATATTTTATAAAAAAAAAACATTCAGTATTGAATTTAAAGCAATTTCCATTCCAGAATAAATCTGCTATGTTAGATTGCAGATAAATTTCCGTACAAATTTTAAATAGTTAGTTTCGGGAAGACACCAGTAGCCAAAGCGGTAACAAATCTGATTTGACCTGGCTTAGCAATTTCTTTAAGCACCGATAAAGGTAGTCAGCTTCTATATATTGAAATCATATTACACAAAATCACAAACAACTAGGACACTTAAGCCATGCTATAGATATAAAGTTCCAAAATAGTAAGAACAAACATGCAGTGCTCATTAGTAACGCGAATAGACCTAAATGATATTAGACTCACAGTGCAAAAAATATTTACTCATAAGAAAAATAATCGTAGGCATGGCAACAGACAATTTGCAAAATAGCGCTTGATTGTGAAAATCGATATGAGGGTGAAACAATTTTGTTAAATTTGGGATTTTGATTTTAAAATGTTAATAATTTCATCTTTCCCATTTTACTTACCCGCTCAGAATACCAAGAACAAGATTTAACATGAAGAACGAGCCGAAAATCACCGTCAGACAGAAGTAAATATAATCCAGAATTTGGTCAAATGCGGAGATATGACCGTCGACGGCCTGTAAGCAGACATTTGGGATAGGATTGAATTCTCATATGAAAAACTGCATTTAGCAAGCTAGCTAGCTTATACGTTTATCATACAGATGAATTTTTCACTGGCTTTTTGAATTGAAAAATCAATTAGAATTTGTATCTCTTGAATAAGGTTAGGACGAAAATTACAATCGATGGATGCTATGGTGCCAGTTTCAACAATAACAATCCGTAGCTTGCAAATTCATCTCAAAATTATCAATTTCTAACGTGAAGGGCTGTACTATAGGCCTACTTCAGGCCAGGTAGATACTCGGGAGAGCAGTAAGAGAAAAGTGAGACTAAATCTAGATGTAAATAGGCAGATGAGGCTTGGTTTTATATCATTAATCAATCCTACCATACCTCCTTTCTTATTGTGGTTTTTTACGCTGAGTGAAATGAATAGAAAATATACAAAATCTAACACTAAGTATTGTTGTATACGACCTGTTTGTATTTACGACCTGTAATTACTAAGTGAATCATTGTATTGCTCTGTGGTAATTAAGGTGTTTACTCAAGATTCTTCGGAATCATTTTAAAAGGTCTGTCATCTTATTTAGCTCTGTGCTTAACTTTCAAACAAGTGTATAAATGTTTATTTGAAGCTATATTTTGTATATTAGTCAACGCAAACTGTGCAAATAAGCACCAAATATATCAATTCCAAAGTAAACTTTATACCCGCCTTGTAACATAACTTACCAATGCTATGATATTGTATATTTTCCTCCATTATCCTGGCATTACTTCACCTCTAAAAGTCAGGTTAGGCCAAATGCGGCTCATAAGGAAAAATTGTGCTGTCCGCGGAAAAGTGCCAATTTTAATGGTGTGCGGACGGCGAAACGAGTTTTTAATCTAGTTTAATGTGGTACATGCGAGTAATTCCAATTTCTTCGCGTTCTGTACCTTAGTCCAAATTATTATCTATGCCTATGATGTTACAATGCCCTAACAGCTAGCATGTCATAAGATCAATACCCAAAATTGTTGCGCTAGAGGTGCGGCTCGCGGTTTTGCCCAGTTGTTTGGATCTGACCTTCATGTATTAAAGGTTGAACACACATGTTTTAGAAATTTAGATAATTGTTGGTAAGATAAATATAGAAATATGATGGGATGTGTGTGTATTGCTTAAAACTAAAGTAATTTCTGCTACGTTTTTACAAGGTATTGCACTAAACTGACTTATGAAACTAGACTGTCGAAATTATTTTGCTGTATTTACGTGAAATAGTGTTAGGTTTTGTATTGAGCGACAGGGGACCTAAACACTCTAATCAGGTGAATTTGACGACAGGTCGGTCAAGCACTTTACTCAAAACACATTAACGCTGGTATTAGACACGCCAATATGGAACGTTATTACTATTTAGCTACGGAAAGAAAGACCAAAAACGGTCCACGGGGATCCCTGAGAGGTACCGCGGCGCGATTCCGAGACCATTTGTGACAAGAATCGTGAGTCAAATTTAAATAATTTATGTCTTAATTTCATGCGCTCGCTCGAGGGAAAAATAGGCCCTGGATATTGATGTTAAATTTTTACCCCGTGGCTTATCTACCATGACAATATTTTACATTTGTTCCAAATTGAACAGTGAGTGTTAAAATGTAAAAATAATTAACAAAGTTACTAGTATTTTGACGTATATCACGATTTAATTTGAAATAGCTTTACTTTTGAATGATTATTATATGTTGCAGTGAAAACGTCGATATGTAGGCTAATGACAAGGCAAGCACCATAGAAGTTTTACTGATTACGGCAGCACATCTGATACACTTCACATTAACGCCTACGCTAGGTGGTAACGAACACAAGGTGTGTTCGGTTGCAATCACGTGTGGTATCATCTGAAGCACGGCAATTCACAATGACAGCCAAATTTGCCATTACTTCAGTAAAGGATCACACTAAGCAAGCCATGCAAACACATAATAAAACACAATACTAAAGCAGTTAGTAGTGAACACAATCACGGGGACAATCACGACAAAAACCACACCTTGTGACGTCATAAGTCTATGGCGCCACCTTTCTTACCCACTGAGAACCCCAAGAACAAGATTGAGCATAAAGAATGAGCCGATGATGACGAGCATAATAAAAAATGCCCAGTTCAATTGGTGACCTCCTGCGTCGTCAGCCTGATTACGTGATAAGTATTATTACAAAACAATCGAAAATAACATTGGGTATTTTCATCACCATAGAGCACAGACTATATTGTATAAATTTCTGTAAAGGAAGCGACTCAAAAGAGAGTGTAATACTATGAATAAATACAATGAATGTAAAGTATTTCTCAAAAGTTTGAAAAATACAACACTATTTTTCATAGAATGATTACGTGCTGTGATTAAATAGGGCATGGGAGACACCATGCCTGTATTTTTCCTCCAAAAGTTAAATTAACAAATCTTTGATAAAAGGTATTTTATTAAACATATATAAACAAAGATAACCATCTTTCTGTGTGTATGAACTCTTCATTGTTACACAAAGTACAATTTAAAAAAACACACTTACGAAATAGAGAATATCTGTCCAACCTTCCATCGTAATACATTGAAACACGGTCATCATCGAAAATACGATATTATCAAAAGTTGTAATACCATAGTATGGACCCATGTCCCACTCAGCACAATAAGTGCCGTTTGGGCAGCGATAGGGTAACGAGTCTTCCTCGCCAGAATCAATGGTAGCGTTACCATAACATATCTGGTTTTGTCGCAATATTTCACCTATAAAAATAAAGTTGTTCTATTACTGAATAACATGACATTTATACGTCGTAGGGATAGAGTGTTACATTTGCCAACGCAAGGCTGGTAAAAGCGTTGACGCCAGATTCTATACGACTGTGCGGAAATTGCTAATAGGTGGAATAAGCCCTTCCAAAATCAAATCATAACATTATTTGTATAAAGTGTAAACACAAAAATATCATATACTTAATGAAAATGATCCCTTGTAGATGACTGTCTTGTAGATGACTCGGGTTTAGAGTTTGTATTAAAAACAATTGTATTGTAAGCTCAAAATCTTTTTGAACTTATATTCTAACATTGTCAAAAAATTACTCTATTTAATTGGGCGATTTCAACTTCCAATAGAGCTTGAACTTTCAGGTTATGGCGGAGTTCAAGACCAATGAGCGAGTTTGTTGACATAACCCATAGGCGGACATGCTAACCCATCAACGACCAAAATACGACGGGTATTCTTACCAAGTCATTGATGGTTAAGAAGGTTTGTGAGTATAGTATACATATTTCAAATCAAGTATGACATTTGTCTAGCTATCTATCTATGGTTGTTCTGTCGACATATTTCCATTTGCTTAAACGATTTCGTCAAAAGCCCTAAAATTCCGAGTTATGAATTTTTAATGATTTTTTGTGACCCCTAAAAACTACACATTATGCTCTTATTGATGACTATATAAGTGTTCTCTTACGCAAGAAGACACTATGAAAAAAAGAGTGCGTCTAACAAGCATTTACGGTTATTGAGCAATTCCAGCAAGTTATATGTACTGAAAATAAGAGAAATATTTCATCCAATATAAACGATATGCTGATTATTTTCAATCAAAAATACCTTCAATTTTGGCTAGATCAACAAGTTATGAACTACTTGGAAGTTCAAGTAAACGTGCTGAAGTTTTTTATCATTAAGGACAGAACTTTTTCAATGTTTAAAAACTGACCCATCACGAAGACAAGAATGCCACCGCCTCATGTATTCTCACAAATATAGGTTTATTGGCTGCAGTTAAGAAATAAACATTAGGATTTTGGACAATCCAAACGAGCCAAATTATGTCCAACAAACGTAATTTTGATGTTTACTTGATCCCGTCACGAATATTTGATGTTTGTCTTGCAGAAATATTCAAAATTTTCATAAAATAACGAAATTCGTGATTATGGTATTGATAGAATGGAAAAGTGCAGTGTGTTTTGGCAAATTTAACGGTTACTGGTCAAAGACCGCTTACGATCGATTATTATAAAAAAAAAACGTATTTTGAATTAAGTATTTTGGAAAGACCAGTCTTCTCAAGCCCATGAGTGTTCAAACGTGAAATTAGCTCGCGTAAATCATGCTCCGGATGATAATGGAATGACAGTTTATCTTACAAATCTTTCTAACAGTGTAAATTATTTAAATGGTCAAAGCGCCAAGAAGGAATATGAGAACGGGGGTTATCAAGGCGATTCATGACGCAAGCATATTTATGAGAAAAGACTCAATCAATGACCTGTACATGAATACGACATGCAATAGACGGTGCTTTTTCCGATAATCAGACCGATATGACGTCATAATAAAACGAGGCATAAATTAGTTTTCATGTTGCCAAAATTAGGGATGGAGACTAGAGATTTGAACGTCGCATATAATATCGCATTTATTCAACAACATAGGAATCGGGTTCAATATCGATTAGCATGGTAACTAATGGAAAGCTAGGGCGTTTGGGTTCAACGACAATTGGCCCTGGTACAGAAAATGTAATAAATAAATCAGACATTGACTAGACAAAAAATCTCGGTATCCAACAATGAGAAATATCTTTAATTTGTCACTCGTGTACATGAACTTACCGCTTAAAATTAAACTAAATATAATGCTCACCATTAGATTCAGTATAGCACGTTTTATGGAACTTTCCCATATAAAGTTCAAGACCAATAATGGAACAAACAACGATGAAGAAAAGTAAAAGTACAGCGATTTGTAGAAGCGGAACCATCGCCTTCATGATTGATTTGAGAACGACTTGAAGACCTGATTTTACATAAAAGAAATAATTAGAATAGTATTGTTGCCATAATCTGGTTATTAGATCAAAATTATTCAGGTATAAAGTTTGAATTCCGACGATCATTTGTAAAATTTATTCTCGGAAAATGTTATTTGTGTTGTCGAAATCTTGATAACTTGAAACACTGTTTCATTACAGCAGTGGAGTATGGTTTGGAATTAGCTTTCGGTTCTCACAGGGTGACTTAATAAAACAGAACCCAAGCCATTCCAAACATATCCTTAAAGAAACACAACTTTTGAGCACAGTGTCCTAGATCAGGGCTACTCGACTGGCGGACCGCGGTCCGGCCGGACCTTTCGAGTATTGGATTTGGACCGAACCTAATTATTTATTTTGGATCATTAGCCCCACTTTTTGAATTTCCTATTATAAAATGACTTTCATAGTTTTGAATATATACGAAAAGAACTATAACATCATAACAAACCATTTTAATTTGCTACTAATCATTAGTCGGCCGAGGAAGTGCTCGTTTGAGGATGCCGAAATATAATTTCTGGAAAGACCGGACCCAAATAATTTTGAAATTTTGTTTGCGGACTTACGGTAAAAATAGTTGAGTAGCCCTGTCCTAGATTACTGAAATAATCATGCACAAACAAAAGTTCCAGTATTCAAGTGTGATATGAATTATTTTCATTTTCGTAGGAATAATTTAAAAAAATTATAGGTTCTATTTTTTTTTTGTGAGGGAGGATACCCCGTATATTATATGTCCACTATTCGGATAGTATGATGGAATGGGATAGGATTTATCCCGGGGGAAAGGAAATCTTACAAATTTACTTTTATGTTGTAACACATAATATAAAAATTAGGCTCCAGCTACAAATGAATCATTCTTCATTATTGAAACAGCAAATACAGTCTAATTTCAGTGAAAAACAGTGAAACTAATTCAGTGAAATAGGATACAATTATTTATGAGCTTTGCCTAAAAAACTCGGTTAGCACAACATGATCTGAAATAACATCTGTGTACTAAATATGTGAAAATACTCATTAAATTTGCTATCCAAACCAAACCAGACAATCATGCAGAAATATGAAACCCAAAAGCAATACGTGTTAAAATGCTAATGAATAAATTTTTAATATAGTGATAAGTAATATCCACACACTAAAGAGAAGTAAATAACTCACTTGGTATACCGGATACTAGTTTCAACGGCCTCAGGACTCTGGCTGCCCTAAGTGTTTGAAAACCGGATCCGGTTGAAGAACCAACAACCTCAAAATAGGTAATGCATCTAAGAGGAATTGAAGAAAGTGTGATAAGAGTGAAAGATGTGCAATATCTATAAAGCTATAGTGGATTGTTCAATTTAATTTATGATCTTTAGACGGCTTTCGAAAAAGTCTACAAGAGTGAAGTCATCAGCGGGTAGTATTCTTATTCCGTTATCGATATTGACAAGCGATCTATGAGAGGCACGTTTATAAACTTCAGGAAACGTGTTTTTATTTTGTGTTCAAAGTCAGAACAATCATAATTGCAAGCCGGTCCTTCTGAGATCAAGTTCAGGATATGCTTGAAACAGCCTGCCTGATCAGTTCACAGCTTTAGTTACTGAATTGATAAATGAAGCATTACAATATATTTCGGTCTCGGTACAATATCAGAGCTTTTTGGGCAGGGTGGGTTGGAGTTTTTTTCATGCCACGGGTCGACTCGGTGCCCAAGAAGTGAACCCGCTTCATAAAGTCGGCAATCCGTGTGCTGTTATTTAACTCAAGTCCAAGGTTATGGAATTGTGTATACCAGCAATTAAATATTTAGGAGACACATTGCGATCTAACAAAGAGAAACGGAAGAAAATTGTATTTTTAATATATTAAATATTATCAGAAATTGTGTCCTATTCAAGTATAATCAAGCAAGGCATGAACCATCAATATCAAATTCCTGATTCTAGTTACATGCACATTGTATTCCACCAATGCAGCTGAAGTGTCACAAGGGTTAACATAGGGATTTCTGGAACAAGCCAACTCTTCCATTAGAAAGCCGCAACATGGACAACGAATTTCTACCTTCCCTTGAAATTAAATTAACTGTCGATCGGCAAACTCGGCGTGATGGGACGTAACGTAACGACGTACTCACGCAAGATAATATATATACAGGGGAAACTCGTTTCACGTATAACGTGTAGTAAACTTACAATGCAGGTAACGCTAAAATATTTTTTATGTATTTTACGTAAATGACGTTTTGACGATACGCACGCACGCACACGTCGTTCACCAAAGGGGCGTCTTTAATCGACGTGAAATCAGAGGACATCAGCGCTAGGGAAAAAACAGATCGATAGGATGGTACACTGTATTGAATTTATATAACCCATTCGTGCAATGACGTCACCAAAATAATATACGAGACGTGTATTGATAAGGAAAGGTGTCTGTCATTCGGTCAAATATAAATTTATTATATTTTTTAAGTATGACCTCAATGTAGAGGTTACAAAACATATGAGATTGTACACAAAGTGGTTATTACTATCCGGATGTATTCGATAAATAAACGATTTTAATTAGAAACTACCGATAAGCAGTGATATTTAGTTTAAAATTTCGAAGCGCAATCATACTTTCTCTAAAATGTAACAAAATTCAATTGAACTTATATTGAAGTCGCTATTTTTTCTTATTGATGGAAAAATTAACTGTTTTGAAACTATTCATCTATAACACCCATATCCAGAATGGGTAGCGAGGCGAGGTAACGTTTGAATTTTAGTATTGGATTCGCGATAAAATTATTAGGATGTTAATGCTAAAATTCAAAATTAGCACGCTATACAACCAATAACGCATTAATCAAAGAATGTTTGATTTAAATCATGTTTTATCATTAAAATTTGTCTTTGGTATACGATGAAGCGCATTTTCTCAAGCCCAAAGCTCAGTGGAACAATAATGAAAAATATTGCAATATGTGGTATCTTTGCCGAGTAGCGTAGAAATGGCATTTTCTTAATTTATGTTCTAAGTAGCAAAAGTGCAAAAGTCCTGATTATTAGAGAAGTATCCAGATGCATTCAGATACTGATTTTCAATTAATATTCTTCGCAAAAAATACTCATATCGGGCTTATATTCATTACATATTAATGTTGCGCAAGAAATAATCTTGAAACTAGTTCTGCTGACCCTTTCTTGCTAAATAATTGATGGAAAACGGTCCTTTCCGTTACGTTTGTCAATATTGAAACCTTAAAACAAATCGCCTTTATTTATCCTAAGGCCCGTATGCTCAGTCTGGATGAAACGGACAAAAAGTACAAGGCTATAATGACAATTCTATCAACAGTGGTATGATGTTTGTATTATTACTACTGGAGTTTAACTTGAAATATATAGAAGTAAAGGATATCTATCTCTGAGCAAGTTACAAGAATTAACTTCAAAATTTGATGACCTATAAAAGCCTTATTCAGCACACATGGCCTGATTTGGTAGTCGTCTGTTTGCTCTGATAAACCTTTCGTGTGACTAACTAATTACGGAAGATATGGCAATCAAAACGCTAGCCATGTCGGGTCTGTGTGCTATCCAATTATAAAATTATTCGACCCAATACAACTAAACTGTGGGGGAGAAATACAGGGATTTCTTTTTTTAGTGTCCTGGTAGGATAAGTGATGGAAAAAATCGAAATTTAATGTATAATAGTTTGGAATGGACAAATGAGTCAAACTGTATATATGGTAAACTGTATATATGGTAAAAGCTACCAAGTCGAACAATTGACCATACAACAAAATAAGAGGACATAACTTGCTTTTTTTAAATATAATTTTGGGTTGGATTACCTTTGCTTGAAGCCCGAGTTATCCAACATTATAAGACAACGCTAAAGTAAAAAGCGTCGGTTTCATAACATATATAACTGCTCTTGTAACATTTCTGTTCAATTTGAGCATTTTTAATTCAGAATGACAAATACTAATTTAATATCACGGATAAGTTTCGGTTGCTTTTACTTTTTTTCAATCATAATTAAACCCGACTAAGGATATCGACCGTCTTTCCATAGTAAATGTCAACCAAGAAAAACTCAAACACAGAAATTGAATATTATGAAACAATAATCGAAAAAATAGTCCAAATACTAATAATCTAATATTTATTCCATTGTAGTGGCTATTTTTTTGTACATATTTAGATTGTGAAACTGAACTTAAATCGTTCGAGCCACAAGGAGGTAGCACCTTAAAGCCTTCCTTAATTAGGGGTAGCAAGATGTACAATGTAAATCATAGTCTTTCGTTCATGAACCACTGGACACGTTCGGTATCTACTAGATGAGGTAAAAAAAATATTGACTTGAGAATGTGTGATTCTATATTCTACTTGTGCTTTCTACGTGCAAAACCTACAAAAATTTACAATTTTTTGTAAAATCGGCGGCGCAGGCATGAAAGTATGGATTGATATCATATACTAGTGCAATAAGTGCTTTTTTCGTAAAGAAAAAGGTCTAAATGTGCGAGTGTATGATTTACTCTAGAATCACGTCTTGTGGTTGTGTAGAGTGCACTTACTGGGCACGCCTGAAACCAATTTAATAGGTCTTAGAACTTTTGCTGCTCTTAAAATTTGAAGCGTGGATGCTCCTTCTTGCTTTCCCTCTTGTAAAAGCGATATTAGACTGTACAGTTGCAAAATGATATAAAAACAGTTAAAAGCAAAGGTGTATATATGGGTCAATCGTTATGACCTTTTTCGTAGAGATGTTATTTTGCTTATTTATTCTATATTAGACAGGAATTGATTTTTAGGGTAGAACACAAGATGTATATATATCTAGTCAAAAATACGAACGATCGAATGCGAGGTCACGTGGAAGCCTTGGAAAAGCACAAAAATACAAGTACTTTTGAAGGCAGTTGGATAGCTTTCAACAAATGCCTCATAATCTATAAGGTGGTAACTCTTTAGTTAAATCGGCTTTTATTATGTAAGAAATAAAGGAAGGTATGCAATGATCTAACAAAATCTATCTAATTATTTTTTCTCAAATATCGATGACAAATGCGATCGGGTTCCGAGCCAGAAGACCACAAGATTTATGAGTGTGCATCGCCCATCAATTCTTAGTCATTGAAAATTGCAAAACACGTAAAAACGTTGCAAAATCATAAACAAATTTAACTGTTTTACATCAGGAATTATTCTAATGCGATGGCATATACTAACAGTTGACTAGACTATTATGATCACTGAACCATGCAGAGAAAAAAAAAGCATTGCAATATTGTCTTATCTAAATCGGGAACAATCCCAATTATATCAAAATTGTAGTCATTTTCTTTCTACTTTATGGTAGACATAAATATTTTAGCGACTACGGTCTGAGAAATCGTTAATTGGTGATCTTAATGTTTTCCCGTAGGAATGGACAGCCACATAATACGAGCCGTCAGCCTATCGAGTTTCCTAAACACATTAGTGAACCTCAAACAAAATGAATTTAGCATTTTCGTTGGATGTGTTGGTCTAATAGAGATAGCATCGCGGGTTACACATTACGGTCCACCCATTTCCGAATACTTCGATGTAAACGGCCCACAAATAGAAAATGTGTCATTTTTTTTTTTCAGATTGTCCCCAGATGAAGTTGCTAACTACCGTTATCTAGATACATTTTCTCTTTACCTAGGGTTTTATTTTGTGCAAACAATTTGGAAATAGTATAAATGAGAGTATCAATGTACATGAACGACAATAGGCGCGATTATTTAAACGTTATAATGCATGGAATCGTTTTTTTTCGCAACAACTATTAGTGTGAGGTCGATTTCATTTTGGTCAATTTGGTCCGGTAATAAAGACAATATTATAGTTTAGAATTAGATATTTAGATATCGGAGAAAACAAAATTTAGATATGGACAGAACAAAATGTATATTTTACACATATATTACATTGTTTGTCCGATGGGCGTGTGGGTGCCCCGTTTATTTCCAGAACAACGCCAAACAAATGTCAATGTCTGTCTGTCTGTCAAACGACAAATGTCATTAGTGTCGGAGGTATAAGAGAAATACAGAGTTCGACCAGTCCGTTCTAAAGCTAGCGGACGAACAGGGTAACTCACCCTTGCGTAGAAGCAAATGTAATAGAAAAATTCTTACCCCGTGACTACTACAGTGAAATCCATGATGTTCCATCCGTTACGTAGATAGGAACCTTTGTGCAAAACGAAGCCCAGCGCCAGTATCTTTAGCGCCGATTCAATAATAAATATTGCCAAAAAATAAGGCTCTGTAAATTCCTGTGTAAATAGATAAATGTAATGAGTTGTGACAAATAAGGACTTTTTATCCGTACGCTATATGGGAATTAATAACACAGCCCATTCAGGTCGCATGATAGTGTTCAATAGTTAAATAAAATAGGCTATAAATTAGCGTGTCCTATTTAGGCTGTCTCTTTATTCATCCATTCATTAAGTAAGTACAAAATCACATCTATACATTTCTTAGCTAACTAGAATCAAGTTTAAACCATTCAAAAAACATTAAAAGTTTACATAAGGATTCCAAAAGTACGGTATTGTAATTGAAACTGTATAAATCAATTGGAACCGATTTAGGTAATGATTATCAATTTCTATAAGCGATTGATTGTTTTGGTTTATAACAAACACTAAAGTTCAAATCGTGAAATCGTTATGAAAATGGACGATGGCCATATTGCGTCAAGCGTAATTAGTTTATCCAGAATTAATCTCATTAAATGGCCGTATTATATACTCTTTGCTTATCGAATTAAAATTTGAGAAATGCTGTTTTTTTTTATTAAATGTATAGCTTAATCCGCTATGAAACTCGTTTTTAACTAAAAAGTCTTCTCGGAAGCCATTCGTTTGGCCCAAATTTTTACCGATTGCAAGCTTCATATACCGGTATATGAGGGATATTTGGCGATAGCGTTGGGCACGAATAGTGACTCATAACCTTTAAAAACTAGAATTGAAATAAAGGTTTGAACCTGGAAACATCAATCTTTATGTAGTATACTTTGTTGTAATACAAGGATTGACATCTTGCTCGTATTGGCACGCACGTTTTTGACAAGTATTTTTCACTTCTGAGTAATTAATTAACTTATTAACTAAAAACTTACCAATTTTTGTGTTCTCGGAGTCTTGTCTCCTTTTGGTAAATGACCTTCTAATGCCAGTACTATGCAGTTTGCTACGATGGTTAATAGAATCATGTATTCGAAAGGAGTGTTGGATGAAATAGATTTGATTAAGGAAATTTTCGATATGCAATATTAATAAAGAAATTACAAATTATATATATGAAAACATACTTGAAAGCGTACACATTGAAGGCACTCAAGGACCGTCCGATACACCAATTTATTTTTGTATCGAGATATTTTTCGCTCTTAATAAATTCGCCGCCGAATGAAAAATATCAAATTTTGACTTTCAAGAAAGAGGAAAAAATACATAATTTAAGGTTTATAGATTAAACCCTCATACCATTACAACAGGTTTATTACTACCGGTGATGTTTCATGGTTATCATGAATAAACGGTTTTGCAACTTCGGCATTGCGCCATCTAATTAGGTCGCGTGTGCAGCATATTGCCACGTCGCTGTGTATTTAATTTTGGTGAATTGACACTGATCGGCCTTTATAAAAAACAAACAAACAAAATTGAAATTAAAACGTTGCTAATTGCGCTTTCAGTGTTCCAGTTATCAAATGGATCGGTGGGTATTGATTATTGGAAACTGCTGGCTAGCTGCAAAATTCAGAAACGCGAGCAAGCAGATGTGACTGTTAGCTCCATGCATAATTCATATTGAAAAATTGCCGAAACACCGTAACAGACAAACACAGCTCGGACCGAAAGAGGTCGCAGGTTTCAACAGAGAGATTAAATAAAATAGTAAACTATTGGCATGTGGGGTATTACATATTTTACACTTTTTAAAATTCTAATAACATACTTTTCATTGACTTTAGACTCAATAATCAGCTACTTGTTAAATCGCAATCAAATTCGATATAATTTTTAGATATTAAAAATATAAACTTAATAGGTTCAGTGACGTCAGTCTACGGAATCCGTGGAAACCGTTGCCATGTAGACCGTTTCTACGATAAAAATTTGTATCTTAATTTAATTTAGAACTGTTCCATTTCAGAATAGAAATAAAATGTCAGTTTATCGCGAACGAGAGCGATTCGATGTAAACAATGTCAGAAGTTCCGATCACCATTGTCGCACTGAACTGAACAACGAAGACCATGGAAGTATAGCACGATGGGCAAAAAATTTAACGTCTATGCATAAACGGTCCTCCGGGTATCAAAAATAGAATCGCCAACGCAAAGTAATCCGATTATCCACAGTTACGTGAAACGGAAATGGGTATATGTTTTAAAAATGAAAACAAGGTGGACAATGTAATTGAAGGTCTAACGGACATAAATGTAGAAAAGCATGTCAAGCTGACTTGACACCAGATCTGGTCTGGTGTGAATTATTGCCAGATGGGATGAATATTATGTGGAATTTTGGCAACAACAACAACAACAGGAGTTTGACGTGTCGAAAAGATGTTTTTGGGGCGTTTGATGCCACTCATAAAAGATCGCCAAGTTTTGCCAACATTTGTAAGGGGACTGTACAATATTTTTTCCAGCTTTTGAAAATTGTAGCATTGAGTCAAACCCCCTTATCCGATATAGTGGTTGGTCACTGACTGATTAAAAAATGAAAGTTGACCCCAAGGGCAATAATTTACCAGTTGTCGCCAATTAGAGAAGAGCCTTGCCTGTACAGCCGTGGGCATACTATAGCATAAACGTGTGCTTGTGAATCAAATAATCAATTCTGAAATCTGCTGTCAATATGATAATTTACTTGAGTTCATATTGATAAGATATGAAAAATTGCTTTAAAAAAGGATATGGCCACTCGATGATTCGTTTCGCTAGCTTCCGGACGAAGTTATCCTCGCTGAAAATAAATAATGATCTGTTTGCTGTGATGCAGCTCTGCTGTTTCGGTACTGGGTTATAATATGACATTGTTCGGGCTTGCTGTGCCAGTGTCATTTTGTATGGTCCGCCAGCACCTCTTCCTCCAGGCCCTTTGCCTCCGCCAGCTCCGGGGCCGCCACCGGGTCGTCTTTTGGAAGCATATTCTTCAGCGAAACGCGCCATTCTGTAACGAATAATAAAAGGTGGTAAAGAAATATTTCAATTTTCAAGTAAAGCCACAAAACCTTAATACCAATAAAAAGGTAGTCGTTTGACATGATTTTTTTAAAGATAGTTTAGCAATGCATATTAGAATTTCAATCTTATCTCCAACAAATTATTTTTCCTATTGCATATTAATACAGAAAACTTGAGAAAAATTGAAAAAAAAAATCCTCCTGTTGATCTTAAATTCGGATCTCTCTAAAGACTATATTATGAAGTTCGATGAGAAATATTATTCCTGCCATGAAATGATGTGTATCGATGAATAGAATCGGTAGTACGTCACTGATGAAATATGCCCGGGTCGAATATTGGGATAAATATTCATTTTGTGTCCTAATGGAATATTCTATGTACTTAAAAGAGTATGTAATGTTTTGTATACTCATAATACAGTGTGGGCAATAATAATGCCTATCTATTGGATGATATCAGATCAAAAAATTCGTTAATAATTTGATTTACATTGAAAATCATTTTTTTGAATGAATGCTATTTGGAAACAACTCTTTTCTGTTCGTAATGTGAATTACTGAAACCAACACCTTAACTAATCTTAATATTGAATACAGGATAGTTTCTAATTCTGAAATTATGGTTCATTCCCGTGAAAGTCAAACTAAAATTGAAAAAAAAATTCTCAATTTTTTTTCCGATCACATGTACTATGTGTCATTAGTATGCTCGCATAGAGTATTTCTATATTAAGTACGGCGGCATATTGATCCCTAATGAATAATGAACATTTTGTTATTGAAATAAAAAAAGATCCTGCCAAAAACGACTAAAGTTCAAACACGAAGTGCCTCAAACGATTTTTTGGGGAGGAAAACTATACATAACAATCAAGTTATGTGAAATGAAGACTAATCATTTTTAAAGACATGAGTTTTGAAATAGTTTACGTTGAATATTTTGTTGTTTCGTACGTAATATGATTGTCCATTCTAGAATGAATCAAATAACTATGATAACCAGAGCAGAAATATTCCGACGGCTTTTATTGTTTATTTAAAATGTGTAATGTAAGATGTTAAATAAGCATACAAAAAAAAGCTTGATACACCCCAACAAAGGTGCATATGCGAAGTTTCTGGGCTTTTATTGTTGTGAAACGCATGACTGCTTCTGAACATAAACAATAGCCGTTTCCAAGATGCTACTACACTACTAATTAATTAGCCACACATGATTCGGCGCGTTTGATTGGACATGCGTTTTCAAGAGACGCAATAATACTAATACTATCACTATTACTTGAGACGACAACCATCTTCGAATACATCTTTATATCAAATTACTATGTCTATGGAAAAATAAACATGAAAAAAATGAGCTTGCAGCGATATAAAATGAATATATATAAATAGTGTTTATTATATATCTAATCGTGTAATTGATTTATATTTGTCATCGAATTTTAATGAACTCTCTATAAAAACGGCAATCCAGTATCTAACCAATGTTCATACACGGCAAACAATGAAACAATACTAGTCATTACCACTTAATATAGCAATCCCATTTCAAATTAGACACAGGCGATACTGTAAGTAAAACTTTATAGTTTACTGATTAGGATGAAATGCTGAGGTTGAATTCTATCGAACTGCTAAGAAAAACAAAACTCATGATTGATGGATCGCCAAATGGTTATTGATATTTCGTACCTGTCTTCATACGTCAGAATCTGTATTAAGTCTATTCAAATCAGCAGAATAGTATAATTTATTCCTAACAAGGGGGGGCTACCATGTTTGCCACCTAATTTCTCTAGGGATTTTTCAATTATAATAATGATGAGTAGCTAACTGCATATATTGTTAATCTGTACTTAACGCATACGTTATACAGTCATTCATTGTATAAACGGTACCTATAATATGTTGGACCAAAACTGTCTAACCATTTGCATACTCCATGCGATCCTCCATTCCCAAACTTCATATTTTTCACACATTAGTTGCAACTTAACAGTTTGTATACGACACAGATATTCATCATTCCTAATTATCGTTTGTTTGTTTACAAATGAGAACGAAAACATTCCATTCGACTGTACATCAATTGGTCACAAGGAGGCGCAATTTTGGAATTGGCAGGAACGGGTCCCCTCTGCCCAACTAAGGTTATTAAGATTCGACATTCTCTGAAAGTTGTGAGATGGACGGAATATAAAAATTGAATTATGTGGAATGATTTGACTTCAGCAATATAGTGTGAACACTGTGTGAACTCAGATTGTGTATGAGGTTAGGGTTCAGGTTTCGCGACATCTTGGTGCGCATACTTCAGGAGTACCGCTTTTTGTATTGCATGGCATTGCATTGCATACTTGAAAACAAAAATTTGAATATCAATTTTTCAGTACATGATTGATACGTTGCCATGTTTTATTGTGCCAAGAGTAATCAAATATGAAACATAATAAATTACCTCGATCGAAAGTTGGTAATTAAGTAAATGAAATGAAACACAAGCGACTACTTCAGTTTTGATAAACAATAATATAAGTAAATCCAAACAGTTTAAAAAACCTTAAGCAGCTTTATTAGCCACACCGTTACCGGAAGGCTCTGAGGAATTCTTAAGTCAGGTATTACTGGTACTAAGCACATTATACGAGTTATTTTCGAAAGCGCAACGAATATTCAATCGGTAATTTCCAAGTAAACGATTGGAGCATATTGACAACTGTATACATATAAATGATGTCCAAAAAAAATTTGTGGGAAGAATCAAATACCAGAACAAGCGGCATTGTCATGAAAAAAATGAAACTTGTATTTTTATTATAATTCAGATTTATATCCCCTTATATTTGTCATACCATACTCTACTCGACAATCTTAATGATTTGTGATGTTTTGACAGCAAAATATTACATCAGTACCCTATATGCAGTTTAAAAGATTAGGGAATAATTTGAAAATCGTAATCCAATTCTAAAAATATTCGATTCGTAATTAAACAAAAGGATATACAATTCTTGCTGAACTTTAAGTTTCAATACAACATAAACAAATGAATAGGTAGTTTCACACAATAATACGTTAGGGCTCACAATCTCTGTCAAAATGTGAATTACTAATAAATAAAAGTAAATTTATGAATTTTGTATCAGTAGATACCTCCATTAAAGACTGTTTTCCATCATCTGAATTACTGTGAAATAACAATTAAACATATCTAGTTTTTATATAGTTTCCTAAGTTCGTGTGGTTGTGGTTATGTAATTACTCTTACATAATAAAATTCCGTTGCATTATTCTGCGTAATATATTACTATACAATGAACCTTGCGATTTAGATTCTCATTAAGAAGTACAGAATAGCGCTCATTAATCATATATATTTGTCAAGTATTGTAAGGTATGATGACAATTCGAAGAACATGTTCAATAAACCTTTCGTCACCCCATCGCAATACCATTACAACGACGAGCGCCTTGTTGAGCTTTATTATGCGATTGATAAAAACTAAATGTTATGCTTTATATAAACGATCCCAACAACTTTTTGAAGCGGTAATAACAAGTAAAAATTATGGAAGATAATATTTTCACATCTGTTATGTTCAAACATATCTTTGCCTGTCATTGTCACCAAAAGAAAAATGATGAGATGTACACTAAAAGAACGCAGCAGTATTGTAGATTTTGTCTTAAACATTATCCATTTTGATCTTGATCTGTGTTTCATTCGTCCCACCTGTTCATTGTGTTACTTAGTTTCTTTCCAAAGTTGCAGTTTTATCACCATTTAATACTATTTTATATGACAGGATGGACGAATCCCAATTTTTATAGAGAGAAACTCTTTGTTCTTTAACCATCGAATAGATGAAAAACTGTCCACATTGAGGCCTAAACTTGTGAACCTAATTTTATTAGATCATTGAATACTTTCAGTGTATAGCGCAAATCATATATCTATTATAACAATGTATAGCGAAAACTATTTAATTTCCCAGATAGATTTTGGAATATATAGATATTACAATAATTGGTCCAAAAAAGGTATTCCGACTGTGTAGAATAACGTTGACGATTTTTTTCAGAAAAGTACCGATGCCGATTATTAGAAATCGAAATCGAAAATTTAGGTATTGAATTTTACTAAAAATAAATGCTGATTGCATAAAACGCTGATTTTTGAGAGTGAATCGATTCGCGAGAATTTGAATTTTAATCAATCAAGACAGAATAACCTTTAAAGGCCAATGATAAAATAGGTCTTATAATAAAACAACGCACGCAATTAACATAATGGGAATCATTTTGAGCCTTGCAACAAAGTCATAGTCAGACCAGCGAAGTAATTAGAACATAAAATAATAAGCTTTGATTCATAGACAATTCAGACAGTTTCCAGAAAATCTCAAGGCTGTAAACTCTAAATTAAAACGTGTCGGTGATATATATATATATATCGACGAGGTTCAACTCAAAATACAGTTGGTTAAAACCATATAATAGTGAATATTATGCACAAAATTTTGTTTTCAAAACACTATTTATCATGTATCAAGAGATGTGTATATACACTTTCTCCAAAATATATGCATACGACAAAAGACTTATCTACTGTTCAGCTCGTTGGCATCGCTGATCGCTGTCGCTAAGTCGGCGCTTCTTATTTCAGCAGACAACACAATTCAACCATATAAGTCAATTTGTAACGAAAATTAGTTGGGCCAAACTAAGTAGAATATACCCAATCCTAGATTGAATACCTCCCTATCAAGGATTGGACGCTTGTATATTTCATATAGTAGATTTACCCCGGTGAATCACAAAATTGTGACCAAATTGACAGTATCCAATGGATCCACATGTCATTCATTAAGTTCACTAAATGCTATTTACAAATGAACTACCGGTAATTGAATTTTGAAAATCAAGTACATAAAATATATATAGACAAGCTATATGCCTAGTACGTACCGTTGTATCCATG